GCATGATGCTTCTATTATTTGTTAATATTTTTTTTTGTTTCTAGTAGAGTGGCAGGCACGTCCGCTGATTAGTTACTACTTTTGTATTGATATTAAATACAAATCACATATATAGTATGGTGTATTATTTGGAAAAAAATGAAGAATTTTTATACTAAGCTTCCTGTCTAACAAGGTAGCTCAAAGTATAATAAACCTAGGCTGAAATCTAGTCACTTAGTCGGGGTGTGACCTGGGCCGATGGTTTAACCTCTCTGAGATTCAGCTTCCTTGCTTTTAAAGAGGAGGTGCTAGTCCCATATGGGGTAGATATGAATATTAAATGAAATAACATGTATATAAACCCTCAGCGTAGTGCTTGGCACATTGAGATGTTCAACAATATGTTATTCATTCTTCCCTCCCTTCTTATTTTCCTTCTTTCCTTTCCTTTTACATCCCTACTAAAACATCTACTAAATTAGAATGTATAAATATCTAAGTCACAGAAACACCTACTAAATACTGGAATTTGCATATGTAGTCTATAGTAGTGACCACTTTTTCCTATCTACTTTTTGCACTAACATTTTTCAATTCATATATAATTTTTAAGTGTGAGAGTCCCTGAAATTTTAATTTCATGCCAAATTGATATGTCTGATATCTTTTTTTTAAAATCAAAATTATTCTCTTAATCTTTTCTCCCTAAGTAATGTAATTGTTTCTAGGGGCATGAAATCAACATGTGGCTTAGTAAACATGGCCATCCCTTGATGAATAAAAGGATGAAAATAAATGGGGGGTAAGGGTTAAATATAGACTAGTGTTTGTAGACTAGTAAACTGACACAAGTAGTTCACACACACACAATGTTAGAAAGTAGATTATTTCCCTAAAATACAGGAAATAGTAAAAATTATATCAAAGAGCCCTGTGCATTCTCGTATTTCATAAGGTTCAAGGACAAACGTTTGATCACTTTTAAGCCCTAAGAGAAAGGGAATAAATTTCATTACATGTTATTACATGTTGTTAAAGGGACTGCACAGCAAAAACAAAGGGATAGAAGAATAAAGAGAGAAAGATGCTCTGTGATGTCAGTTCCACTCATAAATTAACTACCAAGGATAAAGCCAGGCACAGAGGCATGTGCACTTTTCCTGAGTTTCTAGACTTTCAGAGACCAGGCCATCCTCTTAGCATCAAAACACAGGGCTTAAACCAGTTTGAGGACAGCTTCTAGAAGGGGATAGCTACAGAAGTGAAGTACCTCTTTCAGTCTTTCTTCTCTCTCTTCTTCATCTCCCTCTCCTCTCACCCAGTCAGGAGTTTTCTTTTTTCAAATCACCTCAGATTCAGCATGAATATCTGTAGAATATCTAAATGTGACTGACAGGGCCACGGAGAATACTGTACAAAAAAAAAGAGCTTATTATAATTTTATGCTATTTTTTTTAAAGATAATTGTGACCTTAAAAGTGCCTTATAGATTTCTATCTAGTGCTTGAAACTGCAAATTGGTGAGCAACAAAACCACATTATTTTTATTTTCCATTAAGTCAGTCTCCGATAAATTACCCTCTCCTTTCTAACTCTTCATTTTGGCCTCCAGGACCATGACCCGAATCCTACCGAAGTAATCAGATTGGTGCCATAAGTGTTCACCTATGTGACAGGAGAGACATTTTAGCTGCAAGGTTTTTTATTAAAATGTTGCTCCAAGAAATAAGTGTGATGCAGTCACAATAGAAAACGTCTCCTCTAGTTGGTCATTTGCCATATGTAAACGATGCTTTGTGCAAAATGGGATAGAAAACCATGCCCAATCATTACTAGGACTTGTTTATTCTGGTGTAATTTTTGATAAATGGAGGTGTGGTTGTTTTGTTGTTCTTTTTTTGGTTTTGCACAATATTTACATTGGGGGCAATTGGACAGAGCTTGTAGAAATATGTGTCGTTGTCTAGTATGCGTTTTTGTAAGCTCTTTGCAGTAAGATTGTCCAGAGGTTTATTTTCTTTCTCTTTTACTGGTGTAGGTATTAGAATGAGAATGATTACATAATGCTAGAACCTATCATTCAGTGTGTTGAAAATATAATACCTGTATATTGCAAATGTAAGTGGACATATACATTTTTATTTTAAAGAGAAATATTTTCTCCCAATTTCTATTGTGTATATTAATAGTCATCAGACTGCATCACTTTGCTTTGTATAGAAAGACACTGGTGGAAAAGTTTTCAGAAGCAACTCATGTTTCCTATAAAAAGAGAAATTTTTGCATCATGATCTTATTTGCATGCACCTCCCTAAGATTCCAAAAGGTGTTTGTAGATATCCTTGTTGCGTTGTTTCAGTCACCGTCTACATGCTTCCTAACAACTAGCACTAAGCACTCTGCCTGCTATTAAGCATATAAAGATATATTCAACTTCTTCCTTGTGCTCAAGAAGTCCCATGAACTGAGTTCCTGGGGACACAGATTTGTAAATAGCTATCATGGAATGTGACCCTTGTAATCTCGACAGTGTACTTAGGATGGAAGAAGTAATTAATTCCAGTTGGATAACTGAAAAAGATTGCATATGAGCTGAGTGACAAAACTGACCAGGAATTTGCTAAGGGGAAAAAGAGGAAAGTTGAAGGTGTTCTCGGTATTTGTATTCACATCAAAACCATCTATTATTTTCCGTGCACAGACTGAGAAGCTCATTCATTCCTTCGACAAGTTTTAAACAAGTTGGGAACAAGACTTTCAGAAACAAGATACTTCTATGTGTGTTTTGTGTTGCAGTCTGTGATTGCTTAGAGTCTGGAGACCATTTTTCTCTGCCCATAATGTATATACCACATTTAAAGATCCATTAAGATGGGCAGACATGGGGCCTGCAGAAATTTTTTTTTTTTTGAGAAAACTATATTCATTCATTCTCAGTCAGTCAGCCAACAATACTCATTGAGAGCCTGCCATGCACTCAACAATGTCTAGGAGAGAACAGTTAAGTGGAAGGAAGGATTCAAGAATTGTGCCTTTCCAGACAAAATTTTCTAAAGAACAGAGGAGTCAGGATTGAGTCTGGTGAATGGCCATAGTTAGGAAGAGAGGAGAGAGAGAAGGAAAAGAGGCCTGTAAACCAGGCAGGCTGATCACAGAGGTTTGGGGAGGAACAGATCAAGGAGATGATGGTACCACCGATGCCCAATGCAGAGAGGCCCCTGGGCTCTGCTGACGGGAAGGCCATTCCCAGGAGCAGCTGGACGGGACCGGAAGCAGGTGAAGCACCAGGAGAGACACAAGAGGAAGAACAGGACAGGCAGAAGTGGGGTCAAGAGAAAGTGTTCCTCAAAGTGTATGTTTAAGGGCAAAATGGACGTATGGGTGTAATTTATCATTTTTTTTGTGTCCAATTTCTTGGAGTATTTATTATTTCATAAAAGTTCTCTGTCTTATTTAACTTTATGTATTTTTAGATTAATAAAATATATGAAAAACTTTATTTGTATTTGTTCACTGAATATATCATATATTTATGAACTTTTCCCTCGTTGTTCCACTGTATTTAAATTATAAGACACAAATGGACATTTGCAATAATAGACCATATTTCTAATGATTACATAAAGCTCATACAATAATTTTGATTCTTATTGCTCTGAATAGTTTTCATTGTAATGGCTCATTTTATTCTAAATAATTTTATTTATATGCTTAGAATTAAAAGTCACTATTACATTTTTGCTATATAAATAATAAGCAGTGTCAATAGTAGAATTTAAAAGGGTGATTACAAATGAAAAGTGTTATTTTTGAACATGTATTTCACAGCATGAGAACAAAATGTATTCAGTTGTTCATTTTGTAAAGAGAGAAAAACGTGTTCAAAATTAGAATTGTACCATTCAGAGACTGTAATTCATGCCGTTATAAAAGAAATATAAGTGCTTCATAGCAGTGTATAGAGAAAAAGGCACGTTTCAATATAACAGTTAGTGATTAAATATCTATCTCTACATAGAATTGTTTTTTTTAAAGATAGTTGAAAGTCAGGAATCTAGTATCAGGCCTTTAACAGGTTTTCAGAATCAGAAAACTATATATAGAGACTGAACCGAGGTGATAAATAGAAAAATTCCTTACTCTGTGAGAAATCTGAGGACACCTAACATTCCCCCAGCCCCACCCCACCACTGACCATCAACATTAGCGTCATCACTTCTTTACTTTCTCCTGAGCCAAGACAGACCTTAATTCAAGGTTGGATGAACCCAAGTATATTAGGTATTTTAATGACCTTCATAAAATGTAAAAGACCCTCCATGAATTGAAAGTGGGCCTTGATTTATTTTTCCAGCAGTGGCAATGGATTTGCAATGATCAGTCTGGACTCTGGTACTTGTGATCCCCTGGGTTCAATGTCACGCTGTGAGAGAATGTTTGCTATCTTGGCCAGGCTGTGAAACACAACATAGCCAGCCTACTGATGGAAGATGAAATCTGTGCCCTTGGCTATGCTAACAGGGCTCCCACAGCTGGTCCTGAGCAGGGAGGCTGCCTGGGAGAGAGACTATGGAAGTGTGGCACCTGGTTAAGCCCAGTAATGTGCTCACTCAGAGTGCAGCTGGGAAGGTGACCCAGCTTATGTGGGGCACCTCCTGCTCCTCTTTTAGGTCCTGCTTTAATGCCTCTCTTGTCTTTTATATTGATAGTGCCCTCTTTCCCTTCACTTATCCCACACCATCCCACCCTTGTCAAAAATCCCTTTCTAGAAAGAGGCTGGTATGTACGTATTTATGAAAGCCCAAGCATCAGGCCTCCTGAGGCTTTTGAATGTTACATTGATCTCCCAAGGATTGTTTTTCTCCTCACAGCTATCAAAAGGTAATTGCCAATCATATCCAAAATAAATCATTTAGGTATTTTAGAAAGTTCTCCTACATATTTCACAATGAGTAGCAGAGGTATGACAAACAGAAGCAGTTTTTGCATTTGTTAATTTATTTTATTTTATTTTGCAGCGGAAACCCCCACTGGTGGTAGAAGATCTTTTTGAAGACATGAAAGATGGCGTGAAGCTTCTTGCTCTCCTAGAGGTCCTATCGGGGCAGAAACTGGTAAGAATTTTTCAGTGACCCGACTTGTCAAATTGTTCCCGTTTGGAATGGGTGACTGTGGAGTTGGGAACATAAAAGGCGAAAGTTCTTCCCTTTTGTAGTCAGTAAAACACAGGAAACACTAGACTGTGGGTCACTTCTGGGAGCAAGGAATGCATTTCCTTTCTTGTCCCCACACGCTGTGTGTAGTAGTAGCAACCGTAGAAGTAAGCTAAGAACTTCTTTGGTAATCATCACAGTAAATATTGCACGCGTAGGGTGTCCAGGAAGCTTATCTAAAACTAACATCTACCTCCCATTAAGTGTTTGCTTTCCATTTGTAAAGGATTGTTGGTTCATACCTGTGTATTTATATAGTTGTTTGTTGAAAATTAAGCTTGAAAAGAACATGGCATTTTTTTCATATGCTTGGGGACATCCCTTACCATCAGTCATTTTGTAACAGGAACAGCATGTTCAGAATCACTTGTTTTTATGTGCAGTGGAACCAGCAGAGTAAACAAAATTGATGGTGAGCTTTAAAAAATATTTTTCTACATTACTGAAATTATAAAAGATTTGTTTTTTTTCTCACTTATTATTATTTTTTTAAATTTCAGAGTGGTAGAGAACTAAGTAGCGTGCAAACATAAACTATTTATAAATGATGTTTAACATCATCAGTGGTTACCAGAGGGTAAGCAGGGAGGGGATGGTAGAAGAAGGTAAAGGGGATCAAATACATGCTGATGGAAGCAAAATTGACCCTGGGTGGTGAACACACGTGCAATACACAGGTGATGTGTTATAGAATTGTTCACTTGAAACCTACATAATTTTACTAAGCAATGTCATCCCAATAAATATAATAAAATTTTTAAAAATTAAGAAAAAGATACTGAACTTCAAAAATAAATGGAGCTCAGGAAATAGTCTTCAGAATTTCATATAACACACTAGACACAGGGTACAAAATTGGAAGGACTTATTTTTTTCTTTATTTTATTTTGACAAGAGCTATACCATCATTATTACTTGAATAATTTAGTGTTTTAAAAAATGTTTTTGCCTGAACCTAAATTTCAGTTAATGTTGTGTAAGGAGCCCTAAACATAGCTTTTGTAAAAGGGTTTGTTTTTTGGAAAATACAAGCCGATCATCATTTTATGTAAGTCGTTTATCTAATCTGATTCATATTATAACAGACGCTTTCTGTGCCCCAGATGTCATCTCAGCTCAGGTCTGATTTCAGCCATGGCAGTATCACCTCTGCGCTGAGCTCCAGCACTGGTAGCATATCTGTGTGATTCTGCCCTCAGGGTTTATCAAAACCACAAGTTCACAAGGCAGCCCTCAATGCAGGAGAGTTAATGGTCCCAATGGACACTCAACCAGTAGAGATGGGAGTCCATAAATAATGCTCTAGTCTTGCATTTGTAGGAGGGTCAATTCTGAGGTGTATTTTACACATCTCACAGAGAGAGTGCCTTGTGGGATTCTCAGGGGAACTGCGTTCCAGTTGCCCCGTGGAGAGCCTGAATAGCGCACCTTTTATTGGCAGTTTCCCCTCCCCCGTTTCGCTTTCCATGCATCCTCATTCCTGCTGCCTGGGCTCATCTCCCCAATAAACTACACGTACCCAAGTCCTTGTCTCAGGCTCTGCTTTGGCAAAATCAAACAAAACACATATGAATGGTCAATTTGGAATATGCAGGCGTATACATGAACTAAATAAACTGGATTAGCATTAGGATGTAGGAGTCATTGAACTGAAATATACAGCAGGCTCCCCAAAAAATGTATACACATTTTAGGACAGGGAAAAACTGTATTAAAATTGTAATAATATATACCGATAACAAAAGATGAATACAAGTCATGCGTATACATTTTTTTGGCACCCTGGTATACTCCCTTGATTGACAGATATAACTGGTCATCTTCGGTTAAGCTGTTTCCTAAGGAGACTGAAGAAGCCTGCATTACAATTCAAATGGGTGTATTTAAGAAGTGTATTATTCTAAGTGTCCATATAATTCTGCCATTATACTTGGCCAACAGTATATAGACACCTCCATGGACATTTAACTGCTAAGCGAAATGATTCTAGAAGAAGTGTACAGCTTGATGTAAGAATCCTACTTCTGTATCAGTGCCCTACTCATTTTGACATACGCGTAGTTCGAATCATAGGACCTGAAAGCCGGGATCAATTTCAGAAAGAATCAGCATTCTCATTTAACAGGCAGGAAAACAGCCATAGAAGCACAGTTTCCGGTTTAACTGTTATTATTTATTTATATTGAGCCCTTAAGATTCTGAATTACATAAGTGAACCACCCTGATATGATAAATAAGCCTTGGGCATCTTTGTTTACATGTTGAGCATGTATACAGTATGGCTCAGGACCGCATTCAGATGAAAAGCGTCGTTTAGAGGAATGAGGTGTCCTGGGCTTTCCATTAGAGCTTTCAAAGGGAGACTGTGGGCAGGAGCATTTTTCCCAGGACCATTAACACTGTTCCGGAAATTTATAATTATCTCATGGGTGGAATTTTATTAAGAACGTTATGCTTAGCATCACAGTTTATATAGCCTGGGCTCTCTGCTCTGACCGTGGTCTTCTAGGAAATGTAGCCGCGTGGCTTAGTATTCCCTTTGGCATCAGCAACTCAGGGAAAGGGCAGAACCTCAGTATCCTAGTTCCCTTTAATAACCTATTGTCACTCCCTTGTCTATGATTTTTTTTAAGGTTCTAAGGAATTTTTAAATTATTATTCTTGGATTGCTCTACACCCCTTGATTATTATTTGCAGAATATTTACTCTTTGAATCAACCAGTGATTATATGTTTTTAATGACACAAACATAGAAACAGTAAATTTAATTTTACGCTTAAAATTTTTTTTACATTAAAGTTTATTGGCAAAATAAAGGGGCAACCAACCAAATGGGAGATTTTCACAAACAACGCCTCCAATAAGGGGCTAATGCCCAAAATATATAAGGCACTCATACAACTCAACAACAAGAAACCAAAAAATCCAATTAAAAAATAGGCAGAGGACCTGAAGAGACATTTCTCTGAAGAGGACATACAAATGACCAATAGACATATGAAAAAATGCTCAACACCACTAATTATCAGAGAACTGCAAATAAAAACCACAATGAGACATCACCTCACACCAGTTAGAATGGCTATCGTGAACAAGACAAATAATAATAAGTGTTGGAGAGGCTGTGGAGAAAAAGGAACCCTCATACACTGTTGGTGGGAATGCAGACTGGTACAGCCACTATGGAAGGCAGTGTGGAGGTTCTTCAGAAAATGAAGAATAGAATTACCATATGACCCAGCAATCCTTCTCCTTGGGTAGATACCCCCAAAATCTGAAAACATATATCCATAAAGATATACGCGCTCCGATGTTCATTGCAGCTTTATATATGGTAGCCAAGACATGGAAACAACCAAAGTACACTTAAATTTTTTTTAAGAATGTGAAGAATTATTGAAAAATTAGAAATAGTAGAAGTAATATGAATAGAGTTTAAGAGATGCAGAGAAACTTATTTCTCATCCATTTCGTTAGCCTTCTGTACCATATTTTTAAAACTCTAACACTTTTCATTCAAGAGGAGCCTAACAATCCACTTAAAAGTGCACAGTGGGCACTCCTAGGAAATCAGAGCATCACAGACCCTTGCAAGTTCACCAGGTGACTTTATTAATAATCATATATTTAGAGTAGAACTCAAGTCTGCAACTGGGTTTGACGTTATATAAGTGACTATTCATCTAACATTTCTGGAGTTCTATAATGGGTAAGGCACTGCCTTTTCCCCTGTGTGAGATATGAGATATGATTGGGACCTTCAAAGAGCTGGTAGCCTAGTAGAGACGATCATTGCATTGGTTAAGGCAGGTTAAGTTGTGTAAAATAGGTGCAGATGAGATGGGACCATACAACAGGTGTCTATACCTTGCTCACTTAGCCAGGATATATCCAAAGAAGAAAGGCAGAGTGAAGGTATTGCCCTATTAGATATCAGGTCTTACTATGTCACTTAAAACAGTGTGATATTGGTACAGGGGTGGATTTACTGACCAATGCAGTAGAGTCCAGAAACAGACAAATGCATGAAATGGAAATTTAGTGGATGTGAGATGTGGATGTCAGTTCTGACAGGGGGAAACAGAGACTATTCAATAAGTGGAACAGAAAAAAAGTTAATCCTAATAGAAAAGGATGACCTTGGATCTTTATCTCATGGCCTATACAAAAAATAAAATAAAATAAAAAATAAAGGAGTAAGACCTAATGGCAGAAACACTTTAAACTCTTCAAGGAAAATATAGATAAATATCTCTAAGACATCAGGATAGGGAAAATAGTAAGGCACAAAATATTGACTATACAAGAATGCTAGACTAATATTAACATTAGAAATGCTTTTAAATCAAAATCTTCCAAGAAAGTAACTAAAGAAATTGAAAATGGGTCAGAGATATTCTCAATATATGTTGTAAAAGGATTAAGAAAATATTATATAAATAATATACGAAGTACATCTTCAGAACAATGAGGACAAACCACCCAAAGGGAAACCTGGGCAAGCGATGCAAAAAGGCAAAAGGAGCAGACATGACTGAAGCATGGAGGAGGAGCTGTTCCCATCATTGTTCATCAAATGAAGCTCAAAGGGAGACCCCAATAAAAGACCATGTTATGGACATTCAATTGAAAAAATATATATTAATATCTGTCAAAATCAAATGTTGGACAGGATATGCATACTTGTGTTGCTGACAAGAGTGAAAAGTGGGACAAACACTTTGGGGGAGTCTGGCATTGCTTTAGAAGTTCAAAAGTGACATTCACGCCGATGCAGCAATTCCACTTTTAGGTATGCATCCCGAAGAAACTCTTTATACCTGTACCAAAGGTGGGATGTGCAAGAATGATCTAGCAGCATAGGTCACGATAGACGTAATCTGAAAATAACCCAGATTCACATCAAAAGGAGAGAAGATAAAGGGCACATAATATGGCTGTCAAAGTGAATGAAATACAGCGACAGACAGCAATGTGGATGGATCTTAGGAATAAAATATTATGTGGAAACTTAAGTCTCAAAAGACTAATACAGTGATATCCTTTACATAAAGTTAAAAACTAAAAAATATTCCTTTAAGAATGTATATTCATAAAATGAATTTATATAAAGAGGAAAGAAAGCATTGGACTCGATTTAGTATGATGGTTGCCATGGATATAGGAAGGCAGATGGATGAATGAATGGTGGTGGTATTGAGGGGTATGGCTTCATAATTAATTTCCGGGTACTGGCTTTGTTTTCATTGGCAGGTTCATAGGTGTTTTTTTTACATTATGAAAGATACTTAACTAAATAAGTAAGTGGACCATGTATGGACCAATGATGGTATTATGTCATGTATAACAGGTTCCCAAGTAACAAATAAAAATAAAACAAATAAAAATCCATTTTTTATTTAAATATATGTTTAAAATCATATAATAAAAGTTATTACCTGGTACACGGTTAACTGGAAAGTAAAAGATATTCGATTATGAGCTTAAATGGAAGATTATTTTGTCCTGGTGTCACAGAGATGAGAGCATTTTACTAGCTATGTGACTATGGAGAAATTACTTTACCTCAAGTATCCATTTGGTTCCTGTAAATGTAAAGGAGGCTAATGCTATCTACTTCATTGAAATTATTTTGAGTTCTAAAATTCACATTGTGGCACACAGAAAGCACATAATACATTTTGGTAACTCAAACACAGGTAATGACAGCATCCTATTGTGTGAATAACAATTTGGATTCTCACAGTCCTGCTTCTTATCCTGGCTCATGTGCTCCATGTATTTTTGATCATTCGAACCAAGAAATGTTACTACTATTGTCAATAACCTTTTTTGGTAGTGTAACTGAAAAAAATGGTGCGTAACCAGGAATACTGTTTTTAAGGCTTTATTTTTTTAGAGCAGTTTTAAATTTACAGCAAAATAAAAAGTACAGAGATTTCCCATATAGACTCTGCCCTTACACATGGCCCAGGAGGCGTATTTTTTGTATAAATAACTTCCTCACTTACAGGAGTGATACAGTCCCAATAGACAGCACAGGGATTTGGTGAATTTGTACTCTGAGACATACAGAAATCTGAAAGGCAAAAAGCATCAAAAGATAAGCTAAGAATGGATGCCTTTATTGAGTAAAATTAGTGCACTTTCAAGGTGCTGTGTGGATAATGCTCCTTTATGCTAACCTTTGTAGACATTGAGTGATGCTGTTTGTTCCTGAATATTCTTTAAGTATATTTTAACACACTGAAATAGGTTTTATAACCACCTTTTTGACGTGTGCGTTTGGGTCTCTTCCTGCGGTTTGTCTGTAGCCTTGTGAGCAAGGACGGCGTCTGAAGCGAATCCACGCTGTGGCCAACATCGGCACGGCGCTCAAGTTCCTGGAAGGAAGGAAGGTAAGGAAAAGCACACCGAAACTCTGTAAGGAGAGGGTGTGGGCGTTCTGACATTGCCAGTATTGGCTGTGGAGCAAAACCTCTGCCTGTCATCTGTACAACATACGCATGCAGTATTGTTGTAAAATTATTTGAGATTTGCAGAAACGTGACAAAAAGGGGGGACAGAGATTCCATGTCTGTCGTTCACCCAGCTTCCTCTAATGTTAAGAACTTAGACACAGTACGTGTGTGTATGTAGAATTCTCAAACTAGGAAAATTAAAACTGGTATGAACTAAAGAACAGGCATTAGTCTCATCTCATTCATTTCCCTTCGGTGTCCTCCTCCTGTTCCACGATACAATGAGAAACACACCTGGCGTTTGCTTGTGTGGCTCTTGCACTGTCCTCATTCTTTCCTCGTCTTTCATAACTTTGGCACTCTCCATAGCTTCTCCTATCCACGTGTGCCTAAGCCAGGAATTCAAGCCGATGCTTCTGATTTCAGTCCAACACCACAAGGCTCATTCCAGCTTTCCATGCTTGCTTGTGTCTGTTCTGTCTTACAACAAAAACCTGGCTCGCATCTACCATGCAGTTACTTCCTTTTCAGCTCTAGTATGCACATGCTGCGTGCAGTTCTTTTGGTCCTTTGCATTATAATATCCAGTCAAAAGACTGTTTTCCAAATTTCTGTAGGTTACTTCTGTTCTTCCCACCCCTTTTAGTGTGATTATGCTATTAATTTGAAATAGAGTTAGGTAATAGAGTTATATTCCATTTGGGTAATGCCCCCCCGCCACACACACACACCCCTTCTAATTGACTACTTTTTTTTTTGAGGTGAGGCATTCCTGTGATTCTAAGAGTAAAAGTTATACTTAGACAAGTGCCATTCCTTCTTCATCCTTACTCCTCCGTTATTTTCCTTCTCTTTCACTCTCTTCATGCTTCTAGGTAATCAGCCTCCCTAGTTTTGCATTTCTCATGACTGTATTTCTTTGGCACAAATGAGCAGATGTATTTTCATACACCACCTTCTTTCTTACATGAAGGGTAACAGGCTATAGATACACTCTTGTACTTATTTAATGTATAGTATGTCCTGGAAATCATCCAAATCAGTTCAGGAGACCTTTCTCATTCATCTTCACAGCTGTCTAGTATTCTATGGCCTGGATGTGTCAGTTTATTTAAACACTCTTATGAATGAGCAGATTGTTGCTAATATTATTCAATCTGAAACAATGATGCAATTAATAACTATGCATACCTACTTTCATATTATTGGAAGTGCATTTGCTGGGTAAATTCCTAGAGGTGTGATTGCTTGCTGGATCAGAAAGTAGGTGTGTTTGTAGTTTTGTTAGTTTTTGCCATATTTCCTTGCAAAATGATTACATCAGTCTCTTTAGATTTAGACTTTTCTAATTTGTCGAATTCAGGAAGTATGTGTTTTGCAATACTAAACCCAACTTTATAAATGGATATCCAGATATTCCTGGAAAGTAAAATGATCAGTTATTTACTTCTTTGTCTATCTGCACTAAATTAATTCATTTACTCCACAGTTGCATAACTAAATACTTTCTATAAGGCAGGAGCTCTGGAAAATACAAAATTAAAGTTAGAGAGTCTAGCCCTTAAATAATTTACAGCTAGATAAGTTGGTAGTACAGTGAATCTGTATAAAGTTCAGTCAATTTGCTAGAATATAAAAATAAAATTCTTCTTATTAATTAATAAAGATTGGAGAAAAAAATTAATAACCTAACCTATTAAAGGCATTGTTTGTAAAGAGGACCTGTTTTCACAGAAGACCTGTGTGCATAAGGTCCATTTTCACAGAACAATCCTGAGTAATAATAATTTTGTGAAAGGTAGAGAATTCAGATTTTAAATATTATGTTGACCAAGGGCAGAAGGTCATGCATTTGAATCTTGGAACAAAATCGAAAGTGTTTCCCTTCTGTACCCACAAATCCCTAACCTGTTTTAGTTAAAAAAGAATCTGTCTGAAATACATAGTTTGGGGTTACTCTTGCATTTCTTCCTCCATAAGTTCACAAAATAATTGACTGTGAGAAGATGGAAGTTTTCGAAGGCTCTTTGGTGCCCCCCTTACTGTTTACTTTTCTTCTTTACAATTTAAGAACTTATGTCTCAAACATATTGTCAGGAACCTGTCTTTGATCTTTGTACTTACTTTGTGTTCCATTTTGATTTCTTCCGTAGATAAATGAAAACAGGTTTAGTTTATTTGAAGAAAAATGAAGGCGCTCCTCCCTCCAGTTTTACTGGAGAAAACGCTACCATTGTGTTTACTTTCCATTTGTTTACAGGGCTATTGAAAAAGAGAGCATAGATTATATCCAATAACATTGTTACGTGTGACTCTAATGAATAGGTCCATCTCCACGTCCACACGTTTCTCTCTCCAGTGAGGAATCAGGTGTATCCTTCCAAACAGTAATAGGAGGGGCCACCCCTGGCCTTCTTTCCGAAAACTTGCCATAGTGCAGGCAAGGGACATGAATTTAGATTCCTATGAGTTTCAGAAAGGTGATCTAAAAGATGAAGTGAGTGAGAGACTTACTATTGTAAGAGAAGCACTGAGCAGTCCCGGCCTGCTTTAAAGAGCGAAGCAAATACTCAACTCGTTCCAACTAGGGTCACCCCCAATGAAATGCCAGCACAGTGACCCCAGGCTTTCCTACGGAACAGGAAAGCCAGTAACCTGGATTATTATTAAAATCTATTTAATATATTTAAGTTATTTATTAGATAATTCAGGGAGTTGGCTACCGGTATTATGGTTTAGAATGATGCACCTGACATGCCATCATAGAAAGCAACTAGTACAGAGGGTGATGCAGCTATTCATTAGGTGTTCTCATTTATCAAGAAAAGCTGGGAATCTAGATTTTTAATTGCATTTTAAAAAAATGTATTCATATTCAAATATAAATATTCAAATTGAATATTTTTTTGGAAACATCCGTGAGCCTTCTATTAGCCTGCTGCGGTTACTGTAACAGAATGCCACAGACTGGATGGTTTAAGCAACAGAAATTTATTTTCTCATGGTTCTGGAGGCTGGAAGTCCAAGGTCAACGTGCCAGCAGGGTTGGTTTCTTCCTCTCTGCAGGTCCTCATAGGACCTTTGCTCTGTGTCTCTTCCTCTTCATTTAAGGACACTAGTCCTATTGGATCAGAGCCCCACCGTTACAACCTCATTTCACCTGAAGGCCCTACCTCCAGATAAAGTCATTGTGGGTCAGGGCTTCAACATGCAAATTTTGGGGACACACAATTCAGTCCATCCAGGGCTCTGGCTTGCAAAATCAAAATTGTCCAGAGAACACGAGCCAAGTACAATTGTCTAATCCAGGATTCTCAAACATTAACATGTGTCAGAATCACCTAGAGGTCTTGTTAAAATAGATTCTTGGGCAGCACTTCCTTAATATCTGGGTCAGCAGGTCTGGAGTGAGGTCTCACATTCCGCATTCTTAACAAGTTCCCAGGTGATATGCTTGTTATTGCTCCGAGGAGCTCACTTTGAGAGCCAGTGGTCCAACATCCTTGTGCTCTGATTTTCATCTACGTGCTCCCACCCTCTTTTTGGCTTTTGGAAACTTTTCAGGCTCTTTGGACGCCTCTCTATTGCCCATCCTACCCTCCTAGGCTATTAACAATTTATTGTAGGCTTAATAGTACTTTGTAAGGGAAAGGAGGTTAAAAAACAAACTAACTAACCTGTGTTCCATAAACCCACTGTGGAACACACAGTTTTTAGGAAAGAAAATAATTATGAAAAACATTTTTCTGCACAAGTTGAGCAAAAGATCATTAGGTTCTATAATAAGTTGAGTATGTTAACTTCATAGTAATTAGAGAGCTGGGTTGAGGGAGGAAATCCAATTTATATTCAACCACCTTTTTAAAAAAATGGTATACAAAGAAAGGAAAATAATCTCTCTTCTGTGAAATGCACGTCTCCTTCCGCATCCATGGGGAATTGGTTCCAGGGCCCTGCAGATACCAAAATCCAAGGATACTCACTCAAGTCCCTTGTATAAAATGGCATAGTATTTGCATATAACCTCTTCGCATCCTCTAACATACTTTAAATCATCTCCAGGTTACTTAAAATACCTAATACAATGTAAATACTAAGTAAATAGCTGTTACACTGTATTGTTTAGGGAATAATGGCAAGAAAAAAAAGTCTGTACATGTTCAGTGCAAACACAACCATCCTAGGCCTAGCTACATAGTACACGTCAGCAACAACGTAACTTTTAGAGTTTTTCTGATCTGTGGTTGGAACCTGAGGATACAGAGGGCCAATTGTAATCTGATGGTTGTTAGGCTATATTATAAATTTGTGGTCCATGGATACTAAAATGGATATGGAGAAAAGTCTGGTGAAGTTTTAAAACACAGTAATCAAAATGATTATAAAGATTGCAATAGGTTCTGTCATAAAAGGTTAAAGAAATTTGATGTTCTTTATTTTCCACAAACATGTATTATATGTCTTACACTATGTTAGCTTTAAAACTAGTAGACACATACACTTATAATCTATGACAATTTCTCAATTTTTTTCTGTCTCTGAATGTAATGAGTGAACATTACCATGGGTGTACCTTAAATTATTTCCAATGATTTTTGTGCTAGCTTTTATACTACCCTTACTGATGAATAACTGGTAAATTTAAAGGAATCACTCAAGCATAAAGTATTTGCTGGATGACTTTGCATCTGATAAATTTTTATTAAAGTAAACCATTGACAAACTTCTGAACTTTATTATTATTAATAACACACCTCATGAAATTGTGGCTGAGAATTATTGAGCTAGAAGTTTAAGGAGTACTTTATTATTATTTTGTATTGGTTTAGGGATTATAAAAAAGATGAGCAGTTGTTAATTCTATTCTATAGAGACTGAGATAAAATCCATTTTGCTTGGACTTTGGGAATACCTTTTTAATAGTTAGGAAGGAATTAAAATGAATAATTGGGGACAACTGTAGACAGATTAACATCTGTCCTGAATACTTTATTGTATCAGTGCCCAAAAGTAGGGAACTGAGCCCTAAGAGTGTCTTTTTCTTTACTATTTCTTGGCTTTCCTTTGTTTCTAAAATTTATTCCCCAAATCATGCTCTAAATTTGCCACCTATATTTTTATTCACCTTGAACAAATAACGCTGATGTTGAAAGATTATTTATGTGTGTGTGTCATCTTCTCCCTTTGTTTTTCATGCCAGTCCATGTACAGAGGATCACCGGTTAGTACAAATTTAGGAAATTTAACTCCTGACTTTTCTAGGTAAAAGGGACATAAGTTTCATGATATTTGGTAACAAGCTTCAAAGTAAGTGCATCTTCTTGAACTATTCACAGTTTATTTTCAGTTGCGGTGAATTTTTTGTGTGTGTGTGTGTCACTTTGTTGGTAATTCTTTGCATGACGTCACATTTTTTTCAACTTTAAACACGTTTTTGAAACTCATCTTATAGTTATTTTTATTGTGTGCACCTAATGAAACGCTCCTAAAATTTCCACTGAAACCATGTGCTTGTTTGTTTTTATGGCTCACTCTACTTACTCGTGTGAACCACTGTACAGGTGTGACCAAGTTTTTTGTCGATGTCTAATAAAGTGCTCATTATTGCATAACTAAGTGGATTATAATTTTCCAGTATGTTACTAACTAGCACAGTTTTTCTTTTTCTTTTTGAACAGATTAAATTAGTCAACATTAACTCCACTGATATAGCTGATGGCCGGCCATCAATCGTCCTCGGACTGATGTGGACCATTATTCTGTATTTCCAGGTATTGTGCTACAGCTCCTTTTCAGTTGATAATAATGTCATGCAGGGAGGTAGAGGTGGACATTTTACTAATGCTGTCACTTGTCATACCTGTGGGGCTGGTCCTTGAGCTGGCAGAAACGTGACCTTCACACATCCGTTGTTCTTTGGTAGCAGAATTTCCTCTCTCTCCTGCAAAGCTGTTGTAGATAGAACTCCCCGAAGAACTCTGGCAAAGGTACCCAATCTGAGAAGTGGGCAGGACACTGAAGATGAAATGTTGGCATAGGAAGTTCAGAAAGTTTTTCTTTGTTCTCTGGAAGGGAGCAGCTCTATCCTCCTACTAGACTCTAAGGAGAGAAATTAAGTTGCTGTTTCATTCAGAATAGTAGTTCTGGACATTGGGTGGTGTTTTTTTTTTGTTTTGTTTTCTTTTGTTGTTGTTTTTTTAATAAACTGTATTTTTTTTCAGAGCAGTTTTAAGTTTACAGCAAAGTTGAGTGGAAGGTACAGAGATTTCCCATGTACCCCCGGCACCCACACATGCATAGCCTCCCCCAAAACCAGTATCTCACATCAGAGCGGTATATTTATTCCAATTAATGAACCTACATGGACACATCATCATTCCCCCAAGTCCACAGTGTATATTAAGCTTCGCTTTTGGTGTTGTGCCTTTTATGAGTTTGGAGAACCATTAGGTTTTATTTATTAATTCGTGCATGTAGTTAACGAGTGTTTATTACTGTGTATAAGGTACAGTTTTAGATGCAGCGGGAAGTACAAAGCAGAGTAAGACTCAATCCAGCCCCTTAAGGCTGTGAAGATAAACCGTTTCTAGTTGGAAAAGTAAAACTTCTGAGGGCAGAAAAACCAAGATAATTCTTTCGTTTTTGCCACCTGTCAATGCTCAAACAGATTGAGGAGCTGACCAGCAACCTGCCGCAGCTGCAGTCCTTGTCAGGCAGCACGTCCTCTGTGGACAGCACGGTCAGCTCGGAGACCGCCAGCCCCCCCAGTAAGCGGAAGGTGGCTGCCAAGATCCAAGGAAACGCTAAGAAGACTCTGCTAAAGTGGGTTCAGTACACCGCAGCCAAGTAAGTACCAAGAGTTTGGCTACATTTGAAACCCTTGAATAAGCTGAGGAATCAAGTTTATGACTGAGCGCGTCCTCCAATGGCTGCCAAATGTGAGGAGACATTTGAGTGAATGGCTTTGCTTCGGGTCATGTTTCACTCTTTCTTTGAATTGAAAGATAAGCATGAATCATTACTAATGCTCTAAGAAAATGCTGCAGTAAAACCAATTCCTTCTTCATGCATGTGATTGGGCCTGCTTACCTAAATTCTTTAATTTCTATACTTTGACTAGAAGCACAAGGGCTAATTCTATTTAAGTTATTGTTTGGACTTTTGCTCCCATTAAATAACTTTTACACAGATAAATTTGAGGTTTAAACTTCATGTTTTCTTCATAAGACTATTCAGTTCTATTTAATGATAGTGTGAACGAAGGCCCATATTTGGAAATAATTATATTTGTTTTTATTTTCTGAGACTTTCTAGCAATTTTACTTTTTAATTTTTTTCCTTTGTTTTTATCTTTCACCTGGAATGTAGATTCTTTTGTTGCCTCCAGCTTTATGGACAAATAACTCGCTTTTAGTTTTGTTTCCTTCTAAGTATAATAAATTTACATGTGGGTACATTTATGTGATAATGCTGGATGCAAAAGTACTACTTTCAAAAAGTATCTTTTCATAGCAGTTTCAATAAAGTTTTTAATTGATCATACCAGTATTTTGTGGCAACATGTGGTCAGTGGTAAGGTCTCTTTACATAGAAGTTGTGCTTTTGAATAATTTTCCTAAATGACATGTAAGTCATTCATTTTCTTTTTCTCTTTCTTTTCTTTTTTTGCATGCCTACATATAATATGAATCTTATTCTCTACTTCTGGAAAATAGTTGTAAACAAGTACTTATCATTATAAAATACTGAGGCGCTGAGCTTAGGGAGTTCTATTTTTAAAGTGTTTGAAGAGCAAAAAAAGAATAAGGAGAGAAAAAAGTAAACATAAAGAAGATGAAATTAGTGTTACTAATTTATATAGTTTAATTTTTATAGTGTGTTGGTGGTTTTTTAATTTGGGGTATATTTTTATGATCTAAGTTGCACTCAAAAATATTTCTGAAAGCAAAGCTTTTGGCTCTTCAGAAACTGTAATGGAAATGAAATGAAGAGCCCTTCCTACCTTGCTGGTATGTTGCTTGCCTGCCATCTACAGCAGGCATTACTAGTCTCTTTTGCAGTTTAACTGGCCAAGAAACGTGCTAGGTAGGAGGACAATGGTGAACACATGCTATGACATTTGTCATAGTGCTATTACAATAAAACTTTCTAGTGTCGATGTGATATTTTCTTGTGCGTTGTTTCACACATCATTGCAGTAATTGAAAATAAATTGATTTTCTTTTAGTGTTGAAGTAAAAATCAGAGTGAATGCTGTGGGAGTTGTCCTGCATTTGTTTTGTCTCACACATGATGTGAGGGGTTTCAAAGATATGCCGGCGCCTAATGATAACTAAAGTAATTTCTGCAACTTGTGTGTTTGACACATCAGTGGAAGTTGTATTTTACTGATCGGTATAAATGTCCAGATTCATGGACTCAAGGGTTCTCGACCTGTCAGCATATCGATGAGATCCATTTATTTTACAGCTGCATAAATTGTAGAGATTTGGGGAGATGGCTGTTGTCTGCCATAAAAACTCTGTAATGAGCATGTGATACCATTATGCTACTGAATTATTGATAATTGTTCTAAAAGCTGCTTTTTACACTATCTCAGTCTGTATTTTTATAAAAAACTTCTTATTTGACATGGATAAGAGATTTGAAAATCGGTACCCATTTTAGTATACGACATGTTTCTTAAATGATAATCTGTGAGACTCTGTAGTCTGCAGGTTTATCAGTTTGGAAAGACTGAAGATGGTAGGAAAGGATAAAATATCCAGAAAACACCAGACAAGTTGTCAGAGTGTATTCACTGTTTTCATATAAAATTTCTAAATATTTGAGAAGTTATTTAAAAAAATAGCTTCAGCAACACAGGATAATTAACTTCCTCCTCTTTCTCTCTTTTTCCTTTCTTGTTGTTTGTTTTTTGTTTTGTTTTTACCAATTTCATCTACTATCAGTATGTAGTCTCAAAAACGAAAGCATTCGTTATAGCATACCTGACGTTTGCATGCCTTATTTTCAAATGTCTAAGAACAATTGTATTTTAGTACAAAAATTAATAACATAACCAAACAAATGAAGATCTGTATCTCAGATCCCTTCAAAATAAGTTAAGTAAATTTACATTAGAGGGCAGAAATGTCTATAAACAGGACATACTTCATCACTGCTTTAAGTGATGTGTTTAAGTTTCTTTGATTTTATATCAAAGATTCTTAAATGAGAGATCTGGACTAAAACAAAAACTTTTTAAGACTATCACTTAGTACGTTGCTCTAAAACAAAACAGTGTAGGAGTGTGTGTGTGTGTGTGTGTGTGTGTGTGTGTGTGTGTGTGTGTGTATTCAACAAATATAGAAGAAGAAAATGTACTGATGTTTTAAATTGTACCAACATAGCAAGTATACAGGGAAACATTTTATATACTTATTTTTTAAAATGTCTAAAACAATAAACAAGTTCAAGAAAATCAGAAAATATGTAATTACGTGTGGATTTAATAGCCAATTGTTTATTTACTTCCCATCTTGTTTTGTTAAAAAATAATCTGAGGTGGCTTAAGAGACTGTGAATACAAAAACAGTTTTAAACAAGGAAATGTGGGAAGAGAGGAAATTTAGGTAGCAAAGTAAGATGAAGCCAGAGATGAATATACAAATGAACATGTAACAGGAACATACCACTCATACTGGATGGATATTGGCCAGTATGTCAGACGTTGGCTGAAAAACATTATATTTGTACTACCAAAGACAGCACCTTTAAAAGAGCTAACAGGAGACTCAAGGTTACTTTGCAAATACTGGAGTCACATAAAATTATTTTTCAAATATTTATTTGCGAAGCCAGCGATTAGATCCAATGATGCCCTTTTTAGGACAACATATTTTATGCACACTGAATGTACATTGATAAAACATAACTTAAAGTGAATCTTCAGTTTACTGAGATAAAATTGATGGGCACTTACCAACTTTATTAATCAGTTTACCATTCAGACATATTGTATCTTACAGTTCATGGAAATTTTGAAAATATAGGGTAAAAAGAAAAGAATTGAGTGATGTTATTTCTGCTGTAATGAGACTGATTTTTGAAAATGAAACTGCCAGAATATTTTTATCTACTGGCTGTTACCTAATTAATGGATCACCTTGAAAGGCTCTAGACTTAAGGGATGTTGCCGTTGCTGAAAGATATTGTTACTCTTTTTGGAACTGTCTTTAAAATCAACAAGTTACATGTAGAAAAAAATTACATGAGCTTGCCTCACTTCTGTTTTCAGCAATAAACTATTGGTACTAACTTGAGTCGCTTTCTTAATTATCATCACCCACCACCAATGAACAAATGCTTGTCATCAGGGCAATACCCTCAGGTAATTCCAAAAAAAGAGTTTAAAACGCAATTTGATCCGTGGGGTAACTGGAATCATTTGACTCCTTTGTGACTGATATGCAGATATGACCACATCCATCTGCATTCATTTATTTTAATGCATTTGATTTAAGTCAGACACATTAGACAATGTCTATTATCTATGATGTCTGTTATAACCTGTGTGTGTATAGCACAGCTTACTCATCATTATCGTTAGCAATATGTTAGGTACTTTTTCAAAAAAATATACAATGATGAATTATCATCACTTTTGGTGTTTTTATAATTTTTCTTTAAAAAAAAAATGTTGCCAGACAATTTTCCCTGAATTGATTTCCTTTAAAAATGTGCTTTAAATTGAATATCTCAATTGCTGAAAAATCCAATATAGTAGAAGTATGAAACCAGAATTTCTACATCTTATCTTCTTACCCTCTAAAAATATTGCTTTGCTTAAACGTTCTGAAAACCAGCTAGCTGATATAGCTAATTGCACACCATTCATGGTGGGAACGGATTGGACTCTGCTGGAGGCCTTGAGGAAAATGCCTATCATCTATTCAGAATGTGACATGATTTTATCTTTTTCTCACATGAAGGCAGACTGGAATAGAAGTGAAGGACTTTGGGCGGAGCTGGAGAAGTGGGGTTGCCTTTCATTCAGTCATCCATGCCATCCGACCAGAACTAGTGGACTTGGAGAGGGTGAGAGGAAGATCCAACCGAGAAAACCTGGAGGAAGCCTTCACTATTGCTGAGACAGAACTGGGGATCCCCAGATTGCTAGATCCTGAAGGTACGTTGAGTATAATAATTGCTGGCTCCACTCAGTAGGATTGTATGTCTTACACCCAGAAATTACAGGTGACTTTCAAGACTCTGTTAGAGGCCAGAACACTTGAAATAACACAAAGAAATAGTATCTTCCTGTACTGCTTTTCTTTTCGAAAAAAATATTCGCCTCTATATTTGGGAGCAAAGTATAGCTCTATTGCTCTAAGCAGCACTTGGATATCGGTGGTTCAGCTAGGTGAACTGTACTTACTGTACTTGTGGGTGTAATGAAAGTTTTAGAAGTGTGCGTTTGGCCAAGGGGTATCACAGGATAAAGGAATTACTCTATATAACAGGGAATAAATAAAAGATTATTGGTAATGTAAGATCATATCTTTAAAATGTCAGTCATTAAATATATAGAAATGATGATAACTGTCCAGTGTTTTGGTGTCAATCAAGAAAACTACACAAATTATTGACTAATATTTTCCATTCCATTGTAAGAATGTGCATGTTAAGGTTTTCTGGACATGTAGTTAACTCTTTCAACTTTCAAAAGACAATTTTGATGCCTTTAATAAACTTTATGAAACTACGTTATTATATTGAAATGAAAGGGTCAAAGTGAATTTTCCAAATGTCACAAATAATTTATTTGGGTTGGCAGTTATGGAAACATTTGTTAGTGAGTGCAGACATGTAAATACAGTGTAAGCAAATTATATTTAAAGGTGAGATTTCAGAATGAAATCTAAGTGAAGACACTTCTGTTTCCAAGACAAGTCACAGGTCCCTAGTTAGTCTCTTCCGAGATGAGGAGCAGCCTGGTGAGCCCTAGCAATTTTAGGGACCTGCATAGGGCTCCTAGATTCAGTAGGATAGCCAAGGCTTTCCACCCTGTTTCTGCACAAAAAGACCCAATATTATCCATCACACTTACTCAGCTCAAGGGGAAAACCACACACATGTCCCAGTCAGTCCTCAACTTGACAGGATGCAGCAGAAGTGGACTTTTTCCTAGAGTGGGATGAGAGGAGAGTATAAATGGTTCTTTCATATCCATTACGCTAGAGGATCTTACTATTATATTTTCTTTGATGATCAGAAAGTGAGATTGCCCAAATCTAAGGCTATCCCAGATATAAGGTGATCCTTGATTTTCCTAATGAGAACTTCCCTATCAAAAAGTTACTTAGTCAAATTTAATGTATAAACTTTTAGGGGTACAGATTAAATAGACCAATGTCTATTATAATTATTTTATGATTTAGTTACCTATGTACTTAAAAGCATGTACTATGTTAAATCATGCATTAAATGTTGCTTTTCTTTCCACTTTCACATTTCATAAAGTTTTACTCATTCTACACATGCATCTTCCATGTCAGCAGTCTTGTCATTTCCAAAATCGTCTTTGAGTCATCTAACAAATTCCAGAATACATTATCTTTTTTTTCTTCTTGTGTCATTTGAGTTGCAGCACTTTTTCAATTCTATATTGGTAGTCCTTAGAAATTATATCTCAAAGCACAAGGAACATTACAAAAATAGGGCAGTTGTATATTTTGATTTATATTTTTTTGTTTGTTTTGTTTTATTTTTTACACTGTAGGTACATGTTTTATATAGGTAATCTCCAAACTGTAATCACTTTTTTCATTGCCTTTAAAAGGGATATTTAAAAGACTTTTCTACAGCATTCAATACTTTTTATTTATGGTGTCTTACCCCCATGTATAATTATTAAATTTTTATAAATATCTTTGCCTTAATTTTTCTGGTTTTATTAGGTAAACACCAATTAACTTTAAATGACAATGATTGAAATCTTTTCAGACTCTATGTCTCCATGAAAAAGTACTTTATTGCACAAAATATAGTAATTTAGAGAAGACACTCCACAATGGAGAGGCTGTCTAAGGAACTGAATATAAGGGCATCTTATTCTTTGCTAAAGCAAAATTTGTGGGGGTTTGGCGTATCCATACCTGACCATGTATAGTTGTACAAACTATATAGTCACTTGTCATTCAATTCCACCCCTGTGTTTTAAATACTACTCCAATTCTGGAACTTACATATTATTTGTATTTTATTAACTAGACAGAATGTCTGCATTATCGTATAGTATCTTAGATTCCTGATCAATTAATATGGAGATTTAGATGAAACCAGTACGACTTTCCTCAAAGCTCTTAAAATGTGTCATCTTTATGAATCATAAAATTTCCACCTTCTACATTTGTTTCCCCCCCCCCAAAGTCTCTAAATAGTAATTTTGTTTTTCTTCTGCATTTAGGACAGTGTCTTTTGGTATATTCGCTAGATTTCGAAGCTTGTGTTATTATAATCTAATGCTAATTGATTTGTTCACACTTGGGTTTGCTTTTCCAGATGTTGATGTGGATAAACCAGATGAGAAGTCTATTATGACCTATGTAGCCCAGTTCCTGAAGCAATACCCTGACCTACACACTGAAGCCGCTGACGGGCAAGAGAGTGATGTAGGTATTTAGTTTTCTTCAAATATCAATACTGCTCTCAGTGACAGTGGCTGATTTTGAAATATGCTGTTTTCAAAATATTACATTGCAATGCATTTTAATATAAGAGCAATTGACTAAAAAGTAGGTATTACCAACTGGGCAGGTGAACAGAGGAAAAAGCTTCTCTGATTTGTTTGTTGGATATGACACAGAAAACATTACTACTTATAAATGTTGTGTATATATAACACTGATGGATTAAAATTGAGGAAAGATGGTAGCATCAGGAAACCCCATTTTAGATAATTTTATATGCATCACATCATTTGCACTTCTAAGTCTGGAGCCCCCGTTCTGGCCCTTGTTCTGCTCAATCTGATGAAATTGAATTTTGACTCTTCGATTTTGTTATGTAAGCTGTTGTTCATGGCAAACCTATGGAAGTAAGGCAAACTTGTAAAAGTTCTAATTATTCACTGCGATTATGTTTTTAGACTTTAATAGTTTCAATAAAATTTAACATTTTTCATACTACTCAAATGACATTGTTCATTGTCACAAATAAAGAAAAACAAAACTTGGAAAAAAAAGGGAAAGAAAATTATTTGTATTTGGCCTTTTAGAGAGAACCTACCCTAGAAAAAAACACGTTGGTGTGAGTTCCCAACATTTTTCAGTGTATATGTAGGTACATATATTTTAACAAAAGTAGAACCATAGTGTGAATACAATTTATAATTTTCTTTTTCCATTACATTATACAAAACTTCTTCCATGTCATTCTTTTCAGGTCATCATATAGGTGTATAGTAATTTACTTATCTAACCTTAATTGTTGAAAATTTGTGATTTTTTGCTGTTATAAACAATACTTCTATGAACAATTTTGTAATAAAGCATTGTTTTACAGTTCTTCCTTAGGAGTGGATTTCCTAGGCTAAAGAACATACAGATTTTTAATGCTTTTTGAAAAGATTTTTCAAATACCCTGTAGGGAAGTTGGTCCCGTTTTACATTCTAACCAGCACACCAGGGTGCCCATTTTCCCTGTCTTTAAAAGCAATGGCTATTCCATCCTCCTAATTTGATAAAAGTAGCATTTGTTTATTATATAGAAAGCTGGATTTACTGCTGATTTTATAATCATTATAAGACAAAGTGACATCAGGGAAAATAACAAATGGAATTTTCAAAATGTGTTAATAACAATCTGTCTTCATCGCTGAGGTCACATCTAGAATTTTTAGAGCAGTCTGAGATTATAATGAAGAGCAACAAGAAAAACAGAAATTTAGAAATGTGTTTTCTAAATAGACTTAGAAACAGATTTCAGGCAGGGAAAGGTCAGGGGAACCAGCCCAAATGTTTCAAATAGGAAAAAGATTTGCGCTAATAGAAATCAGTGACTTCATAAAAGAATTCAGCAAAGCAGTGGTGATTGGTGTTTCCTAGGCTGCTTGAATGAAGCTAATCCAGCGTTTGATAGAACTATATGAGTTTCTTAAAAAATATAATTTCAGGAAGCCTTTTTTCCTTCTTGCCAGAATTTAGGCAAAAACGTTGAGCACCTGAGTAACTTATCTACAGGGCACAAAGTAAATATTTCTGAGAGGCACCGCAGAAGACAGAAAGAAGCACAGACTCTGTGCCAATCCTAGCACAGATGGAGGCACGTGTTTTAGAGCCATTTGGGGGATTTCTGGGTTTTGCAAATGGAACTGGGCATGGACATGGCTGTGCGAATAAGAAACCCTATGGAAAGCATATTAGACTGAATACAGCAGAGAGAAATGCAGCTTCCCATCTGATTTTCATCTCTAATGTCTTTATAGTACCCAACTGGATTTATTTCTGGTCTTGTTTCTGAGTTTGCACTATTTTAATTTCTCTGACGTTAATCATCTCTCCAGATGAGTAAATTCTGTGGCTGAAAAAGCCTGAGAAACAAAAGGGGATGATTTCATTAATGTTCACAAGCAAGAATTTAATGCAAAAACCCTTAGAGATTTGAAACACAAATACTGCTGATATAAACTTGTTAATGTACTTTACTAAAGAGGCTTTATTATGAAGAGATTAATCTCATTATCTAGAAAATAAATTCTTATTTTCCTTTTAAAAATTTCCTCTATCCCTTCCGTAAAAAGAGAATACATATGATTTCAAAAATTAATTTTGAGGAAAATGTATTATAAGCTTTGCCCTTTTTTAATGTGGCATTTATAATGTAAGACAAAACCACCTAAAATGACTATTTTGTAGAAGAAAAAATTATATTTTTGTGATGTAGGGCTTATGTTTGTTTAATGCAGCTAAGTGGCCACCTAATGCTATGTAATGAAACTTTAAGATTTTATAAACTATACATATTGGGGCTATTGGTGCCATCACTCAATATTTGTCTACTCATATTTGTCTATTAGTGAATAGTTCTTTTAATTCAGTTTTGAAAATATTGGCATCCACATATCTACCAGGCTTCCATTTTTTGGTGCATTTGATTTCTATGTCCTCTTTATGAGTTTATTTAAATTAGATATTTTATACATACCATTTTAAATTTAAATTTCTTATTGGAAATAAACATACGATGCTTTTCTTACTTTAGCCAATAAAACAGGTAAAGAAACTTTTTTCCCTAAAGGTATTCCTTAGATCAGGGGTCGGCAAACTTTTGAGATGGAAGAGCCAATTCTGTCCCTCACAACAATTTGAAATGTTTTCAAGAGCCATAAAACAAATACAATCACCATTATGTGAATAATATCCTTTAAAATTTTTATTAATGAAACTATGATAATTTTATTTTCATTTTCAATTTTACTTCAGAGCCACATGTAAGTACCCAAAGAGCTGCGTGTGGCTCGCGAGCCGCATTTGCCAACGCCTGCCTTAGATGATCATCACTCAGTAGTACATAGGCCTATTGATCCATCTTCCCTACCCATCAAGTGTTCAGTTATTTACTCGCTCATTTTTTCTCCCATTGCAGCAAATATTACTGACTGCTTTCAGAAGCACAGCACAGTCTTAATTGCCATGGGTGTATAGAAATACATATTGTGAGTGTATCTATAGAGAAAAAAATAGGAACCCATATACCCCCTTCTTTACATTGTTCTTTTAAAATGTTTACTACTTCAAGACATTTATAAAATGTATATCTTGCCACATACAATTATTATAAATTAAATAAAAACATCAAATGCCGAAATATTACATTGCTTCATTGGATTCAAGCATTTTGATGTTTTCAAAAATTATGAAAACATCTTAAAATAGCAGCAGCCTTAAAATTATTGTCTATTTATTTTTAGACCGATGCTTCTCCATTGTTTTCTTTCTTGTTTCCTATATAACTTTTGTCCCTGATTTAAATTATTTTTCTACACATTATCTTTTCATATTGTTAGGAAATATTTCCAGGTTTCCCATCTTTTGCACATTCTATCCAAAATGTTAAGGTAAGATTTAAGTAACTTTGCAGTAGTGATCCCTTTTCAAACATACTACATTCTGTAGCTTGTTAGCCATTCCTTTGCATGCATTTGTCTTAATACACACAGTTTTAATACCTTAATTTTGTTATCTCCTTTTCTTTTCTATTAGAACAAATAACATATGTGTTATTAAATGTTACTTACAGTCTAAGTTACTGCTATGAGCTTTCCCACTAATCTTTAATTATAAGACAACATCAGTTAATTTCTCTTTAATAACACTTAATAGCACTAATAAAAGGGAGAATTTACAATGACTGTTGGGTTTTTCTGTTATATGTCACATTGAAAATAAAACTAAAGTTAGAGATTTATTTTTACATTTTAGATAGTTAAGCAGGAGGTCATTAGTTGAAAAAAGTAATTATACAGTTAATTTATCCTCCTGAGTTTAATCACATCTTTCTGTTCAATATTGGGTCACATGGTTTAGTAAACTTTATGACATGTAAGTACTCAAAAATATTTGTGGCATTAATGATTATGAATTCTTCCCCATATCCAATCTGTCCTGCACATCAGTTTTCCCATCTTTCTTTGTATTCTGTCAGGCCTGAGTGAAGGATCTATCAACACGATAAACTTTATGCCAATATTGCAATAAAAAAAATCAGAAGTAACTAAGTTCATATCAAATGTTAAATTTTCTTTCAGGTAGACCAAGAGCATTTTGTTCTCCTAAGCACATAAGAATGTGTCATTAGTGCTTTTATGGGCATAAAAGTGAACTGATAATAAGATCTGTGGCTTGCTCACGGTCACTGTTCACTCAGAAGAGCCATCATGGAGAGCCGAAGCTTTGGAATCCTCGGCTCCTGTTCCATTTCTATTTCTAATTAACTGTCTTACCAATCATTTTTTCCACAATTATATACTGAGTGACACTGAATGCCAGACACTGTGTTAGATTGGAGTAAAAAAGATACCGAAGGGGTTTTTATATGGGGGAGAGGGGAAGAGACAGTTAAGTGTATGATTCAAAATAGTGCATTTTGAGCTCAGGTTATTACAAGATCACAGAGAAGTGTTCTCAAAAAGTGGTTCCCTAGACCAGCACCATCAGATTCTCCTGGACACTTGTTAGAAATACAAATTCTCAGCCTCCATCCTAGGTCTGCTGAGCCAGACAGTTTGAGGGTGGGGCCCAGCAATCTGTGTTTTCCCAAGCCGTCCACATGATTCCAGTGCACACGAAAGCTTGAGAACCACTGGTGTAGACTTCTGGGTTAGAAAAAGCCTCTGAGTCAGAGGAGGTTGTGTCTGAGCTGAGCCCTAAGGAGAGCCTTATCCAGGGGGAAAATGTTCCAGGCAGAATGGGGTTGGCTTTGCAGAACTGGAAAGTGAGAGAGGGCATGGAAGCATGATAGTATTGTGTGCCAATCTCTGTACTAGGTGTATTACACAGACTATCTCTATTGTCCCTTAAACCATGGAAAGGGTGTGTGATAACTCCTCAGATGATGGTATAACAGTAGAGAGGTTAAAAATAAAACACACACAAAAAAGATGTGCCCAAGGTCCCAGAGCTAATACATGCTAGAACCAGAATTTGGGAAAAGTTTTGCCTGTGTGCATAGCCAGCAATCTTTCTACTCTGCCACTTCACCTGTCAAGAGAGACAATCTTATCTCTGTCACAGAGCTGTGATCACCGAGTGAGATGCTGTAGTTGAAAGCTATTTGTAAGTGGCAAAAAATCATGTTAAGTGTATTTATGATTAATTTGGCATTCCTGCCAGATAAAGAATCTTGAAAAATTATGGTATTTTCACTAATTCAGCGGTAGAATTGCTTTTGTTATTATTTGTGGAAACAACATGTAAATCTCCTTTTTTTTTTTCACTTTTGAGATGAGAGTGGTGGTTTGGACACATTTATTCGGCATATAATTTAGTAATTACCTTATAGGTGCCATGTACCCAGGGTCTAGGAATACCACATTGAACAAGATAAATGGGTTTTCTGTTCACATGGAGCTTATAACACTGAATAGTAGTTTTCAATGATATACACAAGTAGTCTGATGTTATTGTGACTGTAGCTTCTTGAATTCAGTCAAAATTAATCTCATCCGGAATAGTCCTCTGGGTAACCAATGGCCTTGGGTTAAGAGGAAACTTCAGGCTTATGTTTCTACTCCCATTCCAGCTATTGCTCTGAGTACTTTTTTTTTTTTTTCTACTTAGGTCATTCCCGTCATGCAGACATTTTCTTAATTAAATTAGCATTTCTTGAGAGAACAAAATGAAGATAACTTCAGTATTTAGAGATAATTCCAGTATTTTTATAGAATTAACTCTTGTTTTTAACTCTCTAAAAGAGGTGAGAGTGGAGAGAGAGAACATTTTTCAGAGACACTTGAAATCTATTAAAATTAAGTCTATTCCAGGGTCAGTCAGGTATGAATCAGTAATTAAATAAATGCACAGCTACTAATAAAATTGTAACATCTGCTGGTTTCTAGAGAGAAAACAGGCTAATTTTGAAGGAAATGAAAGTTTGGATTGAACAATTTGAAAGAGACTTGACAAGGGCACAGATGACAGAATTGAATTTGCAGGATAAATACCAGGTAATGTATGGAAAAGAGATTTCAATTTTTCAAAAGCCTTTCATGAATAAGAGTCCTGTGTTTCATTTAATCTATGTTTAATCTTTCAAATGATATTAATAAAAAAGTCTTTAAAGAATATGTGTTATCTTAAGTTTGCATGCAATTTTATAATTGTATTTCTATGTAAATAAGTACTTTTAAATTGTATATGACCATACCGTGTATAGAGCACTGAGGCTTCATGATTTCCAAAATTCAGAGTCTGATCAATGACCCAGAACACAAACACCTAGTTATTGTTTTTGTGGAACTCATGATTCTCTAGATGTCACATAACAACGAAAAAATCCACCCAAAAAATGACTTCAGTTCTAAATTAAATATTACTATAGAATAAGTTGAATTTAATAAAGGATTGCATTATGAATATTTGGAGTGGGCCCATTAATGGTATCAGTTTCTACTGTGACCTATCTAGTTCAACACTATTGCAATCAAGTTGAGGCCAGGGCTGTTTTGTTGTTGATTCCCCCAGTCTCATTACATTGTCATTAAATGGATTTTGGCTTCCAATTTCCACTTCCAAGACACAAAATTATATAATGGGTTTTCCCATTAAATTGTGATTTATTCTATGCAGCAATGACATTTCCCCCCTATTTAAAATAGCATTGCATTTAGTGGCCAAACTATGAGGTGTGATCAAACAATATGGTGAATGTTGAAATAAAAAAATTTACAGTAAAAGATACATTGCCGTTAATCCCCCTCAAAATACTCCCCTCACTTCGAACACACTTATGCTATCATTCTTGCCACTTTCTGAAGTACTTCCGGAAGTCCTCTTTTGTGAGTGCCTTTAGTTGCGCTGTCATGGCTGCCTCGTTGTCCTGAATTGATTCAAAACATTTTCTTTTCATGGTCATTTTGACTTTGGGGAAGAGGCAGAAGTCACACAGTGCCAGATCTGGTGATTAAGGTGGATGAAGACACACTGTAATGTTTTTATTTGACAGAAATTGCCATACCAGAAGCAACGTGTGACACAGAGCATTGTCATGATGGAGGATGATTTACTGCACACTTTAAAACACACCTTCTCTCAACCATAGCTCACACCCAACTGACGGCACCAAACAAGTTGAAACTTGTCACACACTGTTACTAAGGTTCAATGTGTCGCTTCCCATATTGAAGATCCCTGCCTTTCCATTGGATGGCACTCGGCAACAGCATTCACTGCATTTTGTGATCACAACGGAAAGGCTCCATGTCACACATCACTTCTGGTATGGCAATTTCTGTCAAATAAAAACATTACAGTGTGTCCTCATCCATCTTACTCACTGAATCTGGTACCATGAGAGTTCTGGCTCTTCTCCAAAGTTAAAATAACCATAAAAGGAAAATGTTTTAAATTGATTCAGGACATCGAGGCAGCCACGACAGCACAACTAAAGACAGTCATGAAAGAGGACTTCCAGACTGCTTCAGAAAGTGGCAAGAACGATGGCATAAGTGTGTTTGAAGTGAGGGGGAGTATTTTGAGGGGGATTAATGGCAATGTGTCCTTTACTGTAATAATTTTGTTTTATTTAAAGATTCAACATATTTTTCAATCACACTTCATATAATATATTCTAGACTATATTATATTCCAAGCATGATGTGAGTGATTCAACTTGGCAAACAGTAAAAGATTTAGCTATTATGTTAGTGTGTATTTCATATAATTATATCTATAAGGTGTGCTTGACTGTAGATGGGTGATGCCATCAATATTATATTTGAGGAACTTGACAAAGTGGTTAATATGTGCTTACATTATGCTTTTTTGCTTGAAATTCAATGTAATCTTTTCCCCCCAAAATACAATTTTCTGGGATGAGCTACATTAAAAAGGTATTAAACCAAGAAACTGATAATAGAAATGCAAGGAGAGAATGAACACACTTATTTAGTCTATTAGTGAGTTTTAGTTTCAGCATAAATTGTCAAAAAATAAATTGCCAGTTATAAAGTTACATGTTGTGCAGATGTTATTTTATAAAAGGAAACAAAAAGGATTAGAAAAATATAAAACAGAAACGCTCCTTTCAGGCCAAGTATGATCACCAGTTTCTTAAAATAGGGTGACAGACCATCTGAAATCTGAATATAGGGAACATGTGGGTTTATTGTGTCATCAACATTTTCTATCTGTTTCTACTTATCACTCAATAGTGTATTTCCTAGATTTTACATTCATAGAATCTGTGGAATAAATTTGAAGATTGATTTTATATTTTGGCATTTTTAATTACATTAAGTTAGAGGGAATGGGAAGTAACTATGGTAAAATGCTTATTCACCGTCTCCCCCCAGTGTTCTTCATGTGGATTTACATGTTTGTTTGCTCTGAGACTTAGAAATTCTTTTAGATGTATTATCTGTGAGATTTGGTAGGGCCATTCTCAAGTTCTTTACCATAACTGCACACATTAGTGGTATTTTCAATTCATATTTAGATATGGAATCATATTTTAGGATGTGTTAATTTAATATGAAATGTAGAAGTTATTGTCAGGGGAGATAATATGTAGAAAGCACTTCGCATGGGGCCAGGCTCATCTTCAGGCTTGATGAATGGTGGTTGCTATTAGTATCATGACTGTCATTATTATTATCAACGACATATATTGAGTGTTATCCAAATATGAAGGGTTGTTATTTAGGAAATGTGGTTTCCTTTGCTTTTGCTTTTTTTGACTCACTGCCATCTTGGTTGTTGTTTTTCCTCTCTTAGTCATTTAAGCACTTCAGAGTTCAGTATGAAATAAAAAGGAAACAGATTGAACATTTACTACAACCGTTACATAGAGATGGCAAATTGTCACTTGACCAAGCCTTGGTGAAACAGTCCTGGGATAGACTGTCCTCCAGGGTAAGTCCTCCCGTGATTTATTTCATTTGGGCTTCCGTAACTTAGTCAAGGCCATTTTCCATCATCCTTTTTTGCACAGTAATGTTGCACCTGGTCCTCCTGCCTCTGTCTGAAGTAGGAAAGATTTGACTGTGGGAGAATGTTTGCCCTCTCGTCAAGTTTTCCTTTAAGTTTAGGGAAGTTCTCGTTCAACATTTCTCCCGACTTTTCTGCCCTGCACGTGATATCGCCGTCGACCGGATGATAGACTGAAACCCTGGCAGACCATCTGGGTTCCTTCTTCCTTTACACAAATTCACTCTGGCTTGTTTAGGAGTGGAGCCTCCACAACTTCTCCATAGTCCATAACCATGATTCATCAGTAGTTACTAATCTTCCTATATTCACATTCATGTTTCTAGTCTTTAACTGAAACTTAAACCTTGTTACCTGGTCTTTCATGAACCTGAAGGGGGACTGCTCAGGAACCTCAATATTAACTCTTTGCAAACTTAAAGACCAAGATTTCAAAACCTCTGGAATTTCTATCATTAGTGGCAATATTTGTCTTGAACTTATCTTATTTTCTCCATTTTTATGGTCTATTTTTTTTTCCATAAACTCCATCAAAGAACAGCTTAGTTTCCAAGCACCTCCATCCATCCTACCTGGCCCTCCAATAAGCTGGGGAAATGGTGCTTGAAAATTGAATGAAGTGGAAGAAATGGAGAGATGGTTAGAGAATTATATTATTACAGGAGGAATCCTGAATACTCGACTTCCTCCAGAGATGTCTAGATGACCCTGATTTTTCTGGACCTGTTCTTATGATGTAGGAGGTTTTAAGGGTTACACATCCTGCATCCTTGAGCATGTCAGCAAACTCAATCCCTTCCCGTTCAGCAAAAGCCCAACTGAAAGTTAGTGGGTGCTTTACGCTATTCCTGTAAGAAGAAAATGGCTTAAGAAGAAAATGGCTTCCATGTCTAAGATGTATTTTAGAGTTTGCTCAAAATTTGCTTGTAACAGTATTTCCTCCCCATTCTCAGGCTGGCCGAGTGGCTCAGTTGGTTAAGAGCTCGCTCAAGAGTTTGAGCTCTGAGCAACAGCAGTTTGAGTCCAGCCTGAGCTGAGCAGCCGCTGAGCTGCCAACAGGTAGCAGGATGGCTCAGCTAAAAAAAAAAAAAAAAATGCCCTTCCTCCCCATTCTCAAAGCACCAAATTCAGAACACAGATAATCTTTTTATTTGAAATGTATTAAATTAACATGAAATTATTAACTTAAAGCCTTGTGTAGGCTTTGAAATCATTTGGGGGAATTTTAGGAATTGCCTTCTGTATTAGAGATATTTTGTTTTTCTACTTTTGCCTTTCAGCTCTTCGACTGGCATATACAGCTTGATAAATCTCTTCCAGCACCTCTGGGCACTATAGGTGCCTGGTTATACAGAGCAGAGGTGGCCCTGAGAGAGGAAGTAACCATTCAGCAGGTTCATGAGGAAACGGCCAACACAATACAGAGGAAACTTGAGCAACACAAGGTAAAAATTCTGGTCAGAAAACCTTCCAGCATGACAGTCCCAGTGTGGTCTGATGTGGTCTATTTAGAACATGCAGGGACATGGCCTACCAGGAACCCATTCATACTGATTCAGAAATGTCACACCTTCTTAGAAGTTCTCGGATCTACTTCCCTCTCCTGTACTTGTTAATGACAGCTCCAGTAAATTTATTTCCTGAGGTATTTTCCAGTAGCTCTTTGATATTTTTTCATCTGCAGTTATCTTTGTTCGCTCTGTTGTTATACATTATTTTTCAAAACATAAGCCCACAGACAGTATGCATTTGCATAATAATGTGATTGGCCATTGGCTCCAGACCTCATTCCTGCCTCTGTTCTCAAAGGAAGGCAAGGCAAGTGGCCAGTTTCTTAGGTTCTGGTGCAATGGGGCGGGGTGGGGTGGGGGAGTCATGGTCTTAACAAGGGGGGGGATTAGGCCTTGATGCCATTTAGTCATTTGTGAACTTTTTCAGCTTACTGCGTGGTCAGTGTGCTTAGTATAAAGTCTAATATACTTCCTCTGTGTGTTTTGTGATAGGTCAGACCTAACTGAAAATGCTATTTTTCATTAACATCACATTAACGCAATCCTACATTTTGTGCAATTGAATTTGTATGCCTCTTTAACCATCTCATGGCGGGTTGCTGTATATGTGGAAAATAGATTGACAGAGATTTCTACTCCTGACCACACATGGGCTATTTATAGCTCATATATATTTTCTGCCAAATTATCGATATTTTTAAAGCTACCCCAAGGAAGTAGACTGTTGTATATTCCCAACTAGATTATAAAGCAGATTCATGACAGATTTTATTTCATGTCCCTTTGGAATCTTATTTTTGGAACTAGAGATGTAGAGATGCCATGAAAATTCAACTCCTGGCCCTTTCAGCTCAACCTCCTCAACCCAGATTAGCTCATCAAACACGACTGACACACACACACAAGATTTTGTGTTCCCAGACAGTCAGTCAGGGTCCATCCTCCATTTATGCTTGGCCCTTCTTCATTTTTAACCCCTTTCTTCTCCATCACCATCAACACACACAAAGCACACACAGAACTCTATAGAATCTGCCTCTCAGATTAGAGCATGACTTTGGAATCTGCTCCTGGGCTATATCCATGTTGAGATTCCTAGTATATTAAAAATAGGGGGGAAATGGTAAAACAGAGCTACACAAATAATGCCACTTTCACATGTCAGCAGTTCGCCATAATGTTACATACAAACAAAGTCACCTTAGTGTTTTAAACCAAATGAAGAATGTACACCGATTATGGGTTGGATGTGCCAACCAAGCAAATGTGTACCGAGGGCCCACTATGTGTCAGGTTTGGCACTGGGGAGACTGCTGAGGGTGCCTCCAGTGTAGAGGTTTGGGAAACAGCATGTGTATGTTGTTTATCTAACAGACCTAAATCCCATTGAAATGCTCCACCATAGAGAAAAATGTCCTACGATATTCACTGTGCTATTTACTAGGTAATGAGATTTAGCGGAGATAGTAGTTCATGGTACACTCTAGGCAGCATCAATGCCTTTAAATTGGACGGCACACATGCTGTCAGTGCCGATACGATGCGAGGCTCCTCCTGACTCTTCAGGCTTCCTGGAGAGAGGGACCCTGTGCCAGCCACAAAGTGTGCAGCCAGAACCATCTCTGCCAAAGTGCAGTAAGCAACCATAAAAGCCAGAAATGAAGTGGAGCGGGGAGAAGGAAAGGGGTAGGAGTCAGAGCCGATATATTCTCTGAAACTGAAAACCAGAAAGGACTGTACTAAGAGCGAGGGAGTGCAATGAGGAGAGAACAGGGAGCTAGCAACAGGCAGGCAGGGGCGAAGGTGAAGTTCAAGGCAAATCCCCGGGATGAACTTTTTACTGGGTAGGGACTTTTACTAGGTCTGTGCACCAGGACTTAAAGTACTAGAGTCATAAAATCGGTAATTGTCAATGATAAGACCAATTCTCATTCCTCCCAAATGTATTTATTAGGTGCCTATAATAAGCTAAGGTTTGGTGATGTGAGAAGTTTGAATCATGGTTCAGATAACTAAAATCCTAGGTTTCCTCAATAACAGAGAAATCAGCCCATCAATTTGGTATTAGTTCCTCTGCTCTGGTACATTGGGCTCAATTGAAAATGCAATCAATTGATAAAAGTGTAATATAGGACTCATCAATACATGAGCAAGAATGTCTGAGAATATTATCCCCCCATCCCAGTCTAAAAGTAATTATGGTGTGTGCCATGAACACTTAAATATGCTACCAAGATCTAGAATTCTTGATTTTCTGCATTCTTCATATCTTTTTTAAAAAAAACATACTACATGACAATCTTTCATTACTTAATACATAAGTAGTTTTTAAACTTAAATTTTAAAATGTAAACAATTTTAAAAATTGAATTCAGATAACTTTTAAAACAAATTTTTTTCAAGGAGTTCACTTTATGAATGATTCTACCAATGTTTTTTACTATTTTTTAAAAAATTTACTTGCATGATGTAGAAGCACACTTATCCTGGAAAACAAGGCGCCCCTCTATTATCTCTTCTATTTTTCAGATACCCTCATGCTCAGTTATCTAGAAAGATCACAATAATCCTACATAACTGTGACTGAGATTTTAGCCATGTTTCAGTCCTAAGTACTTATTTTGCAAAGCACATGACATTTAGGGTGTGAAATAGGTATTATTACTCTAATTTTGCAATTAACTAAACTTTAGGCACAGAAATGTTATCTGGCTTGCTAAAGGTCACATAGCTGATAATCCAGATTGTTTTAAACACTAAACTTCAAATGTGCCCACAAAACTATTGCATATAATACAAGTAGAGTGATTTAGCCTCTTTGTATTGGGTTATCAGAAAAGTCATGACGTATTTTTTCTATGTTTTTCATTGCAAAAATATATCATGACTTCTCCGACAACCCAATAGTATTGCTTTGACAGTGTAAGGTTGTCAGTCTGAAGGAATTATGAAAATAGTCATCAGGCTGCCCATGCTTACTGCAGTCATTCACCTTACCTACGTCACTTTCCTTCCTTTCCTGAATATTTTAGTTCTTGGATGACAATACATACCATTATTCTTAATAACTTCACTAACCGGTAGATGACCTTGCTAATATCCTGGCCTCTCGGTTGCTGGACCATCTCTCTCTCAGTGCTCCTGTCCTCCACCCCACCCTAGCCACTCACCACACAGGCAAAGACCAGAACTTGTCATCCCCAGGAACTGAAGCCCCACCGCAGTCTCTTCCTCAGGCACCTCACTGGCCAGTCAAAACTTGCCCCATCGCCAAGTCATTTCCTCTGTGCAACCCATTGATCCTACAGCCATTTTATTGCTTTGCATCCTCTTCTTGCCACCAGTCCCCTGTGTACTTTGTTAAAATTCAATGCTCATTCATCAAAACCACCCCTTGTCCATACTCTAACCACCTTGTCCAAGTCTCACATTGTTCTACTGTCCTGGCTAAAACACAACCCTAGCTAAAGCCAACTCTCTGCTTAATTCTAGCCCATGCACATATAGCTGACTGTGGCTGGAGAATAACACTCTCCCAGGCATGGTGACTAACCCAAGTGGGCCCTTAATGCAGGCTGGAGTTTCCCAGGCTCCAAAGGCATTTCCCAGCACCATTCCCTCTCCATTTCTGGGACAAGTATTTCCTACCTTGTCTCCTCAACCCTTCCACACCTCCTCCCCCATCCTTACTCTTAGCTGATGGCACTGTTTCCTATTTCTCTGAGAAAATAGAAGCAATCAAAAAAGAATTTCCACAAGCTCCCACGACCACATCAACCCACGTGCATGCGTCTGTGCCTGCATATTCCATCGTCACTTCTGTCACCATGGGTGAACCATCTGTGCTCGAAGCGAAGGCCAACCCCTCCACATGTGCACTAGATCCCATCCTCCCTGCTCTTCTCCAAGAGACAACTCCTGCAGTTCTTCCTTTATTTATTGTTTTTTTGTCTCTCTTTGCTGGATTTCCCCCATCCATGTTAAGTGTGCTATTATTGCTCTCATTTTTAAAAGGTCTCTTTCTTAACTGCACTTCCCTTTCCAGCTATTATTCATTTTTTCTCTTTTATTTTACAATAGCTAAGCTCTTTGAAAGAGTTGTCTGTGCTTCATTTTGGTTTCAAAATTCTTCTCTCCCATTCTTTCTAGAACCAATCCAACCAAGTATTCCTTAGTCATGTTGTTTATCTCAGGGAGGGTTCTCCTTAATCCTCACTCAGTGGCCAATTCAGTCTTCATCTTACATCCCCCGTCAGAATCCTTTTACGTAGTTCTTCCTTCATCCTTGAAACACTTTCTTCATTTGGCTTCCTAGTTTTTATTTCTATTCCTCTAGCTGCCTTTCTAGTCTTTCCACAAATATTTATTATGTGATTTCTAGGTGCAAAGCAGTGTCCTAGGCATTTGTGATACACCCTATAAGCACAACAAACAAAAATCCCTACACTTATGTGACTTATCTAGTGGGAAGCGGAAGATGAGAAACAATAAAAATAATCAATAAATGTTAAATTAGAAGGTAAAAAAAACAGGAAGTATTAGACAGTGTTGCAATTTTAAGTAGGGTAGTCGGTGAAACCTCATTGAAACGATGACATCAAATAGGCACATTTCCACCTCAAGGCCATTGTCTGTGCCATCTTTCTGTAACGTTCTCTCCCCTTGACCTGAAACATTCTCCTACTGATATTCCCAGTCTATTCTTCTTCATTTCCTTTGGGCCTTTATTGAAAGGTCACCTCTTAATCAATACTTTCTTGGCCACATCTTTGAAATTACAACTCCCTATACCCTTCCCTGTTCAATTATTCTCTTTAGCATTTATCTTCATCTTAACTGCTATTTTAATTATGTATCTTATGTATTGTTGATATCCTACAGTTATGTCACCTCTGTAAGGGCAAGGATTATTGTTTGTTTTTTCACTCTTGTATCCCCAGCTCCTAAAAATGATTTTAGAAATATGCAATTTATTTTTTTAAGATTTTATTGGAGAATTGGGGGAGGAGAACAGCATTGGAGAATCTGGGAAGGGGAACAGACAAGTTGCTGTCCTTTTGTTATTCAGTCTAGTTGTGGAGGACCTCACTTCACTGGCCCATGTTGGTATTATCGTTGCGCTCTTCCCGGGTGAGGCAGATCAGTCACCAGGCCCTGGATGGCCACTCACAGCGGCTCTTGGCAGCTCATGCCGGCTGCCAGCCGCTCATGCCAGCTGCCTGCCACTCACGGTAGCTTTACAGCAGCCCACTGCAGCAGGGGCTGCAGCCTACACCATCACCGATGACTCACGGCAGCCCAGCTCCAGGTCGAGCTGTTGTTCACCATCTTAGCTGTAGAGGGCGCAGCATCACTGGCCCTCATGTGGGGTCCGAACCAGGGCCCTGCTGCTCAGAGCTGGCATCTCAAGCCAACTCTTAACCAACACGCTGCTTGGCCGGCCCCCCAATTTTTAATTGGGCCAATATTCCTCATTCATACTTTCTAAGAATTTGTCCATTTGACTAAGTTTTCAAAATTAATGGCATAAAATTGTTCAAAATACTCTCTTCTATTTTTTGGTAATTTTTCTGTGCCTAAATTTTACCTATTTTTATGTGATGTTGTTTCATTGCACCTTCTCACTTCCCTTGATTGCATCTTTGGCCTTGTTGGTTTTCTCTGTCATATCCTAGCTATCTTTGACTACCCACTTTCTTACCAGAGGAATGGTGTTATCACTTTTTTAACAGTTTCGCTCTGGCTGCTGTGTGGGAATAGATGGGATTAGGGATAGAAGGTAGGAGCTAATGAACCAGCGTCAACAGTCTCAGTGATCCAGGTGGAGTTGCAAAAACCAGGGTGACAGTTGTAGAAATGATGGAAATGGCCAGATCCTGAATATATTTTGAGGACAGAGCAAAGAGAATTTTCAACATTAGATATCGATTGTGAAGGAAGGCGCGTCGTACATGACATTATGATTTTTGGACTGACCAACTGGAAAATGGAGTCCATCAATTAAGATAGAGAAACAAGGAAGCAAGTTTGGGAGGAAAGATCAGAGGTTCGGTTGGGGGATGAGGCTTTTTTGCATTCCAGTGGACATATGGAGAAAAGAAACAGGAGCTCAGAATAGGGGGATAAGCTGGAGACAAATATTCAGAGTCATCGGCATATCGAGGGGTGTTTAAAGCTCTAAGACTAGAGAAATTCAATAAAGACGTATAGCTAAAGAAGAGAAAAGGCTCAAGAACCGAGCCCCAAGGGAGTCCAGTGTTAAGAGATCACAGAATAAAGATGAACCAGCCAAAGACTGTGAGAAAGAACAATCAGTGAAGCAGGCAGGGATGCAGCTACTGTGCTGTCTTAGAAGAAAAAGGAAGTGGTGTATCAGGATAGGGGATTTTCGGTAGGATGGCGAGCGATCCTTTTGAAATGCAATTCAGCTCATTTCACCCCTCTGCTCCAAACTCCCCACTGACTTCCATCTACTCAAAATAAACAACAAAAATTCTTACAAAGGCCCATGAGGCCCACAGATCAGCAGCCCTTTCCCTCCTGTCCCCTCCCCGCCCCCTAACCTGCTATCCCGATTGTCCCCTTTGGTCCATCTCAGTCCCTGGGGGAGAGAGGTAAGCCGTGAGCTCCCACAGCCATGCGGGTGTGTCAGTTTCCCTCTGCAGTTCCCTGTTTCGCTTTATGTGTTTATTGGCTTACTAGGTACGTTCAAGTTCAGAATTAATATGTCTTCTAGTAAATTGGAAGTTTCATCATTAAGCAGTTAAATTATAATGATTTCTGTTATGAAATCTATTTTATCAGATACGCATATGCTGATGCCAGCCTCCTTTGATTAGTATTTGCCTGGCGTGTTGTTTCCCATTCTATTAATTTCAACCTATCCATGTTCTTAGTGTTTAGATGTATCTCTTGTAAGAAACAGATGGCCCTGTTTTATTTGCTTCCCTTTTATTTGTTTGATCTGACAATCTCTGCCTTTTAACTGGTGGATTTATATTCTATTCACATTTATTTATAATTATTGATATACTTGAACTTGTTTCTACCGTCTGCCTCTTTGCTTCCCATTTACTCTAATTCCCCCCTGCCCCCCCCCCACAGTCCTGCTATTTATAAGCTGATTGAGGGGTTTTTCATTTCAAATGAATTGTTTGTTCATTTACTTGCCTGTTTTTCTTTTTCCATGTTTTACCCTCTACTGATTTGAACATTATCAACTCTCGGTGAATAGTAGGGTTGCCCTTGAAATTATGCTATAGAGTCTACAAAATTGAAAGTTAAGCAGTGTCTTCACCACCTCTTAATCAATATAAGGCAATAAGAACACTTTAACCAGATCCTTCTCTTCCTAACTTACAAGCTGTTGTTTTCAACTATTAATTGCTCCTATTTTTCTAACACTATAAATTTGTTGTTTCTGCTGCTTCTCACAAATGGTGACTTGTTTCATGTGCTTGGTGATTTTTGCTTTCCTCCTCCTGTATTACATTTGCTACCAACCAGGCCCACACCAGCCCCCTTTGAGGGTTCTGGCTAAATGTAAGAGTCTCTATGTCAGTGTTCTCACCTTAGTCAAGTCCCAAGACAAAATCTCCTGCAGCAAATGTGCAGGTATTTGCTTTGGGACCATCAGCTTTTTCCATTTGATATTGCTCACAGGTCTGCGATCCGGTTCAGGGTCCTGAATGGGAGACATAAAAGATTTCACTTGCTTCCCGTCAACTCACCGGTGAATTAAAGTCACATGCTGTTCTCAGCGTCTGGCTGTTGTAGAGTGAGATTGCCTTTCCAGAGGACCTAGTGACATCATGCCAGCTGTAGTTCTTTTGTCATATGTTTGAAACTGTTCTTGTTTGTTTTGATATCTTGTCAAGATTTTTTAAATGAACTAGTTACTTAAAAGTACAATAGGGAAAGCTTCTTAGAAGGCAACTGAACATTTGGGTATTCCGGCACCCCATCCATACATTCACATACGGCCACACACAACACATCCAAACTGGGCGTGGCGGTGGCCCCAGTTGGCCCTGCAGTCACTTGGGGAGTCTCAGCCAAGATCATTTGCTGTAGAAATGTGTCTGGATGATACAAAGGAGGTGGAGAGTGACAGAAGCACTCACAGTCAGTAGCCGCTATAGGAGCGTTCTCTGTTCTTTTGACCAGCTTGGCGGCATATAGTGCCCTTTTTCTGGGCAAGGAGCTGGTGAATATCTGTGCAGTTCCTTAGAGATTAAAAGTAGCTCAAAACACAGTTCATAGTAAAATATATCAGGATGGAAATAGTTTGGCCCTGGCTTTTTCTACAATGTAAAAGCTAATCCCCCCCACATGAATTTCACTTATGTGAACAAATGCACATGACTTTAGCATTTTAATCTATGAGAACCTTCATTTCCCCGCCCCGCTTCCATCAAGTGTTTCTCTTATGGCTTTAGGCTGGTTTTTGGTGGTGGTTGTTGTTTTTGTTTTTTGGGGGTTTTTGCTTCTATTTTCTCCAATCAATCCACTAAATAATGGTGTGAGAGAAACAATATCAATTTAAATGTATCATTCTGGTGGGCTAATGTGTCTTACTTTTCAGCGAGTATTGGGTATTTGTTCTGCTATTGAAAAACAAATTAAACTCTAGAAAATATGACAGAATCTCCTTTCACTTCTCTCCTTCTTTGCTTCTGTGTGAGAAATTGGCTAGGATTTGTGAAATTCATGTAAGTCTTTATATAAATCAGCCTGTTGACAGTGAAACACTCAGAAAATAAATCAAGGGAGATTCAAATTAATCTAAATAAATGATTCAAATTACGGAGCTCTATACAGCCTACAAAGAATATTTATAAACATCGCACACGATATCTTTGGGACATTCCCTGTGCTTGATTGAAATGTTCTAACCATAAGGGTATTTTCTTAATATATTGTAATAGAATTGACTTACTTTAGATGGCAAGCAAGTATCTTTATGATAGCTTGCATGCATTCAAAAGAAAAAGACTCTAATATTTTTACCATTAAAGGGTTAAATTAGTTGTGCTCAGTTTTCAGCTTTTAAAAATCAGCATATGTAAAATTTGAGGAAGGAGAAAAATACCCAATCATTGTTTATAGCAGTGATTACATGTTCCTTTGGACCATGTACCTTTAAAATGTGTGAAAGCATTGCTGTGCAAGTGTCATGTGTGTTTAAAGATGCCATAATTATTAGATGCGGCTCTAGCACGGGGTCTTATAGGCAAGCACTGGACTCCTGTACAAGGTACAAGCTTTTGACAGTCACCAAGCCGCATATGGATGTGGCAGCAGGATGAAATTGTTGAATACATTGACTCATCGGTACAGGCTGAAAATTATGCTTCTGAGCCTCCTGTGAACATGTTTCCTCATTTTTTTATTTTTTTAAAATTGTATCTTAGGATCTGCTTCAAAACACAGATGCCCACAAAAGAGCCTTCCATGAAATCTACCGGACCAGGTCTGTCAACGGGATCCCAGTGCCCCCTGATCAATTAGAGGACATGGCCGAGAGGTAAGAGAATGCCTGGTTTTAAATGAAGTCTCTTTTTAAAATGCTTGGTGGATGCTTTTTCCATTTCTTTTCTTTTTAATGAATTGATTTTTTTTTTAACAGAAACGCTTACATTTGGTACAATAAAACTGGGCTCCCGTAGCATGTGCTTAAGAATGCCAACATTCTAATATAGCATTAAATAAAAACAGGAAACCTGAATATACCCAGAGCCTGGAAATCACAGAAATGGTTTCTTCAGAGGCTGTATTTTTATTCAGCACTGTGAGGAACATTATGTAATATTTCAAAAACAGCTTATAAAAGAAACAGAGGAGAGATGTGTTGGCAGGAGAAAGAACTAAATCAAAGACTTCCATCAATCATGATTTGCCTTTAAACCCAGAGCTAGAAAAGGAGTCAGACCTCCAGCTAGTGACGGATCAGCCAGACTTTAGAAGACCTGGTGCCTGCCTCCCCATTTAACCAGCTGACATGTAACAGGTTAAGTAAGCACTGTTCTGTTACTATTCGTTACATTCTGGAAACTGTGTTTTATTTCTAGGTTTCATTTTGTGTCCTCCACATCAGAACTGCACTTAATGAAAATGGAATTTCTAGAATTAAAGTACCGTCTGCTCTCGCTGCTGGTTCTTGCAGAGTCAAAGCTGAAGACTTGGATCATCAAGTATGGAAGAAGAGAGTCCGTGGAGCTGCTTCTGCAAAGCTACGTTGTAAGTCTCCCCGCTGCCTTGATAGACACGAGGGACCCCTGGGTTTAGCCTTCAACACCGACCAGTTGATTGGACACTGGTATTTTAATCTTGAATTTCAGCATGAAGGTGCCAGTGTGATAAACGGGTTTGATATGTTGGTGAGCTTTCCACAACAATCTGAAATATGCACCTGTATTCTTTGGAAGTATAGAAGGCTTTGCTGCATGAATCATACTGAACCATTGCGACTGACTTTATTGCATAAAAAAAAAGTTTTTGCATCACATACCCATGACTGTGATTGTGAGCTCACCATGGAAACAGAGTTAAAATACTTAAAGATTATCTTCATGTCTTCTAAAATCCAGTCATGAGTAGTTTAGGACAATTGAGAATTGAATTGTCTTAAACTATTTTTTTTAGGTTAGGTCCAGGATATCTTTTTTATGGCTATCCCCTGAGTTTCACTGCTTTTTGTGTGTATCCAGGAAGAGTAAAATTTTTACTGTAAACCTCTGTACCAATTTAATTTTTAAAGAGTATCTTCTATTGTGGGCTATCTATCTGTCTATCTATCTATCTATATGTACATATAGATAATTCTATGTATGTACATAGAATAGTAGCCCTGTATTAATGAAGGGATTAATATTAATGAAGATTGTTCTGTAACTAGCAGTTTCCATTTCTGTGTAATCAGAAAATTATAATTATTAAAGGCAGTTTATTTCTCTTAGACATGCATCTCTCCAAAATTTATTAGTAATACATATTTGCTTGCAAAATTATTGTGACTAGGGCATCTCAGTTCTATATTATTTCATTTATGTTTAATCACAAATTCTAAATGATAAATTAATGAATGTAAAATATAAGCCCATTCCTGACCTGACTAGTCGCAGTAACTCTGTAACAGGTATGAATGAATACTTATTGAAACCATGTCTCTACTGAAGCATCCTAGAACCATAATATATTTTGCTGCATTTTAATTTTCTAAGTGATAAGTGAATGACATGCATTTTAAGAAAAAAAATTTAACAGGTTTACAATAAAATCATTCTCTAGATTTACTACAATTGTCTCAGAAACAATTGTCCAAAAATGTGAAGTCTGTTATATGTTCCCTTATTCATTTTTAATTATTTTTGAAAGTAATGAAAATCCAATTTTTTCAGTTCAAGTAATTACATTAGTGTTTTAAATATTAAATACAGGTATGAGTTTATATTTGGGGGCTTAGTCATATCAAATGATGCACTCGGAGCTCAGTAGGTATTTATGCAAGATCCATCTTTGTTGTAGCTATTTAAGGGCAGCCAATCAGGTGGAAATGCCTAATAGGACTGTTGCATCAGGTGAATGTTCCAACACAATGATGTTTGTAATTCTGTTTGAACATCTCAAATAAAGTCTATGTAAAGAGAGAGTTGTTATTAATGATAAAAAAGCAGTGCTTTCTGCTTACTCCATAAAGTAAAGAGGAGTTCACCAAACTGTTCATTTTAAACTTCTTTTTAGATCAAAATTATTTGTGAAATTGTTACTTACTCTACAAAGATGGCAGATGTTTCATGAACATTTCCTAATATTCTTATCCCTATGTATCACTCACACTTCTTTTCCAAAAAGGGCTTAAAGGTATTTCTTGTTTAGTAGTTTGAATAACTGGGGGATACTGAATTTTCCCACATGCCAAGTGTTTTGCCTATGTCACCTCATCCCAGCGATGACCCCGATGACCCTGTGGCTGCATGTTTTCATAGTTTCGCTGAAGCGACGAACATCCTGGAGCGCTCAAGCCACAGGCAGCATCCTGGTGGCAGAGTTGGTGCGAAGTGGAATCACGATTGGAATCCACATCTTTCTGACCCAAAAGCCTTTGTGCTTAAGTACTGAACTTCACCATTTGACAAAATAAGCTGTGCAAAAAGTTTGTTTTTCAAGCTTAAAAGACCAAATCACTAAAACGATCTGTTGTAGCTTAGCGAACTAAAGAATGTAGCTCACATAAATTTATTAGTTCCACTGAATGTGGGTCCATATTTGACAATATTTTATACTTCCATACTGTAGCCTGAAAGTCTCCATTATTTCTGTTACAGGCAGCCTGGCATCAGGGCGGGTAGGGTGAGGGGGAGGTGACTATGGGAGCCTGGCTACCAGTCACAGAGAAATGTCTTGAATCAAGGCTCAACTACTTACTACCCATGTGACTTTATAAATAGCTTAATTTTTAGAAGACTTAGTCTCTCTTCAGTTAATAATAATAATAATAATTAATAATAATAATAATAATAATAGAATAATAGGTTTGTCTAAGGAACAAAGACTGACCCAGACTGTTTTTCCTCCATCTTGTACCCCATGCAGCCTTTCACATCCTTTTGGGGTTTTCAGTCAACCACTCTCTATAACAGACTATTTCAAAGAGTGTAAAGACTTTCAAATGAAACCATGCATCAGTTTCTTAAATGCAATTCTTTCCTTGGTTTCTAAAAGAAAAATTATTGTAATGAGCCCTATGCTGCTACATCATCTAATAACCAAAGCACTATTCAGGATGTACCATAATCATCTTTTCCTTAGTCTGAATTCTGTTTGATTTATTCATCTGAAAAAAAAAAACCAAAAACCAGACACATTTTTTTTTTAAGGGTTAGAGAATTAGAGAATGTGCTTCCTACTACTTTTTGTATGAGGCGTTCACGTACACAGCTGATAGGTACTTAAGGAATTCTTGGGAAATATTTCACAATGCTTGTTAGTTAACTCAGGCCACATGCTACTGAGGAGACATCGCATACTGTAACGTAAATCGGAACCCGATTGCTTTGGCTCTCACTGTCAGATTGCTCTTGATGTGACCATGTTAGTTAACACACAGGCTCCAATTTTCCTATGGAAGAAATAGGATAACCTTTCATTTTTTTCACATACAAAAGAAGAAGAGCCCTTGGAATTGTGGGCTATGTGAATGTAACATAAGTAATATGAACATTTATTTTTTATTCATAATTATTTTATTAATGTACATAGGCAATTCTGATGAAACCACTCCTCAAAGTGAATTTTTTAAATCTTAAATTATCTGGTTTAGCTCACTTTAAGTGAAAGTGATGAACTTTTAATTTATAATATCTGTATTTATCTTGTAAGCGTAGAAATACAACCTTTTCCACTGAGATTGTGAGTTTAGTGGTATGGAGAGGTATCTTATTTTTCTTAAAGTGCCACCAACTTTAAAAGCCTCTTGACTCACATGGCTTATTTGTTGAAGTTGATAGCCAAATGGAAGTCTTATTTTGAAAGCAATAAACTAATCCTGTCGCTGTTATTTTAAACATACAATTGTGTTTACTTTTCATTCTTCTGAGAGTGTGTCTAGATAGCTAGCTCACAATAAAATGGAGAGTTAGTAGTCTTCCTGCTAAAGTGATTCTAATAGACAAAATAATTCATGTCACTAAATGGATTTACTCAACAGTCAGGGAAAAAAAGAACCAAAATAAATGAAACAATTAAAAATAAAAGTAAAAGATAAGGTATCTTCCTTTAAAAATTAATTGCCTAGTTTTCCTCATAGAAAACCTCAGAAATACTTTAATGAATCCCTACTATATTTATAATATGCTTAAAACATCCATTCCCCCTTGGACCAAAAATGAAACTGGAAATAAACTTTTCTCTCTTCCTCATTTATAATTAATTTGTAACGTACTCTAGCAAAAACAAATTTAAGTCTTACTGCCGAGTACAGGCACTATTCCCTATTTCTTTGATTCTTAGAACAATTAATTGTTTTGCCATTAGCATCTTGAAATGTGTGCCAAAACTAAATGGAGACTGTTTTTTAAAACTTTCCCAGGTATATTTATCTCTTCAGTTCCTTACAGTGTCTTGGACATTAGGTATAATTTTCCATTTTTTATCAAATTAGGACTTGCTTGTTTGGTTAAATTACTCTTCCTCCAGTTAGGAAGCAGGGTGAGGTTAAGGGAGTGGGCCATAAGGCTAAATAATGAATTGACCAGATATTATGGGCTTATTTTATCCTCACATAAAAATAATGAAGCCCATTAAAGTTACTGAATAAAGTATTCATCGTGGAACCCCTCATTCCAGGTAACTCACAGCTTTCTCTCTTCACTATTTCCCGTAGCCTAAATAGTTAATATATAAATAAAATGCTTTGTACACATATATTGATATGAAATATATTATTATGTAAATTTTAAATGTTATATTGAAATAGGATGAACATTTATTAATAAAATGAAGGGATTCCTATGACATTGCTGTATGAATAACTTTGCATCTGCACACAAGCATTGTGCATCTCCATATCAAGCATTCATCAGCATTTTTATTCAGGACGTTAGCTGGTTTTTGAAGGTTAATTTTGCATTTTATAATAATGACACTTATCAAGTAATTTAGTGGGTTTAAATCTTAAGAACTAATTATGCTATTAAAAGAATTAAGGAGCTTTTTGGTGATATGTTGTTACCTATAATTACATTAATTTTCTACTTTAGAGAAGTAGGAATAATCTTTGAAATGGGAGTTATTTCATATTTCTTGGTGTTAACAGTAATAAAATTTACCTACGGTTTTTTTTATATGTGTTCTTAATTTTATAGTACCCATTTGCTGATAGCGACTCTATTCCATATGTAAATTGCATTCTAACATAGATATAGACACGTCTTATCTGTAGTTTTTACACTAGAAAATAGAAATTGAAGAGCATGGATGACATGGATGGAAAGTGTGATTATTTAACGTTTTTCTACTTGTAAACATTTTTGTACCTTTTATTTTAAGGAAAGTGTTTTTGCTATGTGCTATTTATTTATAACCTGAAGTTCCTCAGAGCCATTATACACCAAGATTACTGTTCAAGGAGCAATAGAACCCCACCGCCAAAACACAGCGGGATACTTGATAGTGTTTCTCCAAATTTAGTGCTGTCTAAATGTTAGCCCCAGGTTCCCTGGAGAAACTTGTAAAAACAAATCTTGAGTGGAGGAGAAATAGAATATTTTCTCAATCTAGGGGTGAGTTAGAATTGAAAGTGTGGAAATAACTCAGTTTTCAGAATAATCAAGTTATTTATGGCAGTTGGATTTGATATTTTTAAGAAGAGCAAGGTTGAGTTTGGTAAATTTGGGTAACATAGCCACATACTGAAGAAAAGCGACTGGCATGTCTACATAAGCAGTATTCATTACCTTCTCACCATCCGTGCTTTTCTAGGCTTTTATAGAAAACAGCAAGTTCTTTGAGCAATATGAAGTGACGTACCAGATCTTGAAACAGACAGCTGAGATGTACGTCAAAGCCGATGGTTCAGGTAAGACTCATGACGGAATTTGTTGCAGTGTCGAATACAGTAAAATCTAGAACCTACAGGTTTCTGTAGGATCAAATCACATTTTCTCTGCAGAATCTTTGTGTGACCATGCCATTGGCCTGGAGAGTACATACTGGATTCTCTCCCACTGACTTTGTGCTATATCTAATGTGCATAATCGTGTGCGCGCGTGTGTGCGTGCGTGCGTGTGTGTGTGTGTGTGTGTGTGTGTGTGTGTGTGTGTGATCTTCTAAGAGAGCAAAATAGCATTCATTTCCTAAATTGCTGTAAAGTATGTTTTTAGCATTTGTGATTGATACTGTGTGTGTGTCCATCTATTTGAGTGTATATAAAATGTGAACAAATCCATATTTTGCCATGTACAATGCACGCCCATGTATAATGTGCTCTTGTATATAATATGCACCCGCGTTTTTGGCCCAAACTCTCAGGGAAACAGAATTAGTACTACCTATATATAATGCGTATCCTTATTTTTCCCTCATAAACTTGGGCAAAAAAGTGTGCATTATATATGGCAAAATATGGTACATGCCATTTATTGCATCGCATTTATCAGGAATTTTAAATATATTATCACCTTTAATCTTTATAAATACCTATGAATAAAACATAGTTCCCAGTACTAACTGAATGAAATCCTAACATTGCATCTGCTACATTTATAATCTAAAAAAAATTATAGGACTTAGATTTTATGGCCTTAGATATATTTTAGGATTTAAAATATAAAAGAAGGATTGCAGTTTGTTTTACCTGTTTCAGTGGAAGAAGCTGAGAATGTGATGAAATTCATGAATGAAACTACTGCCCAGTGGAGGAACCTCTCAGTAGAAGTCAGAAGTGTGAGGAGCATGCTGGAAGAAGTAATTTCTAACTGGGATCGATATGGCAATACTGTGGCTAGTCTTCAGGCCTGGCTAGAGGATGCTGAGAAAATGCTAAATCAATCAGAACTTGCCAAAAAGGTAAGATTCCTTCTTACCAAAGGAAATGAGCACATGTACATTTAATTTTACTAAGCAATGTCACCCCAATAAATTTAATTTTAAAAATTAAAAAAATAAAACTATAGTAGTAAATAAGTAAGTAAATAAATAAATAAATAAATAAATAAATAAATAAATAAATAAATAAAAATAAGAGGATTTCACAGCGTAGTTCTCTAGGGAATGTTACATATTTGCAGATTGGACTCAAGAATTCTGACTTTGCCTGAAAAGCTGCACTTTCAGGTTATTAAATTATTTTAGACCAAGAAATACACTGTTTTACAAAAGTTATGTTAGAACAGTTCCTTGTCCGGTTCCAAGTTTGATTTTGCATTCAGAAGCGCAGTAACGGATGGAGGGACAGCCAAACCCAGTGGGCAGCAGAGGGCGCTATACTCACAGTGAGGTCTGTATTTGAAGGGGCATGTCCAAGGCACCAGCCACGGGAATTCCTAATTTAAGATGAAAATAGCTTTGGCTAACATAGTGCTTAACCTGTGTGATGGCATACACCAGTTGAACAGATGGGTCACCACAGTGTTGTCCCTTTGGGTATGCATTTTTGGATTTTAGCAACCCTCAGTCAAGAAGGGTGTCACTCTGAGGAGGAGTGATTTTACTGCCATGCTCCCCCCACCCCGCCCCCACCCTTTGATTACAGTTGTATATGTTTGTGTGCAAAAATTACTGTTTTCCTTTAATGTCATTTACATTAAAAATTAACGTGAAATGGACTGATTTCTGTGCATATACTTCTTAATGGGAGCCTGACATTTTCCCTTTTATATGGAAAAGATGTTAAAATGCCAGGCTGCCATTAAGGAGTACAGCACATACATAAGAATTGCTGCTCGCCATCCAAAACTGTTCCGTTTATTATTGTGTAATCCAATTAGGTGTATACTTTTCAAAAAGTCTTACTATTTTATATTTCATTTAGATTACATATTCTTGTGTAGGCTGACAGTGACAAGAATTATATACCCATACGGATTTTGGCTTTTCTGATTAGACCTGCAGCTCCCCGGTAGATGGTCTTAATGTGTTAATTTCATCTGAGGAAACATAAGCGCCAGAAACAGAAGTGTTCTCATCTATTTATGGAGGAAGTCCTCCCACACAGAGCTTATGAAGTGGATTTTGAATTATCTTTTGTTAGCCCTGGTTTTTTACTGTGGTGTATGTACACATACACACAAGCACTCAACTTGAAATCAGGTGAAAACTGCTTCATTGCCCACTGTGTAACCTTAAAACAACAAGGAAGGATGTTATTGTGTTAAGTGTTCATGGCCCAGATATTTAATTTTTAAAAATTTTTCTGTGATGATTTATCTCCATGATTGTTAATTATCTTGGATATACTATAGTCAGGTTTTAAAATCAAAAGTAACAGGTCCAAAGTGTGTTTACAATTTCTTTAAGGAGGCTATATATTTTCCTGAAATAGTATGTGTTTTATATGACTCTGGCACTGGTATTTACTAGCCTGAAAATTATGTACAAGTCCATTACACTCACAGAAATTCAGCTTTTTCAACTGTAAAATAGGAATAACAGAAAATGGCCATGTTTTGTTTTCATCTTCAGCAAAAGATATGGAACCTGTACTCACATAGATATTCTTATAAAAAGTCATAGCATTTCCAGTTCAGATTTTTGAACCTCTTCGTCAACAATTTGCATTTTGAAAGAGATTTAGGGTTTACCTTAACATTTGCACAAATTTTAGAACAAAGGTATTTCCCTTAGTCTGGCCTTTTTTATGTACTTTATTAAATTTGGTTTATGGTTTACGATAGTGTGCTTTGTTTTTTGTTTTAGGATTTTTTTCGAAATTTGCCTCATTGGATACAGCAACACACTGCCATGAATGATGCTGGCAATTTTCTAATTGAAACGTGCGATGAGCTGGTTTCCCGTGATCTTAAACAACAATTATTATTGCTAAATGGGCGATGGAGGGAGTTGTTTATGGAGGTCAAGCAAGTATGTCTTTCAAATCTATATATGCCTAGAACATGCATGTGTTATAAATGTGATAAACAGTCGGTTTAGAGACTACTTTATTGTTATAGCATGGACTTATTAAGGAAGAATACAGATGTGTTTAGAACTGTCATGTTTCTGTTTGGTCCTTTAACCTTTCCCATTTATAATGGAGCGACATTACAGAAATGTATAATTTGATTAAGGATCGTATTGCCATATGGGGCCTATGTATATGGAACGATTCATGTTTAATTCTTCACTTCTGTGCTAGTTCCGGTTTTCCTTTCACAGTAATTGGATTTAGTTCAAGTGTATCTAAAATAAGAATCGAGAATTAGTCTTTAGTACCATGTAACAATTCCAGCGTGTATGGAGAAATAAAGGCTACAGGCTCCCAGCGTCTTGGCGTAACGATTTTCAGCGTTTCTCTCCTCTCCTCCCTTTCCTCGACAGTATGCTCGAGCTGACGAGATGGACAGAATGAAGAAAGAATACACAGACTGTATTACCACCCTGTCTGATTTTGCAACCGAAGCCCATAGGAAACTTTCTGAACCTTTAGAAGTCTCTTTTATTAATGTCAAGTTATTAATTCAAGACTTGGAGGTGAGGTGGTGTGGTTTCTAGACCATAAAGAGAAAAACCTATTCTATTGTGAAACAGAGATCAGTGAAGTTATTCAGGTCATTGGAAAGCGCTTTCTGTATCTCCTTGGCATCGTTTTGACATGTGTAAATATCCTGACTTGAACTCAAAATTCTTTTTTAAATGTAAACAAATAAAACATCTATTTGAATTTTTAAATATGTTTTGACTATAAAGTAACTTCAAAATAGTTCTTTTTTTTTTAATTTGGAGAGATTTTTTTTTTATCTACAGCCAAATTTTAAAGCACTAGGAGAAAACTGGAGACATTTATAGATAGCATCTCTCTATGAATACCTCCAACAATAAAGGATTTACTAAATGAATGGTGCTATTTATATATTTTGAATATCCTACAGCTCTCAAAATGAAGTAGTGAAAGAATATTTAATGACATGAAAAACTTTTCCAATATGCTATTAAGTGACAAAAACAAAAAACAGTATATTCCTTTTTCTTTTTTTGTAAAAATAAAAAATGGGTGTAAACACACAGTAAATATTAATGATAAATGATGGGCTATTGGTTCTGGTTATCACTATGTGAAAGGACTGTAAGCAATCTAAATTTTTTTCCTATTATCTCTAATTTTTAAATTTTATGCAATGACAGTGTGTTACCGTTTAAAGAAAAAGTAGGTTGTTTAATTTTTAAAGTCAGAGGAATTGCCCCAAATTATTAATATGCATCTACCTGATATAATGTTTACATACTACATTAACACACATATGTTGAAAATGTAAGGATTACTTCAGCTTATTTTTATGTTTGTTTACAGAATTATGGTTACTTTTCAAGGAAAGCTTTCATTTATTTATTTGATATTACCAACAAATATTAGTAATGAAGAAAGCAATAACTGGGATCTCCAGAAGTTGATTATAAGTATAGAATTATATACAGTGCATATTGATTTTTGTCCAGCCTCCTGTAAAATCCTGAAAGTCAAAGGAAATGTACTGTGTGTTAATTTAGCTGATTCAATTATCCCATGCAGGATATTGAGCAAAGGGTTCCTGTGATGGAAGCTCAATACAAGATAATCACAAAAACAGCACACCTCATTTCCAAAGAGAGCTCCCAAGAAGAAGCTAATGAAATGTTTGCAACCATGTCTGGGCTCAAAGAGCAGCTAACCAAGGTGGGCAAACACTTGCGTGCACAGCACCGTGTGTGGGACCAACACTGCCTTCTGCTGGCCTTACACCTCCTCTGTCACCCGTGGGCAAATTGTTTGCTTGTTCATAAATCGTACTTCTGCTGCTTATTGGGATTTTGATATAGTAACTGGTCATGAGTTTTAAAAATGAAACTATGGGGCTGATATCAAGTATTACCTCTGTGATTTCTAGAAGTACTGGTAGCTGTATTTTATGGAAAGATAAGCCTCTTCAGGAAGACAGGGGGCCAATTAAATGTGATGAAACAAAGCGTGGGGGAGAGGAAGACAAGGGGGAGTAGGACTACAGCAGGTATTGAAGTAAGAATCCCCAAGTGCCCTTTTATTGAGATTTATTTGATATGCCTTCACTCTAAGAGTATTATGCTATTTTCTGCTTGCATTGCCACAAAGCAGTGGGAATTCTGCCTTCTTCATCTCATGGAGCTCACCGTAGACTTAAAATACAGAGGGTACCAAAAACATGTATGCACATTTTAAGAAAGGAAAAAAACTGTATTAAAACTGTAATACTCAACATATACCAATAACAAAAGATGAATACAAGTCATGTGTATACATTTTTTTGGCACCCCTGGTATATACACTTATGCCACTTTTGTGCAGGGGACTCAATGAATATCAAACATTAGCCATAAACATTTCCTCTTCTGTTCGGGATTTTCCTTAAGACTTTTGGAAGTTCCACTGGGATTTTTTTTTTTTATCTAAAGTTGAAATGTATGAAGATGGTATTGTTTGCATAGTCCATTTAGATTGGGTAACTAATTTGTGGTAAAAGAAAGGAGTAATTATATTGGGTTGTTGGGAAAGTCATGACGTATTTTTTCGATGTTTTTCGTTGCAAAAATGCATCATGGCTTTTCTGACAACCCAATATAAATGAATAAAAAAACTGTAATGAAGAATTGGGAAACAGAGTAAAAGAAGGCAGAAAAACCTGCTAATTAGGAGAGAAAAAGTATAAAGCGAATAACATATGAAATCAGAAGTGGAGAATTAATGAAAAAGATAAATAAATGAGATCGGTGAAAATAGGAAGACTTACTGTCATTGAAAAAAAGGAGAAAATTTATCTAACTGGTATATATTAGAACGTTAATTTTTAATTCTTTTTATTTTAACATTCAAGTTAAGATTACAAAGATGGGGTACAATTTGAAGTCAGCATTACCGATTGGATAACCTTCAAGCAGCTTTCTGAGCCATGTCTTGAACTTGCAACATCTTAGCCTAGACCAGGTTTATCGATTTAGGGCGATTTCTAAACAAGCAAATTGCACCTATAGACACATCTCAGTCATATGCTTTTTTACTGCTGCTTCAGATGTAGCATCTTGGTAAGTTTTCTACTATATCCAAGAAACATTTATAAAGCACACCAATGTTTTATACAGTAAAACCTTGAATTGCGAGTAATTTGGTTTGCGGGTGTTCCGCAAGACGAGCAAACGTTTCTAACACATTTTAACTTGGTAAACAAGCGATGTCTTGCAATACGAGTAGTTTGTTTCTGGAACGAATTATGCTCACAAACCAAGGTACTCCTGTACATGCTAGCAGATCCTCTTCATTTTCTTCAGAATAATTTTAGCAAAGCCTTGTTGCAATGGATAAGAAGCTTCCTTTTGGTGAGTTTTCCTTCAGACAATGCATTCGAGAGCTTGAAAATATTTATAATTTAAGAAAAAAGCAAAACAATCTACGTACTAACAAGTACTCAGTTTCCTTTTCTTGGTCCCCAAAGTTTCCATAATACTTTGGGAGCAACCCTAAATAACATGAGTGGGACAGGAAGCTCATGGAGAACTGTGTGGTCCTGGAACTCAGCAGAAAAGTGACAAGGCAGACATTTTATGGCTTTCTTAATCTCCACGAGCTGTTGGCCTCATCCTGAAAACAAAGATAATACAGGTGTATAGAGTAACACCATTTTGTAAAAGACAAGTAGAAGATGAGAGCGGGGCTAGTTCAGACTAGGGAGATGTCCCTGAGCGTAGGAACCTTCGTGAATGAATTGGTATATGAGTGCTGGGATGAATAGCATCTCGCTAGAGAGGTAGTCAATCATGGAGCTTGGGGTGGGGGTGGGGCGGGTAGGAAAGCTCATGGCCTGTCGGGGAAGAATGCATCAACAAGTTTGTAAGTATCTTCTGGAGTTATTAAGACTTCAAGTAGTAGAGCTCTTGACAGTAAAATTGGAAGGCACAGGTTAGTCTAGAATGTAATTCGTGACTATCTTCTGTCAGATTTTGAGGCTGAAGTGAAGATGGGTGATGCAGGTTACGAAGTAGAATTCGATGAAGTGGAATGTGGTTCAATAACACCATCACTTAGATGAGAAAATGCTATCTACATGGACTATTGAGATTAATTTTCATTAGAAAACTCTGGCACTTATTTATCTCAGTGGTATAATCTATAGTATTGTTTTTTACATCAAAATTTAGCACTACATAGGACATATCGTTAAACAAATGTCTTTGGAGATTTGTAAGCACAACATGACCATGTTACTAAAGAAAATGTTTCTGACAGCTATGGAGAGTATCCTGAGCTTGTGGCACTTCATGGCCTTTAATAGAATTTTTGTCTTTGTATTTTTAAAGGTCAAAGAACGTTACACCCCTCTTCTTCATGAGTCTCAACAACTGTCAACACCTTTGGAGGAATTAGAAAAGCAGATGACGTTCTTTTATGAGTCACTTGGGAAAATCAATGAGGTTATCACAGTGCTTGAGCATGAGGCACAATCTAGTGCTCTTTTTAAACAAAAACATCAGGTAAGAAAAAGTCCCTTTCAGGAGACATAGTTATTTAAAAGTAATAAAGCTGAGAAAGTGCTTCAAGTGGTAGAAATCCCATTAGGACAAGAAACAAAATAGTACTGGCAATGCAAAACAAAAATCCATCATGTCCAATGATGAAAGCCCTGTCTACTACAGATAAAATAAAAATTGTATTTCTGTATCTATCTCTGTAAGTTTTTATATAGATAAAAAAATTATACTTTTAAATTTTATATATTTCTAAATATATAAAAATAGGTAACTGCATTCAATTTCTAGCCAATGTTTATAATCTGTGTCTTATGAGATCTTTTCTTTGCCTCTAGGACCAGGTCTATTTACACAACCATGAAACCCTGGAAATGTGTTTGGAGTGATAATCATTTTTATTTGTCTCATTTGAGTTAGAGTATCAGTATGCGGAACAGCCTCCTACTGAGGGTGGCAGTTAATTGACTTATTTAGCTGGTTTATTATCAATGAACCGATCCATCAGAGGAGGGTGAAACTAATGGGCAAAATGCAGTGTGTCGCTGCATTAATTGACATAGATTCATGGCGGGAAGGGAGCATTGCTCAGCAGAAAGAGCAGAGAGGATCTGAAGTGAGTCAGACAGGCATTCAGATCTTAGGTCTGATATCACAAGTTATAAAGCCTTGATTAACTTTTATTTCCTCACCCAAAAATGGAGATGACAATACCCAAGTTGAGAGCTTGTTGTGGAGATTACATTAGATATTTTCTAATGTGACTAGCACATCAGAGCACATGATATGATGTGCTCTATAACTGGTAGCAATTATTATTATTATTATTATTGATTATAAAGCATGATGATTATACCACCAAACCCTGTTCTAATGGGTTCTGTTCATATTGGATGAAGATTTTTTTTCATTTTGAATCATGGTGCCATTTTTTACATTCCCAGTTGTTATAAATTGCTATCAAAGAATCCTTCTACAATTAAAATAATATTCAATATGCTAATAATAAATATGAATGGCATTTAATAATATATTTCTATGTTACTCTCTTACTTCCTACATCTTCACAAGGAAAAAGTATGTCCTTATTCTGTTTTGCCAAAATGAAACAAAAAACCTGTTCTTAATATTTACATCTAGAGGACCAAAACTGATATCCAAATGAGTCCTTTTGAAATATTTTTCCAAAGCAATTGAGGACTTTGAAATGCAAATTGTGTGGATTCAAGTAAAAAAATTACTGTCTGTCCTGGGTTGGACTGGATAATTTCCCTGCTGTCAGCTGCAGAAATTGCTATGATGCTAGGTTACAAATCAGAGGTAAAAAAGTCGATGTCACCACTGCTCCTCATCCCGCAAATGTGTGATAATTGCAAGCCCTCCTGGGCCCATTGGTCTGCTGCCTTTTGTATGTAAGATCTGGGAGCCATCATTTATTAATGAGGTTGATAGCTTGTGAACATTAAGAATTCAAATGCTATATATCTTAGGATACACAAATAATATATAATCTTCTGTGTCCGACTCAGTAAAGTATAATGTGCACTGGTGTTAAATTTAGATTAAAACCTGATATGTAGATTGACTTCACTATTGATCACTCAGTAAACCATAGGCCTATTAGTTGGTTGGGGAAATGCAGGCTTTAGACAAATAACAATTATGATGCTCTGTCAGTCTCTTAATGTTAATAAGATGGGCATGAAATATTTAAAAATCTCAAAAAAAAGTGCTATTTAAATGCCTTATATAAAAACCCCTGACTTCAATGATGACTTACAATTCCCAAAAGAAATACTTCTCTCTGTACTTTTGATTTGACTTATTGCTGGTGAAAAGCCTCAGAGCTATATAATGCTGTTCTTAATTATTTTGTAATGGTTATGCTCTTTCTTTCTCTTTCTCTCCCTTTTAAATACTATTGTTGTGGGTTTCCTTTTCTTGTAGGAACTGTTAGCTTGTCAAGAAAGCTGTAAGAAAAGCATGACACAAATTGAAAAAGGCAGTCAGAGTGTTCAGAAGTTTGTGACCTTGAGCAATGTGTTAAAGCATTTTGATCAGACAAAGCTGCAGAGACAGGTCGTGGAAGTTCATATAGCCTTTCAGGTAAGTTCACTCCCTGCTTTACAAATGTGAGCGAGGGAACATATGAGGAATTCAAAGGACACCTAATTACCGTAGTTCATGGTTCACTCTGGCCAAATGCCTCACCAACTGGTGTTTGGAAACCAATAATTTACTTCTTCTTTCTCTAATTATTAATATTTAAAGGGGTTGATTATTCTCATCACAATGGAATGTATTCCTTGCAAGTATTTTTTTTTAAAGAAACGGTACTTTCAATAATAAAAAGCAGTGTCATATTATGATTACTTTTTAAATCAAGAACATGGTAAAGAAAACTGGAGATTGGAAGAAACATGTGGAAACCAACAGCCGCCTGATGAAGAAATTTGAGGAGTCTCGAGCCGAGTTGGAGAAGGTGCTGAGGATGGCGCAGGAGAGCCTGGAGGAAAAGGGGGACCCGGAAGACCTCCTGAGGAGACACACTGTGAGTTTATCCCTAGAGCTCCATCCTCATGGAATCAAGGCTATAGGATTGCTCACTGGTCTTCCAGAATATTCTACCAAATTTGAAAACTGCAAATATTTTTTTCTAAAGATTAAAAAGTACTAGTTGAATTTCAGATGTGGTGGAGTCTAACTCATGATCCTAGATGATGATAGTTCATTTCTGGGGCAGGGGGTGGGTGGGCGCTATTTTTCTCAGAACTTGTGGCCCATTTTAGTGAATAGCTCAATTGTGACAAACCTTCTTCCTTTGTAGATGGGGGGCAGCAGTTGCCTGGAAGGTCTGAATGGCTGACAGGCTTGTTCAGACGCGTGACTGCTTCGCTGTACAGTGTCTGATGCTCCCTTTCATTCTGCCCAACACACTTAACCACTTTCTCCCTCTCCGTGTCAGGAGTTTTTCAGTCAGCTGGATCAGAGGGTTCTCAATGCTTTCCTGAAAGCTTGTGATGAGCTCACAGACATTCTCCCGGAGCAGGAACAGCAGGGCCTACAGGAAGCCGTCAGAAAGCTCCACAAACAGTGGAAGGTGAGTCCGGACATAATGGGAACATGGTGTCATGGATGATGGGGGAGAGCAGGAGGCACTAGGAGAAATTTAGAAAGTCAAGGAAAATCACCATAGCCGCTTCTTTCATTAAAAAAACCCAAAAACCGACCTCGAATAAAACTTGAAGAAATATGATAGAATTTTGTTATTTCTATTGTTTAGTAATAGCAATTTTATCATAGACTTAAGAGTACTATTTTGCTTTCCTGATTTTCTTTTTATTTGGTGGGGGTTGGGGGGGAGAATGATAAGGGTGTTGAACTTACTCAGCGACATTTAGTGAACTCTTCTCATATGAGTAAATTATGTTAGCTATACTACTAAACATATACCTAACATAATTCATACATATACATATTTGCTGTTTTCAAGGATTTTACCATCTGGTTTAGATGGTTATTATCCAAAAAAATATATAAACAGGAGTTGGGGAAGATGAAAGAGGGCAAAGGGGGTCAAATATATGGTGATGGAAGGAGAACTGGCTCTGGGTGGTGAAGACACAACGCAGTATATAGATGATGTATTATAGAAACGTACTCTTGAAACCTATGTAATTTTACTAACCAATGTCACCCCAATAAATTTAATAAAAATTAAAAATATATAATATATATGTAAACATATATATAAACATATATGTAAACAATTATTATTGGTTAAGGATTCATTGATGAACAGAACATAACCCTTTCCCCAAAGAGCTTAGAGTCCAGTAGGAGAGGTGATTGGTCATGAATAATAGAAGTATAATATATAATAAGTCCAGAAAAATATAAGTAATATATGTAGGAAGGCTTTGAAGGAGAGAGGAGGGCCCACGTGGAAATTGGAAATAGCGAGTCAAGTGATTAGTTCTAAGCAGGACATTAAAGAAGAAGCAGAGATCCTGGGGTTGGGTGTGAGGGCGAAGCCATAGCAACGGGCAGAGCGAAAGCATGAGCGTGCCAGTGGGGCACTAAAGGTCCATTCCACGGGATCAAGTGCCGCGCCGTGGGTCTGTCCCACGGAAGCCGACTCCGGAGTCTGCACGGGGGAAACAGTTGCAGTGTAATGGAGACCCACGGAAGGCCGTCTTCCTCCAGCCAGACAGGAGGAGGAAGCTTGCTCTGGCCGCCGGTTAACAGGAGCTATTACAAGCAATATCAAATGGCAAATTTCATATGCGTTATATGAAGGGGTCATACAATACATAACTCTCCCAGGTTCTGTTACTTTCTGTATTATTATTATTTTTTAATCTCAGTAACATAGACTAAGAAATCAGCCCTATGCATAGGCAAAACAGTTAAGAAAATGTCTTTTTTACTTCCTAAATTTGAAAATTAAAAAAAAAAAAACTAAAGAAACCCAAGCTTTGTAAGATAGCTTAGAATCGTAATATATCATAAATGTATTATGAATAGAATCTACAATTGAAAGCTGCATTTTATTTTACACACACACACACACACACACACACAATGAAGCTCTCTAGAATATGGTGTGTCTTAGTCTTTTCCATAGCCCTGAGTCCTTTTGCTCATCAGTTATCTTAGTATTTTATTTTAAAGGTAATCTTTTAAATGTTATAGGATACAAGTTGGCTAAAACTAATAAATTCTTGGACTACAGATAAAGAGGAAGCTTATACTTATATCCAAAAGGAACATAAAAAGTGTCATGTTGTTTGAGTGCTGCCTTGTGTCGATGTCACTTTCTAAGGCAAAGAGGACATGGCAGGTGGTTGGCAGCTGTGGGCTGTTTAATTTTGGGTTTTTTACTAGTGAGGTTTCCTTGCGTTCCCCTCTTTGTGTAATGGGCATAATATCCGTCCTCCCTACCTCGCAGGGTTATTGACAGAATTAAAAGGGACGCTTGCTGGGGAGAGGGTGTGTGGCATCAGTGTGTGATCTGCATCTCGAGTCATGTCTAGCTTTTTCTAGTACACTTAGGACCATTAATGCTGCATGGGCTGCTGTAAAAATTCAGTAGAATAATCCCCATGGAAACACCTACCCCACAGTAGGCTGAGAGGGTTCGCTGGGGTCCCTTGGAAAAGTACAAAGCACAGAGGTGAGTGCAGACAATAGTGATGATACCAATGGGCCCTGAAGGGACTATTTTATGCCTTTTGCCACTTCGATTGGAAAAGTACATAATCAAGAATGGTATCATATTTTTCCAACTCTTTCTATCGAATGTAGGATCTTCAAGGAGAAGCCCCGTATCACTTGCTTCACCTGAAGATTGATGTGAAGAAGAACAGATTCCTGGCTTGTGTCAAAGAATGCAGAACAGAGCTGGATCGAGAGATGAAGCTGGTGCCCCAGGAAGGCAGTGAGAAGATTATTAAAGAGCACAGGGTACGTCTCACACACCTAGAGTGCAGCCATGCGAAGTCACATACATGGTCACTTAAAGGGTATAACTGAGACACTGGTTTGTCTTAATACACTAAATAGCTTAGTGGCTTTACATCGATACACTAAATGGAACCTTCCGTTGGTTTCTCTATGGAAACATAAAAGTGTTGCATGGCTTCTCACATGGATTATATAAAAATGTTTATTGCTCATCAGATGTTCTTCAGTGACAAAGGGCCTCATCATCTCTGTGAGAAAAGGTTACAGCTCATTGAAGAATTGTGTCTGAAACTCCCAGTCCGGGACCCCGTAAGGAACACACCTGAAGCCTGTCACGTGATGCTCAAAGAGCTCAGAGCTGCCATCGATAGCACCTACGCGAAGCTCGTGGCAGACCCAGACAAGTGGAAGGACTACACCAGCAGGTACTCTGGAATTGTTCCCAGGGAAAGACCTACACGTCTATCTTACTTCTGTTCATTCAATGATTATTACAAAAAGGAAATGGCATATGTCTCATCTTATGCAATAAAGAAAACCAGATTGTATGGTTTTGCCTATGTTCTTAAACAAAAATGCTTCATTCAATGAAAAGAATGGGTTTCAGTCAGAAACAGTGAAGCACTTTATTTCCTAATGACCCAGATGTGGCCTTTTCGAGGCAGAACTGGTTAATCCCTTTCTCTTGGATTTCCTCTTATTCCCGAAGGGGGACTTCTGACCCTAGGTTTCTGTATCACTCTGGTGGGTACATGGGAGACCAGACCTCAAGTGGTGCCTTCCTTACGCCCAGCTGCTCAGGCCCCGGACACATCTTTTTCCTCAACTCAGCTCCATCTGCTTCAAATGACTGGGCACAGAAGTGGCCACCTCTACCGTGTGCTTTATGTTCCTTTAAGGAAGTTTCCAGAAAATTTGCTAATCAATTCGTGAATCACTTGATTGTTAAGTTTCCATGAATGAATTCAAAATAGAAAATGTGTTGTAACCTTTCTGATATGGTCTCCCTTTAAGAAGAAAACACTCGTGTTATTTCAGAATTTCTGAGTTCTCATCTTGGATAGCTGCAAAGGAGAAACAGCTGAAGGGGATTAAGAGTGAGGCCGTTGATACTGCCAACCATGGAGAGATGAAACAGGCTGTAGAGGTAAATTCTGGGCCATGTTTTGTTACTGGAAAATTTCCATTAATAAAAAAAATCATGATAGACAATCTAACTAATGTCTTTTTTTTCTTTCTACAAAAATTAAATTCCTGAATATTAATCTTAATTTTAAAATTAATCTTAAAAATAAATCTCCTCGTGTAGCTGTGGAGAGCTATAGGGTTTTTTCTCTACTAAATTGTTGTTGGCTTTAGATTTAGTCACGCTCAGTGGTGCATCTATGCATCTTTGGCTAATGGGGAATCCTGAGAGGAAAATTGCATGCATGGGTGTATAACACAGCAAGACTTAAAACCTGTCACGGAAAATAAAAGAACACTAGGCTTTTTATACGTTTCAGCCATTCAAAAGCCAGCTCATGGAAAATGAGGGATTTGGACAAGGTCTCTAAGCATCCTTTCTAAGTCACATTCAGCCTACATGGGATCAGCTCCTGTGAGCTTGGGGACAGCCTGATAACCCAGCCATGACAGAGCCTCAGACCGAAACCAGTTTGCATTCTGTGAATGGCACACAGCAACCCTCTCGCTCCTAGATTGGCTCTTAGTTGTGTAGACGCACTCACACAACTGTGAAAATTCTTTAGCTTTCAGTCTTTTGCAACCTTGCAAGTCACATAGTTGCTGTTACTGAATATACTTTTCCTTTTTATTCCTATCCTCTAAATTTCACTTTTCTATTAAAATTATAACCCTGTAAATGCTAGAAGTGCTCAATATTCTGTAGCACTAGAAGGGTAGCTGTATTTGCTATTGGTTGCTGTTTTAATACAAAAAAAAATTTCTCATCTTAGAATGAAAAGATCACTTCCTTCTCAAGCCAACCATTTTCTGGCTCAGTGTTTGTCCTGTCAGACCCTCTGTGGCAGCATGCGTGGTTGGAGACCGCTGCCCTCATGCTACCCAGAGCAGTGTGGGACCGAGACGCTGCCTCAGTTGCCTTTCCTTTAGTCCCCAGCCCTCCAAGGGCGGGGGCCCCGGAGTCTTTCTGGCCTTGTCTTGGCCAGTAAGTCTTCCCTTTCTGGACTGGAACCATGCTTCCTGTCAGTGCCTCTCACTATTGGGAGTATTGACTTCTAAAAGCTAACAAAAATGAGGCGTAAAATGTGAATAGATAAATCGTTAAGGCATTCATAATAATATTCAACAAGTAAACTCTTCAGTAAAAGAAATCAGCTAACTAAAAAAAAAAAAAGACTCTTTTGTTCTTTTCTCAAAAAATACCATGGTCCTTCCAGCTCACAGAAACTAAGATAACAAAGGAGATTATATTCGATAATTCCCAATTTTGGTATCACATAGTCTTGCATAGGACTTTCAGAAGTGTCTTTGTCATGATGAAGGGAATATCTCTAAATATATAACCATGTGATTATGAAGGTAACTTTTTGGTATAGAGGGTACTGATCTTACACATAGGGTATTGGCATTGGGGAAACCTCTCTTTCTAGCACTTGGGGACTTTTGTTAAAGATTTGAACAAAGTAAACTAAGCAAGCTCTCTATTGGCCAATGAATATCTGGCATTCCTACCTCCACCTCACATACCTCCTTCGGTTGAGTCCTTTCTTGTTGGAAAGTTTTGATGCACAATTGTAATTTGTTCATCAAAAGTGCTCATTTATTTCAGGACATAAGAAATGGTGTTACCGAAAAAGGCGAGACTCTCAGCTGGCTGAAATCCAGGCTTAAAATTTTGATTGAAGTTTCTTCTGAGAAAGAAGCCCAAAAGCAAGGAGATGAGCTGGCAAACTTATCTGGTTCCTTCAAGGCTCTCATAGCTTTGTTGTCAGAGGTATGCCTTTTACTCCTACTCTTAAAATGTCAGTTCTGGGTGAGGAATCTAGAAGGTTCTTTTTCTTTTGGTTGTAGTTTAACGAGCAATTTTATAAAGAAAATTTAGTCGAAACAGAATAGTTGATACTTATTTATATGAATATTGGTAGGGAAGATGAGTAGAGTATTTGAATAATGGTCTTTGCCCTTATTGAATAGGTTAGTTCAGAATAATGATCTATATCCGAATTAAAAAGCTTATCAGATCCATACTTTTTACTCTTACTAAAAACATTATTTCCTGGTCAGTTTAAGGTATGTCATGGAGCCTAAGAGCTCAGGCATGAGAGTCAAACAAAACCCAGAGTTAAGAGTTTAACTCTGATACCCCACTTCATGTGTAACCTTGAGCTTGTCATTTAATACCTCTGGACCTTGAATTTTCTTACTTGTAAAATAGGGCCAAAAACATGCCAAAAGGAGGTGTCAAGAATAGAATACAGTAATGTATGTACAGTGCTGTACAAAGTAAATGCACAATAACTGATCTCTAGGAATAATAAAATATTCAGTGTTTAGTCTGCAGGCCAGCAAAATTTCTTTTAGGCAAGCTCTATTCATTTTTAACTTCTTGATATACATTTTAATGTTTATATTCCTTTATAGATTAGAATATACAAACCCATCTGTAATGGTTTATTTCTAGTAGGGCCCCTTCCAGCCTCTGTGAGAATATTTTTACTGACAAGTCTAAGGAGTTCGTACATGGGAAGATAATGTAAGAATGTAAAGTAAAATAGATAGTTATCAGTACTTCTTGAAATCATTAATAAACTTGCAATAAATAATGATCAATTGGATGACTACAAAGTTCCCTGCTTCTTGAAGATCTGGAATTCTCTCTAGCTGCCCCTAATCTAATCGTTTGATTGTCAATTAATCTTTTATTCTTTTAATCCACATAGACCTGCTTGAGAATCTAGTCGTGAATTTACATAACCCAAAAATACTCTGAATTGCTGTGGTTTTAGTTTTATGTGATAATTTTGATATATAACACACAATCTTCTTAAGAATTTTTGACAAATTGAAAACAGTGATAGGATTAATCAAATTTTAGAACATAAGCTATTCCAATTCTTTTCTGATCCATCTTTCATAGCAATAATCAAGTTTAGTTAGTCGCTACTACCATACTTCAAGTGAAATTCTGATATTCTTCTCTGCATTTTCATTGGTCAAGAAGGTAAGGGTAAAAGTAAGGAAAACATTACAAAAAGTAAATATATATGCAGATGATCTTTCTTTCTTTTTTTTTTTTTTAAGATTTTTATTGGGGAATTGAGGGGGATGGGAACAGTGCAGGGGAATTGGGGGAAGGGGAACAGACAAGTTGCTGTTGTTTTGTTCTTCAGTCTAGTTGTGGAGGACGTTGCTTCATTGGCCCAAGCTGGGACCATCATTGCGCTCTTCCCGGGTGAGACAGATCAGTCACCGGCTTCTGGATGGCCGCTCACTGTGGCTTGAGGGCCGCTATGCAGATGATCTTTGATCCAAGACTTAACAAATAGTTTTAGTCACAGCAATAGATTGATTTATATTTTGTTTTACACACACACACACACAACTTTGGCAGCCTTTGAAATTAGGAATTATTAGTCACCCTAACATTTTACCAAACCCATTTATTTGCTTTATCTTTAAAGTACTCTCTTGACACTGCCCATGGGACTGGTACCAATATCTACCTCTAACAAATACAAACATTACTTCTTTGCATACTCTTCTACCTTAAACTTCTGTAAAATTTATATCAATACTCTTGTTTGTTACTTAAGCCCTTAGAGAAAGAAGAGAAGAATGGAGAAAAGTAAACATTCTGTTCTTGTGCAGATTTATATAAAAGGATGGATTTGACACATTCAGACCTTCCTTTGATTATAATCCATTTAGTATTTAATGTTGAACACAAGGTGGTTGCAATTGTCCAGTGTAAGAAAAAAGACAGTGAATTGAAAATATTAATGAAGAGTCACTTCTTTCAATGGCACTGTGATTTACTGAGATCTGGAGAACATAGCTCTCATAGGGTCTTATTTCTGTTTGGAGAACAGCATGCTCCAAGTTACCTTGGACAAACTCAAAGCAGAAGAGGGTCAAAGAAAAAACATAAGAGAAAGAGAAACTGGAAGACTTCTGTGGAGGACAAATGATGATACAGTGTTAAAATGATTATCTTAGTGAAATTGGAGGTGGATGGACTGTGAAAACAAAAGATGCTGGCAAACTAAAATAGAGGAAGCAGAAGTTACAAGACAAAGCTGAAAACTAGGGAAAATGACAAGGAAAAGAATCCACTGAAGAACCACAAAATTAGAAATTATAAGAATGTTTTGTGTAGAAATATTGGAAGTGCATTTTTAACAAATACCCTTTTATTCTTCTTTTCCCTGTATACAAAGTTTTTCTTTATATAAATAGGATGGCTTCAACTGTCTTACAACACACTTTTTTATAACTAGATTTTAGACATGAGATAGTAATTAAAAGGATCCAGGAGACAATACATACAATATATCCAACAGTTTCATTATTTTGCCTTGCTTGTCAGGCTGAGTGGGTTTTTAACATGGCACAGAGCACTGTATCAAATGGGGCTTGCAACTCTCATAAGTGACTATGCAGTTTAAAATAATTAAAGAAGCCTCAAAAATATGTGAAAGAATAGAAGTTAGAGATCTGTGTATATATTTCAAGTTGTTGAGAAAGACTTTACACATAGTCTTTAAATATTTAAGATTACATGAGCGTATGATTTATAATTTTTTTCATGAAAACCTAGGTTGAAAAGATGTTAAGCAACTTTGGGGACTGTGTCCAATACAAAGAAATTGTCAAGAGTTCCCTTGAAGAGTTAATTTCTGGTTCTAAAGAAGTCCAGGGGCAAGCTGACAAGATACTGGACACTGAAAATCTGTTCGAAGCGCAGCAGTTACTTCTTCATCACCAGGTAGAATGCCTTGTTTCCCAATGCATTTATACAAAGGTGATTAGTGACAGAACCAGAGAGAAGAACAGTATATACATGGGGTGAAGGCAAAAGAAAGGGGGGATGGTGGTGCAGGAAGGAACCCAGCTGAATAGTTAAAAGAACTTGGCACGTCTGCTCTCTTGGTTAAATATTTCAGAAGATGCTGCCAGATACATTCTTAGCCTGAGAGGTTTGATATGAAAAAGTTCAAGATATAAGATCTATTGTAGAGGGAAAGTTGATTTAGCTATGAAAACCTTTAAAAAACTGGCTAAATTGTCCTTTTCATAACAGAGATGGGAAGCATAGAGATAAATTGCTTCATGTTTGAGATCAGTCTTCTTTTGTGTTTATGTTAAAACCTCACATTTCATTTTAAAATTTTGAATGCATGTTAGTTTGGGAAATTATAACTTACATAAACTACCAGACCTGTCAGAAGAATATGCTATTATGAAGAATTAGAACTGGAAGTAAAGAAATTCTGGTACATATATTGATAATAAGCAATTTTAATCAACTTCACTTGTCAAACTCAATATAAGTAGAAATAGAATTCAAATAAAATGTTTAAAGACAAAATTCTAGTTAATATAATGTATAGCAAAATACTAGTTAATTTTATATATATTAAAAATTGAAGTTGCATTAAAAGTATATTTAAAGTAGCTGCTTCTAAGCATTATGTATTTACTTGATAATTATAAAAAGGCTATGAGTATAAAAAAATTAATGCTTGGTATTACATTGTTCTCAATCATTGAGAAAGTGGTGTTTGGGTTTCAATTTACTTCAAGTCAGAGAAATAAGAGATTGCAGATATTTACGTGAATATTTTTAAACTCTTCACATTTCTTGGATCAGCTGCTTGGTTACATGTGCGTTTACTTTGTGAAAGTTCATGAATTGTACACTTAAGATTTGTATACCATTCTGTTTGTACATTATACTTCAATAAAAAGTTTATTTTAAAACATACTTTCCCCAGATATCTCAGCAGATTAATCATTCTGAATATACCCAGGAATTAAATGTCATAATATTAGCATTTATACAGCATACATGATTTTTTAAAATTGGAGTTAGTACTTTATGTTTTTAGGTGGAAGATAATTATTTTAGGATAATCATGTCAAATGAGTAGTTTGCCAGATTCCTTCTGGAGCATTGCACAAAATGCTAAATGTCTAAATTTGCATACAAGACCAAATTAATTATGTTGCTTACCATTAAAAACCTGAAACGTTTAGAAATAATATCCATCTTTGACTATAGAGTCCCCACTGCTGTTTTAACTGCTCGTGTTAATTTTAAAATACAGTTTGGGCCCACGCTGTGTGAGGTTGTACCTTTTTGTACCTTTACTGAAGTGTGGGTGTTTATGTCCCTGCTTAGCCGCTTAGAGAGTAACATTTATATCCATCTGTTGAACAAATGCTTCCAGCAAAAGACAAAGAGGATCGCTGCAAAGAAGAGGGACGTGCAGCAGCAAATTATGCTCACTCAGCAAGGAGAAGGTGGGCTGCCGGGCCGGGAGGAGCTACGGAAGCTGGAGAGCACCCTGGACAACATGGAGCACAGCAGGGAGAAGCAGGAACGTCGCATCCAGGTAGGAGACCGGAAGTCAAGGGCGTGTTAACTTCTGGCTCGTGGGTTACAGCTCATATTAGCGGATGCATCCCTTTGTTTCTGCTTCAGATGCTCCAACATTGTGTCAAATAACATGAGTTATCTCTTTTAACCACCACATCAGCCTTATGAGGAGAGTATTGGAATTAGCATGTTTTGCAAGTGTGGATGTTTATAAAGAAAGAGTTTGAGGATTTTACCCAAAGTCACCGAGTGGGGATCAATAATAAAGCCAAGATTTTAATTCACACTTATCTGAATCCACAAATTTGCATTGGATCATTTCACTTTTCAAGGTAGTCAGGCAGCCACACAGTTATGCTTTATTGTGATCTTGACACATCACCTGAAGAAGTTTTTGACTTTTGAAACCCACTCAGTGCCCATCCCCTTCCTTCTTTCTCTCTGTTCTCCTCTCTCTCTCTCTCTCTCTCTCTCTCTCTCTCTCTCTTTTTTTTTTTTTTTTTTTTGAGAGAAACTGGAAGGCTTTCTTTTCCTTTGTCCCTTATCTACATTTTAAGTAATATTGTTACACTCATAGTATGTTACAGCTGATAGAAAACTCATAGTCCTAGTCCACACATCCTGTTTTTGTAGATGGATTGATACAAGAGAAACTCTTGTAGAATCCAGTAGGATCATTTTTATTCAGTATAATGGTGTAAAATTTATCAGAGAGTTAACTGAAAGTTGGCAGCCTCACAAAGAATGGAAATGTGAACAATATCATGTGACACACTTTGATGATAACATAACATAAACATAACATGTTTTTTTGTTGTTTTGTTTTTCATATTTAGGTCACATTAAGAAAATGGGAGCGATTTGAAACAAACAAAGAGACAGTGGTCCGATACCTTTTTCAAACAGGTTCCAGCCATGAGCGCTTTTTGAGTTTTAGCAGTTTGGAAAGTTTATCTTCAGAATTGGAACAGACCAAGGTATATTAGTAACATCATACAGTCCCATGGTACTTATAATTCAGAAGAAAAACTGTGTTTCTACTCCCTTATTACTATTAATTATTATAAGTATGCATTTAATCGATACTTTTATTTATTCATCGTACACTCTTTCAGCACACTGGTCACGTTTCTCTGGGGAATGAAAAATAAATAAGATGTAAACATCAGGAAGTAAGGGAAAGTTTTCATTAAAGTGGGAAATAGTTCCCTAATAGATGCATGCGTTTAAAAATAAATCTTCCTGAAGGCAGTGATATTTTTACATGAACCTGATAAGACATAGAAAAACTGAGTTTGGGCAGACAATGAGCATTCCTGTGACGGGAAATGGCATAAAGCGTGAAAAGTGTTAGATATGGATTCTATGTTGTAAAGCAGAAAAATGGGGGTAGAGTCATAAAAGCAAGTTGTATCACAGGGACTCTTGAAGCCTAAAGCATTAGTCTCTAGGCAACATGGAGCCCGAAAGCCTTTTAAGAAAGAGAGCAGGTAGTCAGAGCTGTACTTTAGAGAGATGAGTTTTAAGCAGGTGTAGAAAATGGAAAGGGTGGAAAGATTGGAGTCATGGGATCCAATTAGAAAGTTATTTCATGAGTACATTATTATAGACATGCATTAGGGTAATGGGGACAGAGGCAAGAGACACAGTGAAGAAGAAAATGATACCCAAGGCTCTGAGCCTGACAGAGACAGTGAGGGTGAGACAGGAGCTTGAGGGAGCAGCTGTTAGTGGGGAAAGATAGTTATCTCTGTTTTGGGTGTATTGAGTTTGAGGCTGTAGTGGGATAGCCAAGAGGTAATATTTACTGTGCATCCTGGGTGAGCTCCAGCCTGCTTGCTAAATGCCTTGAACACTCAGAGCAGGCTGATAAATTGGTACAAAGCACTTGGAGAGCTGTACATGTTATATTGGTTCCTATTGCCATATTTTAAGTTTACAAGAAGACTGAGCTAGTATAGAAATGTATTAGCCAATGTATAAGAAAGAAAACTTACATTCATCCTTTCATAGCTTTTAGCAAGTAAGCCCCTGTGCTTCTGTTTTGTTTGTTTGTTTGTTTGTTTTTACCAGTAAAAGGCTTCTGTCTCTCTTACTGCTAGTTTTTAATGATTTCTCCTATTATTAACTCACTGAGTAATTTGAAGTTTTATAAGGCCACAGAATCTTTCAATTCTGTATGATTCTCATCAGCCATTTAAATAAAGCAGCATATTTAAATTTTAATTATGTTATATATTAAAAATATATCAGGTATTTTTTTTATAAAAACAACTATATTTATTGGTTTGATTATCATCTGGGGGTTCCACCCAGGTTCTGTGCAGGGGTTCTGATGTCCTGTGGCTCTAAGCCCTTTGAATCGGTTTATCAGCTATAGATGATGAAACAAGCATAACCTTTTTAGTCTTAGTATTAAAAATTTCCCTTAGAAAATAACCTTGCATATTTTGGGATTGATTTAAGAATGTGAGCTAAAATTTACTGAACATAACTATATGCTGGTCTAATCACTTGATTTTATCACCTTTAATCCCTGAAACAATCCTAAGAGATAGGTACCATTATTAATCCTGTTGTATAAATGAGGAGATACAAGATACATAGCTGTTAATGAATATATCCAAGATTACTGACTGGTGAGGCTGGGAGTCCAACCCCAGAGAGCAGATTAGCTTCTGTATTATATTTTCAATGTAAAACGGAGCCGCTTGACTAATTGTTTATATCCGCTGCTGCACAAGCACATGTAATCTAGAATCATTGTTCTCTATTTCTCTGCTCAGTTGACATTGTTAATGCAGCCTCCATTCCAGCGGTAGCCCTTGAGGGCTTGTGTGAAGGAACTTGAGTGCTTTCTATCAGCCATTGTGTGGTAGGGTGCTCACAGCAATATCATGTGGAATTTTCACAGCAAAGCTTTGCTGATGAGGAAATGAAAATGCAGTTATGTGGCTCAGGACCACACAGCTAGTGAAGGACAGAGCCGTGTTTCAGCTCCAGACCTATCTGATGCCAGAGTCTATTATTTCCTCCTGCATCCTGCTGCCACTCATATGTCGTCTTCTTAGGATGACCATATTCTATGGATTCTATTTTTGCTTTCTTTTTTTTTTTTACATCAACATCATTCTGTTCTTTGGATTCCTCTGCATTTTTCTTGCCCCATACGTAGCTCCCACAAAAGGCTCTAAGATTGAAAGTTTATAATAAGCATTTTCAACCATAATTCTACTTTGTCGATGTGTTTTTCCTTGGTTCTGGGAAAAACTAAGAAGAAAAAAAATACCATTTTATATTCCTCTTTCTGTCCATTGAATTCTGAGAGATTATGCTGTGATTCACAGTCTTCACAATTGAATCTACAATGACTGTAAGTTCACGTATAGCAATGGTAGGTACTTAAAACCACACAATTTAAAGTTGTGACATTAGCAAATACCGTATTTTAGGATATTGTAAATCTAACTACCGTAAGGAAGTTGTACTTAATCGTTTTTATTCTCTTCAAGTGCAGGGTACTTCTCTGTAATGTCAATATCTCTGTGAGGACATTAAGTCTTTCAAACATGAAGATACTAGTATTATATAGTGTCTCTCTCTTAGGTGGCAGTGTGTCATAACTCTGGGAGATGCTCTGTGGAGAAAGTGGCTGTCAGAAGTCTGACTTTTAAAAATTATTTACATTGGATTTCTACATTGCTTTTTTAGGTGAAGGGAATTTATGATCAAACTTTAAACCTTCAGTGAAATTCTCTTACATGAGAAGAAATGAGACACTAAGTTAATTTTTTTCACTCAAGATTATTCCTTGATTTACCTTTTTTAATTCAGTATTCAATATATTTACCTCACCAAATTCAGGTAACAGCTAAAATTTACCAGTGTCTCAAATATATCACTTTTTTATTTATAGTGGTTCACTATTATTAAAAACCAGTTTGTGAACTTTATCAACTATTTTATCCTCAATTTTACATGAGGGACTTAAAAACAAAACAAAACAAAAACCGATAATAGGTATCTTCCAGAGTGCCAGGCACTTAAAAATGAAATTGCTAATGAAATGCTAACAGTAACATTACAAGAAAAGTATCACTCTCTGCATTTTATATGAAAGAGTCAGAGACTAAAAAGGAATTCTCATAAGTCAAACAACTAAGAATTAGCAAATCCAAGATTCTAGTCCAGGTCCGACTGGTTCAATACTTACCTTCTTTCCATTATGTAGAATACGAACATATAATAAATAAGATTTAACAGCATTAAGATCAGATTATATCTCTTTTCAGAGAACTAGTTAACAAAATGTTTCTTTAAATATCAGTGGTACTCTGTATTGACTAAAATATTTAATTAAATAAACAAAGAGTTATATTTATTGCCCTAGAAATCTATTATTTTTATGATTGAAAAAATCAGTCACTATTGATCATTGCCTGAACTGGCCTGTAATCAACTAACATATAGGTATATGGATAAGTTAATTATCATAATGCAGCTGAGAATTCCAAACAATAAACCCAATTAACCAAGAAACAATGGAAAAATATTGTTGTGAGAATTTTTGGATAACTATGAAAGTAGATATCTGGTTGTGCATATAAAGTGATAGAATTTAGCAAAGTTGATTCTGGCCAGAATGAAAATATATCTTATTTTTATTGCTCAGAATATTCTATACTAATATTCATACATGAATGAATCTATCTATTTATCCATTAATTCTGGGGGAGACTCTGTAGTATGTATATGCAATTTATTCGAGGGAAGAGTTTAATGGAAGATGCCTTCCTAACCATTATCATATCTTTTTCTAGGAGTTTTCTAAACGAACAGAAGGGATTGCCGTCCAGGCTGAGAACCTGGTGAAGGAAGCTTCCGAGATACCACTTGGGCCCAAGAATAAGCAGCTGCTTCAACAACAGGCCAAGTCAATCAAAGAACAAGTCAAAAAATTAGAAGACACACTTGAAGAAGAGTATGTGCTTGACCAGTCCTAAACTTTCTTCCCTGAGATAAAGTTTCATACAGTCTTCCCTGTATATTGTAATCAGAACATTCTTTTAAAATCTCAGTGTCTGTGTATTTCAGCATGTGTTGAGGAAGCAACTCACAATTCAAAAGAAAGTGTCACCTATACAGAAGCCACCATCTATAACAGGGCAGAAAAAAATAAGGAATGTGGTTTTTGCCTCATAAATTGATTCTGTTCATGAGAAAGCCATATCTATTAAACTCTGTGGCCTTAGTACACTGGAAAGGGAATCTCAAAAAAACAACCAATATTAAAAATAATTTTACTGCAGTATTCTTCTGTCACCAGTTAGAGGAAAGAGGAGATATTTTGATTGTGTAGATTCTAGGCCCAAATACCTATGATATGGACCAAATGTCTTCTTCTCCAAGAAGCTCCCAGAGCTGTTTACAGGCCCTCCATATTCAAATTGTCACCGATTCATATTCTATTTCCAAAAATTAACTTCAAAAACCTGTTCTACTTTTAAATATTTAAAATATTTATCTAAAAAGAAAGAAAAAATAGTTTTGCCGATGGTGTCCTTTTATGAACAAAATATACACACCCCCAAAATTTGGGAGGGAATAAACATGAGGATATAGCCAGTGTTCCTCAAAATAATATGGTTGAGCATTTCCATTTCAAAGGTTATTTAGTGGGAAATTGCTGACACATACTAAGGTATAGGATATAATTTCTAAGATGGATTTTAAAATGTAAAATTTGTTTTTAATACTATTAACACCTTGAAATTAACATTGTACATTTGTCTGAACTTTAAATTTTGTTAAATTATTTATTTAAAGGAAATTATGACTCTAAATGTTGAGCACTTTGTATTAACTATTATCCATCAAGGTATGGACATAGTAAAACTTAAAGTTTATTAGAAAGGAAGCTAGTTTATGAGGACATCCATCTAAACCTTTACTTCATTTAAAAATTCGTAGAGTCTCACAGCTTGCATTACCTGTACTGATGAGTCATTAGACACACCCAGGGTGTACACTTGAGACTGCAATATTATTGAATTTGACAATCAATTATGCCATTGTGTTTTTCTTGATATCTCCAAGTGCCTTTTGGTAAACAGGGAAATTCTTTCACTTTTTTTTTTTTTTAACCAAAGGACTTACAAGTTCAATGATATACTAGATGTTTCTTACTCTTTTTTCGAAACTGAAAGCCATAATCACATGGTTCTATACGCATATACAAACTGGAAATCTCTACTTAACTTTTTGTTCACTTAGATTTATTACAAATAAAGCCCAAATTGTCTAGAAACAATGAGGGTGCTCATGCACAAGGATTGTAAAAGTATTTGGGAATCAAGACTGTACAGACATCTAAGAATTGCTGGAATTGTTATAGATTATAGATTGCAAGCTTAGCTCTAATGATAGAAACAGTTCCTGCATGACAGCATGAAATTCACATTACCAACTCTATCTTCATTCATAAAGAGGCATTTGATAAAGGTCTTTGAGATAAAGTATCAGTGCCGTATCTCTCCTCTAAGAGCAAGAGGCCCATGTCCACAAAAGTGGGACTGCTAAATAAATAACTGTGTGCCCTGGACTCTATGCAGGTAATTGACTTAAATACGTCCTGGCAATTACGGGTCACATGCAGAATTTAACTAGATTATATCTGTATTTGAACCTCTTTGGACCCAGCAATATTTTGGTCGAAGCACAGTTACATTCATAACATGGGGTATGTGCTACGTCATGAAACACTCATACCAGAGGAGCTAGGAAGACGAGAACTGACAAACTACGCAGGTCAAATGTGCATTTTTTTCCTTTTCGAATACTTTCAACTTTGACATGGTCACAAATGTCTTGACTACTTGTTAACCTATAGATTTAAAGGAAAATGTATTGTTGTTCTCTCTTCAAATACTGCATTTTATTTACGTAATTTGGTTAATTTTAGTATTAAAACCATGGAAATGGTGAAAAACAAGTGGGATCATTTTGGCAATAATTTTGAGACCCTGTCCATCTGGATAACTGAGAAAGAAAAAGAACTCAATGCCTTGGAAACTTCGTCATCTGCCATGGATATGCAAATCAACCAAATTAAGGTGACCGGCTCACACGTTCGTTACATTTATAATCCATGTCTAGCTTTTAAAAACTCCTTTCACACATTTCATCAAATGCTATTAGGCCCAGGACAAATCTTTCATTGCTCTGTGACCCTATTAAATTTAATTTACACAGAATGCTGAGCTAAGAGGCCTTGATTGATACTGGGCAACAGTTTATAGATGGAATTATGTATTAATATTGTCTGACTTATGCATTCAAAGTCAATATTATGTGCAATATCATTAAAATGTTTTTATGGTTACATTATTCTTTTCCTTGATTTTCAATTAACCCCGTTGGAGTACTCTGTTGATTCATTTATAGAACATGAAATATATTCATCATCTACAACTGTACTTGATGGAATTATCCCAAATGTCTAGTTCAAGTATTAGTGGTATTTACCTTCACAAACCACGAGGAGAAATTACTTTGTTTAAGTGAGGCCATCAGAGCCCGTTGCTCCAATTCCTTCATTTATGATGACTTTAGGGGCGTGGACTGAGATGTTCTGATCGCTTAGCTCCCCATGCTCTCAAATAACTGTATGCATAGACAGTCATTGTTCACTTCATTCAAAGAGTCTTAAGAAAAGTGGACTGAAAGCAATGAATTGTGAATGTTCATTTCTCGTTTTTTATATACAACGTTTACACATTTTCAGAGTTCAGCCACTTCTTTTTCTATCTCAGCTCATTTTATTGGAATGGGGAAACCCTCTGCCATTTCATTTGATTAAACATAGTAAAATAAGTTCCAAGGTGAGGGAACACTTCACATTATGACTCAGAACAAGTCATTACGATGTGCACGGTGGGAGGGTGCGATCTTACTTAGCTAAGATTACATGCTGTGCAGGGTACGCTCAGTCTGGTGTACACCGTCCACCTATGCCTCGTGTGGTCTAGTAGGACAAACAGAATCCAAGCTATTAAAGCATATTCATGAAATAGGTTTTATCTTTACAGCTGTTTTTAAAAGTTGTCATTTAATCATTTTTACTAAGGAAACAAAGAATTGCACGCTTAGTTTTGTCTCAAAAATTTCTTTTCAACAATTTGACATACACTTTTTAATTTGTTTACCCTCTCTACTAATTCATTTCACTATTATTTAAACCTAAATTCCAGGACTTCTGAAATATATCAATGATCAAATGCCATCACATTGTTACTCTTTAGGAAACAAAACGAGTATGTACTTTATTTTTGAATATATAAACATTCAACTGTGGACATTCAATTGTGGATATCCATGCGATCAGACTAGAAATACATTTAATATTCCAATATGGCATTTTTAAAATAATCTAAAAATAAATGAATATGAATAATAGGAAAAACACATTTGTTGGAAATAAGCAAAAACAGAGTGGAATACACTTTACTGTGGAATTTTGGCCAATAGGTTCCTATTCTAGTTCCAAAGAGAAGACTACATTACAGAAAATATTGAGACTGTGACAGTGCTTGTCATAATGTTTTCAATTGAAAACAACCTTAGGATGACATTAATTCACAACACTTGCATTGGTGTGAAGTTGTCTTTCTATAAGCCCATTTTTGTTCTTCATCACATGCTATTCCAAATTGACTGATTTCTTATTCCTAATGGATAATTTGTAAGTGATAAGAACATATACTAGGTTCATCTTATATCTTCTCCAATTAAAAAAAATTGCCACAATTCAACAATATGATTCTATAGTTTGCATTTATGAATTTGTTGATGACAGGTATTACTCTAAGAACTTTGATCCTCACTAAGATTCTTTCACTAGGTGTTGTAAGCACCTAGAACAATTATTGGCACATAGAGGACACTATATATCTGTTGAATTTATGAGTAATTTTTCTGAAAAATATGATTTTAAAAACAGCAAAATGTGAAGGAAGCTTGTATTAATGTTCAAACAAATTTCTATCATAGATACCACTGAAGTCATGCATAAGAAAAATAAAAATAAATAAGTGATACATTGGCACGAATCTGATGTAAATTATCTCTGGCTGTCTCCTCTACACAGAAGTTATTTCTGATGATGTTATCTAGTCAAAAGTCACGCATTTATTTTTTTCTAGGGTAACAGTACTTTTCATTTAGACTGGTTGAAGCTTAGACTTGTCTGAAGGTTGGCTTTATTTCGATTGGACAATTTGGCTCCTTTCCTCAGAGATTATTTTCATTCTCTTATACATGAATAAGCTTGCATGTTTATGAGAGAAACACCCCCCCCAACACACACACATACACACACATGTACACACACACATCCTTAGTGGCTTTTAGTACTTTTCGTGTGTTGGCTAATATATAAAATGTCCTCCTGCCCCCAGTGGAAATTATAGTAAGTAGGCTCTTTACTATAGAGTCCACAGCTAACGAATAAAGCAGTGGTCACACAGTGGGGCCCAGGCATCAGCTGGGAAGTTGTTAGAAATTCAAAGTCTTATTCCCACCGTAGACACACTGAGCCTGAGCCCCTGAGGATGGGGGCCAGGTAATCTTCATGTCTTCCAAATTTGGAAATCACTGACATCAAGAATAGATAATACATTTGAAAATACTGGGTTTAGTTAGGTAGGAGTGGGATCAGAAAAGCTTACATTGGTAAAATATGAAATATTTATATATATAATCAACTACATTTTAGGAAATTTACATTAATGTCAATATTAGCATTCCTATGAGTTATGGAAACACACTGCTTCCCAGGTTAGTTGGTTAAAATGTTTGAGTCATGGGGTAAGCAGGGAATTCTCTGCACGTTCAGATACTTTAAGGGTTCCAGGGATATCTCCCTGCTTCCCTCACTGCAAGCAAGAGTAGCTATTTCTCTTTATTCTCTATCCCAAGAGCGTGGCCACCATGTGTGTATTTTTCAGACATTCTCTGCATATCTATCCTCCACAAATGAGATCAGGGAACACATGGTGTTTGTTCATAGCTGCTCTCTAACAGTCCAAGTATGTTGAAATATCCGTTTTTTCTCTTTCTGCAAATAATTAGACCATTTCAGGAAGGCAAGCGTGCTCAGCTTACATTGTCATTTTTCTTGTTTTTAAATATTAGGTTACAATTCAGGAAATTGAAAGTAAGGTCAGCAGCATCACAGGACTAGAAGAAGAAGCTCAGTCTTTTGCCCAATTTATTACCACTGGAGAATCTGCTCGAATCAAAGCCAAATTGACACAAATAAGAAGATATTGGGAGGAACTCCGAGAGCATGCACAATGTCTAGAAGGAACAATCCTGGGACACTTATCTCAGCAGCAAAAGTTTGAAGAGAATCTTAGAAAGGTAAGCAATGGTCCATGCATGTTAAATTGCCTATTTCACGTTGCGTTTATAGTGAAATGCACGGAATAGTCCAGAAATAGCGGAATAAGAAAAAGACACAATTTTCCAACTGCTTACCAAGTTGTCAGTGATGCCTAGGTTTATAATTATTTATATGGTACATTTTTGAAGGAATATAAAAATGCCATACAGTGTTCAGATAGGCATTAAAATTTATTTATATTGCTTTCAAAAAATAAGACACATTCATTTTAGATTTTTTAAAAATATGTTTTATCAACACATTGAAAGTTATCCCAAAAAAGATAGGCATGGTGTTTCCCTAGTTACATTTTCTGCCTTAATGTGTATTTTTCCCATCATTATTTTTATATTTTATCAATGTTTTAGGTCCAGCAGTCTGTGTCTGAATTTGAAGATAAACTTGCTGATCCAATTAAAATATGTTCTTCAGCAACAGAAACATACAAAGCTCTCCAAGAACATATGGTAAGAGTATGATTCAACATTTCTGCTGACTTATCAACTCAGAAATTTGATAATTTCTGCTTGAAAAGCAAACATAGTAATTATTTTTATGATCATTAAAATTAAAAAGTTTTTTTCTTAATTGAGGAATGCAATTGATCAAGCATATTTACTTCCTATAACACAAGAAATATAAGTATGCAAATAAGTTTTCATTAACAACATAGGTTAAAGAAGCAGTCATTGAAAATGTATTTCCCTCTCTTAATTAGAACATGTAACTTTATAAGATGATAGCTTTAGTCAGCCCTGGTACCTCTTGCCAGCATTCTAAAAATTAAATGTGCAGGGAAAAAAAACAAAACATGTGCATAGCAGATTTCAAATTTTAACCCACTACACTCAGATGTGCAAAGAATGTTACCACACTAACCTTTTCCCAGCGATTAGCTTTTTTGGTCCTTGAGCTGGTGACCATTGTGAGATGTTTTGCAAAGAAACAAACAGATGCTTCTGGCAGAATTTAGGAGAAGGAGCAAAGGAAGAGAATCAGGCACAAAGAAATATGAAATAAAAACGTGTGTTAATTAATAAACAAAAATATATATGTTATCCTTACTCCATATGCATATGTGCACATAATATACGTAAATGCAGAAAATGGGGCTGCAGTGGTAGAAAGCAAATGGTTGACAAAGGCCCATCTGGAAAGGAGAGTGGAACTTATATCATTGGACTACTTTTAATAAGAATGCATTTTATTGGTACTTAGGTAATTTAAAAAAATAGCCCCAAAAATGAAGAAAATTGAATTTGATGGAATTATTTTCATAGACAACTAAGTTAATAATTGAGTACCAGAGAGGATAATATTCTATTTTTCTAATATTTAGATTGCTAAAGCAAGTTATTTTTCCCGGTCTTGATTTTCTGATCTGTAAAATGGGGATAGTGAAAGAACATAACTCTTAAGGGTCTACTGAAGATGAAATGACTTAATATACGTCCTGTACATAATGCAGTACCTGCCACATTCTGAGGCACCCTTATGATTATTATCATTGATTCCTGATAGCAGCTATGTCAGCCATGAGTCTTCCCACATATTTCTTATAGGGATTATTGCATGTTACATACAACTCTTGTAAATTAGGAATAGAGGTGTTTTGGGGTTTTTTTAATACATCTGGCATCATATGAATAAGAATTTTCACAAATGATCTGGCTTAAGGGAAAGTAGAAATTATTCAGATACATGGCCACACAATTTTATTTTGGGAATAGTTGCTCCATTTTTATTTTTGATTTCTGCATTCATGAAGCAACTTTCTCGGCACTTTCACTATGTCTGGCTAAACATTTTTTAGTCCCATTTGCTGTTTATTATGACTGAGGGAAAACTTGGTGAGAATGGATCTCAAAGAAAAATGGCGGTCTCGTTTCTTGACGCTGTGTTTTCATTGTACTCCTTTGTCCTCTCATTAGGATCTTTGTCAGGCCCTGGAGTCGCTGAACAGCTCAATGGCTGCCCTCTTGGCCAGCGCCCAGAAGGTCGCTAACAGAGACTCCTCCATCCAGGAGGCTGCAGCCCAGCAGCAGAGACACGAGAGGGTGCTGAGTCAGGCCAAGGAGAGACAGGCTGCCCTGGAGCGCCTGCTGGCCAGCTGGCAGAGGTGAGCAGCCTTCCTCCTCAAGTCGGCTGCATGGGGCTCAATAGCCACCTTCAATAGGAAATTCTGGGCCAACTGTTCTCCAATTGATGGAAAATAATCATCCCAGATGTACAACACGTCGAGTTGTGTGTCTAATATAAAAAGTTCTTAATCTTCATTAGAAGATGAAAATCCCTAAGTGAGGCGTGGTAGCCTTGCCTATTATGCAGATACAGACACGTGTGCAAGTACATATACAAACATGAAAAGAGTGTTTTGTGTTTTTACCTTTCCATCTGGGAATAAGAAAATCAACACTGTAGTTTTTGTAATGGTTAGTGTTGGACCCTCCAACTCCAGAAAGGCATAGTTTCCTAGTCTGATCATTTTGACTATGTTTCTTATCTCTGCTTTCTTTAGGCTTGAGAAAGAACTGTCGACCTTTTTGACCTGGTTAGAGCGGTGCGAAGCTATAGCCAGCTCCCCGGAAATGGATATTTCTGCAGATAGAGTCAAAGTGGAGAGTGAACTTCAATTAATACAGGCAAGTTCAAGGCAGTGTGGTTGCTTTATAAAAATGAAACCCTTTATCCAACTTAACTTCTTGCTTTGGTTTTGTGATCCCAAAAAGAAGAACTAGAGACCTGAAAAACAGAGTAATGGTGAACATTGTGATGATCAATTTCCGTGATACATTAGAAAATCCTATAACACGATGTCTGGCATTTGAATACAAATTATCTGGCAGGCCAGCAGAGGGAGGGGTGAGTGGAAATATACATGAAACAATGTTGACTATCAGTGAATAAGTTTTGAAGCTGGGCATAGGTACATTCTTTCTTCTCTATGAATTTTTGGTAATAAAAATATTATTTAGAATGAAAGAAGGAATCTAATATAGAAAGAAGGCACAGCATTGATTATTTTTAAGCAATGCAGGAAAAAAAATGAATGAGCACAAATGCCAATGATGGAAAGACAAAGAATACTAGCTGATTTACATCCTTGAGGAAACCAACTTTTTAAACTGAAGAAAAAATCTTTGAGGATTATTGAAACTACAGAAAATGTTGCTAATTTCTGGAGATTAACAACCTCCTTTAAGTGATGCTGTCTGTGCCAGATAGTCAACAGGCAAAATTCCTTCTCAAAAAAGACATGCCATATCATAGATTTACACTCCAGCTTTTTCCCCTCACCTTTCATAAAAAGTTTAAGCAGAAGCTCTGTTCTTTTACTCTTCATAATTGCTTCTCTTAAAAGCTCCATCAGAGCGTCTGTAACATGACAGCCTCTTACTCCATCTTTAAATTTTCTCTTTCCTTGACTTTGATGCTTCTGCACACTGCTGGTTCTCCTGCCTTTCTAGTTTACTGAACACTGAGGTATTCTAAGAGCGGAAGGCACAGCTCCTTCTCTGAAAAATGACACAAAGCTCTCTGGCCATTTAAAACTGCCTTCCTCATGTGTCTATGTAGAAAATAAATGCTGTATGAATTAGGGGGCTGAGAGCGGGCTGCGGGCCTCTGTCACCCCCACATCCAAGCTCTGTGTCAGCCAAGGTGCCTCCCCACTGCGGTCTGAACATTCTCTGCACGTTCCTCCTCCCATCCTTCTGTCCTTTGTTCTACTCAGGCGAAGTCCCAATTCTGCTTGGGGTCTTTCCTGTCCTCGATAGGCTGTGTATTCCTTCCTCTGATACCTTTAGCAAATTTGCTTGTGTCACACATGTGGTCTCATTAGAGAGGGGAAAGAAAACATTTTGGCAAGCATCTGCTATGTGGCACGCTACACCTTTCATCCCTGTTCACACCACATTATTTTGTTAGCTCTCTATATGAGGGTTTATCTTTTATTAGGTAGGAACCACAACTTGTGTGCTCCACTCACAGCACCAAAGAGATTCGTTACCTAATTAAATTTTTAAAATAAGTACTTCTGTTGCATAAAAGTAAATTAAAGAGCCCTAAGTTCCCCACTTTGGCCTAATAATAGTCTTTAAACTGAGAGAAAAACCATGTTCCTGTGTGTTAGGATCGTGTCTCTGTTATCGTTAAATACACATCGTTTCTTGTTAGCAATAGTTTTTCTGTCATTTCTCTCACCTACCTATTCAGTTTCCCCATCGTGAAAGAAATTCTACAGCTTCTAAATTTGCCTAACTTAATATAACTCAGACCCTGGAAAATTAATTCAGGTTTCAGTAGCATTCTTAACGTTGCCATATCTAATTCAGGTAATAAAAGCTCTCTTTAGCCTGATCCCAATGACTTCCTTCCGTTTTGCAAGATTGCAAAACCTTTGGACCACAGCCACCTGTGTCATGTGGTCCTGTGGTCCTTCCTTGTCAGTCACGTTGGGATAAGATCTATAATATATCCTGTTTTTCTCAGACACTGCAAAATGAAGTTGTATCCCAGGCCTCCATCTACAGTAACCTTTTGCAATTGAAGGAATCGCTGTTGTCAGTGGCCTCCAAAGAGGATGTGAAAATGGTGAAAGTACATTTGGAGCAGTTGGATGAGAGATGGAGAGAACTGCCCCAGATCATAAGCAAAAGGTTCGGTTTAAAAAAAAAAATCTAATATGGTTGATTTTTTTATGGTAAACATATAAATTAAGAAAGAAAAGTTTTGTTTACTTTTATTTAACCCAACTATTCAGGGGATAATTGTGGAAGGGAATAAAACTACTTCAGTTGTCATTTTAAAAATCAAAGTGCTCAAAAATTAACATTTCTAATGAACTTCAGTTCAAAATTTTAGTCTCCCAATCAGGACAAATGATCAAATGAGTTGAAATATATTGAAGAGAATAAGTTTGCTCATATTTGTGTTATTTACTGCTTAAGTTGTTTGAGTACAGGAGAATAATTATAATTAAAATTTTGCCTCACATATGTCTCAACAGAGGCAAAATATATAAATATATGTATATATTTCATTAATATATATATTTCATATATATATATATCATATATATATGATATATATATATATATGATATATATATATTTCATTTCATTCTAATATAGACCTTTGTAGAGAGCAAAGGAAATTCTTATTATGTTAAATGGGGCACAATTCAATTCAATCCTAATTGACTAGATGATTAACCATTGGCATCTATCTGCACCTTTCTAATATGCCAGAAAACACATTTTTGCCTTAAATTGGTATTGATTACCCATGTCATCTTGAATAAAGCATTTAACTTTTCTGGTCACATTTTTAATTCACTTGTTCAGCAAATATGTACTGAGTTTCTACACTGAGCAGCGCCCTCCTCTGTGTGCTGGGGATAGCAACAGTAAACAGAGTTCCGCTCTCTGCTTCTTGAAGCTAGTATTTGTTCCATTGTTTATTATTGAACCAATCAGTAAATGTTTATGGGGTACCTGCTGAATACCAGACACCATATCAAATACTGGAGCCATAAAAATAAATAAAACCTGAGCCCAAGTATTTTACAGATCAGCATGGGGACAACAAGAAAACCAATGAGAAAGGTGGGCACAGAATATTATAGGAGCAAGATCAATGGACTCTTGAATGGGTTCAGGAAAGGCTGATAGAAGGATTTGGTGCCAGCTCTTGAAAGATGAGTATCTTTCTGAAAAATAGAGAAGGATCTGCTCTCTGTCTCTCTCACAGGGGGAAAGTGAAGGGCTTTTAATATGATACAAATGTGTGAAAATATTCAAAATATAAAAGACTTGAACTTTGGATGTAAACCATTGTCATGAATATTAATTAATATTAGATTAAGGTATTACTCTTAATGCCAGTTTTGGATGCTGACCTCAGGTCACATATTGTTAATCAATCTAATTCACTTATTACACAAGCGATGGTTGGTCCCTGATAACATCCTCTCCCGGGGCTAGGAATATGGCAGTAAGCGAGGCAGGTCAAGTGCTGTCTCTCATTGCATGGGAGGAGGGAAAACATATAATTAAACAATTGAATGAATTAGACAGTTTCAGCGGTGTTCAGTCATCTGAAGTCAACAAAATAAGGTAACATGGCGGGGACCCGAGAGCCATGTAACTTCAGTCCAACCCTCTCGGGGGACATGGCATCTGATTAAGATCTAAATGCTGTGCAGGAAGCAAACTCAAGCTCTAGGGGCAACTTGTGTGGGCAGAGAGAGCAAAAAGGGCAAAGGCTCTGCAGCGGTAATGAGCAGGGATGTTGGGAAGCAGAGGTCAGTGGCAGCGTGGGTGTGTTATATCAGACGAGGTCAGAAAGTCCATCACGTGGGATCCCTCACAGGCCACAGCAAGGAGTTAGTTGGGAGTTTTGCCTTCCTATGTGCCACAGGAAATTGCTCTCATGTTTCAGCATGGCAGAGGATGCTAGGATTACACTAAAATCATTTCTGGCTGTTCTCTAGAAAGTGGATTATAGAGAGGCAATGGTGGCAGGAAGGAGAACCGTTTAGGAGGCTGTTGTTGGAGGGGAGGCAAGAGGGGAGGAGTTAGACCAGGGTGTATAAATGGAGAGAAGAGCACAGAATATCCTGTGGTGGGGTGCAGACAGGATACGCACAGGTCAGATGTGGTGGTAAAGAAATGGGGGTGGGGTGGGAGGAAGGATGGTACCAAGGACCACCTGGGTGGACGGTGGCACATTAACTGAGTTGGGGAACATTGTGAGAGAACCAGGGTTTGAGGAGAAAACTTCAAGAGACCTAGTTTGTCCATGTATGACCACATCCCTTTTGCCCTTGGTTACGCTTGTTCCAAAAACATGTTAACTCTGTTCAGCTGTGGGATGTTTTAACTTGAACACCTTTCTCTGCCTAGGATTCATTTTCTCCAGTCTGTGGTCGCTGAACACCAGCAGTTTGATGAACTGCTGCTTTCCTTTTCTGTGTGGATTAAACAATTTCTCAGTGAATTACAAACTACTTCTGAGATAAGCATAATGGACCATCAAGCAGCTCTGACTCGGCACAAGGTAACATTCATTCTTTTAAGATGGAAGAATTTATTCATAAAAGAGAGCTCTTCTATTATAAGGGGATGCAACAGTAAAAACAAAACAAAACACTTGCCAGCAATTTAACTTTGTGTTCCTTTATAAATGTTTTCCTAATTGAGCGTGTAGGTCCAGGCAGTGTGTTATGCAGGTATGTTAAGCAGATAAAGACAGATAAAGCAGATAAAATAGACAACCATCTTAAAATACCATTTCTTCAAAGTGGAGCAAATCGTTTCTAGGGTGAAGGGATGGGAATGTTCATTTTTAAACTTCCTAGTTTGTTTTGTTCTGATGCTGAAAACTAATGCTGAATCCCAATGCTTTAACTGTATAGCTTTTTCTTAAACTACTATTTAGCTTGAAAGTTATTTAAAATTTATGACTTATTTTCCTTATTTTTAAATTATGCATAATATCTATCCTGGCATTCAAAAAAACAGTTTAAAAAAACCAGATATTGATCAAGTATTGGGATAGTGGGAGATAAGATACATAAGCTTATAACGACACTTAATGATAAAACATTTAGTTTTTATTAAATGTTCACTCTATGCTGGGCTTGCTAATTGGTTTTACCCAAAGGAAAAGTACTTCCTCATATCTCCATGACCTCAGGTGTTTCTATGGCTTGGAGCAAGGTGCCCACCGAAGTTAGCCTCCTACCCTTGAAAGAGACTAGAAGATAGAGGTGCCATCTTCCTTAATGGTTACTTTTCACAGGGATGACTACCAGGCTTTTGAGAAAGATATTCTTGGATTATAAAATTGTCCAGAAGATTTTAAAAAGATTTATATCTCAAAGGGACAGAGAATGCATTTGTATGTTTTCTAAAGTGAAATGATCAAAGAAGCCCTTTAAAGTTTAGTAGTTCAGCTGAGGGAAATATTAAGCCCATCGTGATCAAGATTAAGACAGGTGATAATATCTTGTTAATGGGAACCAGGTTGAGATTGTTAGCAATTCTCTGATAGATTTTAAACGTGACTTATTGTGAGCTACTTAAATTGCCTATACAAAGGTCTTACCCAGTAAATCTACATTTCTTTAAAGGGAAGGCAACTAAGACTTATGCAGAGTTTCATCTGCCTTACCCACTGCATCTAGATGTGCTAATGTCCAGCTACACTCATACTCTGTTAGATTTAGCATTTTATACATAAAATGTGTATATTATATATATATATATATATATATATATAAAAGTCTTGCACATTTTCTATTTCTTTTAACTACATGTAATATTACTGTAACTTTTAACTATATGCACATTTATACATATACATCTTTAAAAATCTCTCTCATATATATATATATATATATATATATATATATATATAATTTCTTTCAACTATTTCTATTCACAAAGAAATCTTTGCCATGGAATAAATTAGTTCCAAATCAGAGTTGTGTTTCATGTGAAATATATAGATGAGCAAAATGGGAAATTTTAAGAATGCTTTTAAATGATTCACTGTAGATGGCCTTTAAGTACTACACCATCCATTACATTTGAAATGGATCTTGACATCAGCGATTCTGTGATATATCTGTGTCATATCTGGTATCTGAAGAACCAAAAACTCTCTCTTCCCTTTCAGGACCACGTGGCAGAAATAGAGAGCAAAAAGGGGGAATTGCAAAGTCTGCAGGGACACCTCGCAAAGCTGGGTGCTATGGGTAGAGCGGAGGACCTTCACCTCCTCCAGGGAAAAGCAGAGGACTGCTTCCAGCTGTTCGAGGAGGCCAGCCAGGTGGTGGAAAGGCGGCAGCTTGCCCTGTCCCAATTGGCCGGATTCTTACAGAGTCATTCCTCTCTGTCAGAGGCTCTGCACCGGCTGAGGCAAACAGTGGAAGCAACCAACAGTATGAACAAGAGACAGACAGATATATTAGAAAAAGACCTAGCTGATGCTATTAAAGATGTTAAAACATTAGAATCTACTGCCATCAGTCTTGACAGCATTCTTGCCAAAGCCCAGTATCATCTTAAAAGTGGAAGCTCTGAGCAAAGGACTTCCTGCAGAACTACAGCTGATCATCTCTGCTTCGAATTAGAAAGCATCCAGAACCTTCTGGGAACCAAGCAGAGTGAGGCAGATGCCCTGGCAGTATTGAAAAAAGCTTTCCAAGACCAGAAAGAAGAGTTGCTGAAAAGCATAGAGGACATTGAAGACAGGGCTGACAAAGAGCGATTGAAAGAACCCACCCGACAAGCACTTCAACTGAGGTAACAGGAAATTATCTTGAGGCCAGATGTCTCTCATATGTCTTTTATTTGTTCTGGAATGAACTCTGGTGCAAAACTTTAATAGTACCATAGTTAGCACTTCTCTCTTTCTGTATTTTTAGGATAAAATTAATGACAAATTTGACACTTAAGAGGTCCTAAAATTTCTTTGGGCTCCTAAAGGATTTTCCTAAGGGCTATGTATAAGCCACTGAGATCTTATGTTCAATAGAGTATAGAGATCGTATTATCTATTTCTAAGCAATTTTTAACTGATGGGAGAAGGGACTCATCTTCTGTAGCAAGAATAAAGAGAGAGGAGAGAGGTGATTCAGGTAGACTTGTGGCTCTGGTGGTAAAATTGGGAATTCCTCCCTGGTGGCTGAAAAGACTGGAGCTAGCTCATTGGTTGAGAGTCAGTAACACAGGGTGTTTGCAGAGAGAAAATGGTGTAAAATAGTTCTCTAGTAGAGAGGAAATAGAAATGATACCTCTGAAGCTCAGGATGGTGATCGGCTGCCATTTGAGATGTGTGTCCATTCACTTCAAATGAAACCAGTCAGCTTGGCCGAGTGGTTCTCCCCAACTCCTTTTAACTGCTTAGAGGTGTGCAGAAGGCAGAGAAGTGGATTTAACCAAAGTTGGGGTTTTGCCAGCTGAGTTTAATAGAGAAGCTAAGGGGTCAAGGGTATTTTCCTGCAGTAAATTTGAAAAGCAATTCCCCCCCCCCCACCAATACTGCAGCTTTCTTTTCAATCTTATTTTTCCTTCTTGATGGAACTTTCTTCCCATTCATATTCTCAGGGCCACTTTCTCTTCTGTTTTTTCAGGGGGCAAAGAAAGAGCTGAAATGCATTTGTATCAAGGTGTCTCTAATTGATAAGGATTTTGTTGACCCTGCCAAGACCATGACAGTTTGCTTCCTTTCAGTCAGAAGCAAACATTGAGCCAAAGCTTTAGTTAGACAATAATGGCTCCTGAGGTTACACTCCATGTGGGCAATGAGTTCTCTGTCTAGTTGAACAATAAACTTACCAAAAGGAATAAGATTTGGCAAGGACAAAACAGGCTCCAGAGTAAAGACAGTATGAGGGGCAAGCTGGCAAAGGAGCAAACAGCCCACCCAGGAAATCAGCAATAGGATTGATGCCTGGCCTGTTAGACCTGCTCAGACAGGAGATTCTAAACTTGCTGGAGAAGAAGGCTCAGGTTGAGATCAAGAGCATTAATACCCACAACACTGAACTCACCAGATCATGCAGAGCCTACCAAAAATGTTGCAATGAATTGATTTATTAAACCCCAGCCATACTTAAGCTCGCTGTGAAACCTTGGGCAAATCACGTCTTCTTGTAAGATGGAGACAATGACAATGCCTGCTTCTAGCCACTTTGGGAATTAAATGAGATAATGCCTGTATACTCACTTTATAAACTCTACAGTGCTACATGAAAATACAAGTATAAAAGCATCAATGGTCCCCTTATGTGTCCACTTTTCAAAAATGCTCAAATATTAACATGTTAGGGACAAAAAGCATAAACATTTTCTCATGGTAATATTTTCAATAATGTATGTAATTTAAGTTTTCAAAATACATAGTTATTGTAGAACTTGGTAAAAAAAACATTTTTTTAATGAAACAACTAAGATCCTTAAATATTATTTTACATGAATTGGGCCTCATGGAACAAAAAGATTTCTTACCAATGACTGTGAAAAGTACTCACCTACTTTACCTACAAGGTCAGCCTAGTTTAAAAAGTCTTATACCATCAAAGCAAAATAGAAAAAGAACACAAACTTAATAGAAGTTTGAAAGTGAATAGTGAGACTGACTAAATGTTTTCTGAGATATACTGAATTAGGAAAAGTTAATCTTTAAAAGCACCTTTATCCATTGACTTACTTTAATTGCTGTATTAAAAGTTTTTCTAGGGAGCCAGCTGAGTGGCTTAGTTGGTTAAGAGTTGGCTTGGGAGCGCGAGCTCTGAGCAGCAGGGCTGCTGGTTTGGTTCCCACATTGGCTGGTGATGCTGAGCCCTCTACAGCTAAGATGGTGAACAACAGCTTGACCTGGAACTGGGCTACCATGAGTCGCTGGTGGCAGCATAGGCTGCAGTGGGGCTGGTCGGCAGCTGGTGTGAGCTTTCCTGAGCTTCCATGAGCAGCTGTGAGCGGCTGTCCAATGGCTGGCAAGCGACTGCCTCACCCGGGAAAAGTGCAATGATAGTACCAACATGGGCCAGTGAAGCGACATCTTCCACAACTAGACTGAAGAACAAAAGGACAACTTGGCTGTTCCTCTTCCCCAATTCCCCAATTAAAAAAAAAAAGTTTTTCTAGCTATCCATATATGTGTTTTATGGAGAGAAAATATTATTTCACTACTTTTGGTAAAATAACATTTTAATTCACAGGTTGAGAGTCTTTAATCAGTTAGAAGATGAACTGAATTCACATGAGCATGAGCTATGTTGGTTGAAAGACAAAGCTAAGCAAATCGCTCAGAAAGATGTAGCTTTTGCCCCTGACGTCGATAGGGAGATAAACCGCTTAGAAGTCACCTGGGATGACACCAAAAAACTAATTCATGAAAAGTAAGTCAAAAACTTCTCAGTTTTGTTTTTAACTTCTACCTGTTTTGTGACATTCTGCCATTGCCTGTTGATTTTGTGAGATCAAAAGTTGAATATCTTTGCCATCGTTAGTATTACATCTCTTCAGTAACAATCAAAATGTGGTCCTCATGTCTCACTGTAGTCTGTCCCTCCTCCCCTCACTCCCAGTCTCTGGCAGCCATTGGTCAGTTCTCTTCTCTATAGTATTGTCTTTTTGAAAATCACATGTAAGTGGATTCTTTCCAGTTTGGATGATTCTAAATAGAGCAGCTATACACACACATGTCCAGTTTTGTGTGTGTGTGCATAAGCTTTTATTTAACTTGAGTAAATACCTAAAAATGGAATTATGGGTTGTATGGTGTCTCTCTGACTTTATAAGCGTTGCCTCAGTAGTCGTACCATTTTGCATTCTCACCAACTATGTATGAGATTCCCAATTGTTCAGCATCATTTCCAGTGCTGAATGTCAAGTTTTTGTTTGCTTGTTTGACATTATAATAGATGAGTAGAGATATCTCATTGTTTTAAATTTGTTTTTACCTGATGTCTAATAATATTGAGCACATTTTGACATGTTATTTGCCATCTGTATATCTTGGTCAAATCGGCTTGTTTAAATTGCCAGATTATTTTGGATTGTTTGTTTTCTTATTGAAGTTCATTATAGAACCCCAATCAAAATCCCAGCAGAGTTTTTTGTAGAAATTGAGAAGCTGATTCTGGAATTTAAATATAAAGGAAAAGACCAAGAATGGTACAATTTTGAAAAAGAATTGAACTTACACTACCTGGTTTTAGTGTGGTATTGACTAAATGGTAAACATGAAGACCAGTGGAACATACGGAGCGCCCAGAAATAGACCCACACAAACATGCCCAATTGAGTTTTGAAAAAGGCAATTTGATGGAGAATGGATATCTCTTTTCAACAAATAGTTCTGGAGCAATTGGGTATCCATAAGCATTAAAAAATAATATATGGCATGACATACAAAGGCCTTTTAAACAAAATTGAGAACACATTGTATATTATAGACTTTTAACTTAGGCTTTTGTTAATTTAACCGTATTGCACAAACTTTATCCCATGTTATTAAACGTTCTCCTAAACTGTGCTTTATTAGAGATTGCACAGTATTCAGTTATAAGAATGCTTCAGGATTTATTCAATAATTGGCCTACTTTTAACATTTGAGTTATTTCTGGTTTTTCTCCTATTATAAATAATGGTGTGAAGAATATCATTTTAGGGCCGCCGAGTGGCTCAGTTGGTTAAGAGTTAGCTTAAGAGCATGAGCTCTGAGCAACAGAGCTGCCGGTTCGATTCGACATGGGCCAGTGAGCTGGGCCCGAGCTGAGCTGCCACTGAGGTGCCAACAGGTGGCAGGATGGCTCAGCTGGTGAGAGCATGTGCTCCTAACAACAAGATTGCCTGTCCAATGGTGGGCTACGCCTGCTTGCAACTAAGACTAAACTCAGCACCTTGAGCTTAGAGGCCACGAGCTGCTGCTGGGCAGCCAGATGGCGACTGGTGCCCTCCACAACTAAGATTAAAGAACAACAGCTTAGCTGTTCCCCCTCCCCAATTCCCCAACACTGTTCCACTCCCCCAATCCGCCCCCAAAAAAGAAAAAATAATAATAATATTTTACTTAAATCTTAGTGTACTACTCTTTCTTTGGAAAAATTCCTAGAAATAGAATTGCTTGTTCAAAGGCGTTTTACTCTTACAAACAAAAATTATCTTCTTACTTTGACAATTTTCAGGGATTCATAGTCAATGAAAATGTGTGTCATTGAAATGGAAAGTCAAACTTTATATGTGTTTTAACTATTGAGCAATTCTTTTTGTTTTGTTTTGCTTTGCTTCCCCTCAACACACACCATTATGAGGTAATTAAATCATGGAAAAATTAAAAAACAAAAATTCGGTCACATCTACCTAAGTTTTAGTTGTCAAGAACATATATTGTATCTTTGCTTGCCATTTTGTTTTAATGGCTATGTGCATTCTTTATTTGTCAAGAAAATTTTGGACATTAGAATTAAGTAAGATTGACCAGCACTCTTTTGAACCCAGTACGTAAAAATATGGTTTCCTCTTGATTCAAGCACCTATCTATAAATATGAGTTATGTGTCAGGTTTAGTTGTAGGGGACTTTTTCCTTTCCTGATATATGACAACAAATGATATCTTTTCTTTAATCATCAGCCAAGGTCAATGCTGTGGACTTATTGACTTAATGAGAGAATATCAGAACTTGAAGTCAACTGTATCTAAAATCCTAGAAAATGCCAGCAATGTGATTGTAACCAGAACAACAATCAAAGATGAGGAGGACCTTAAATGGGCTTTATCCAAGGTAATAACTCAAAATGTGTTTATTTTAATAGAACTCTTTAGTAGACCTTTTTTTTTCCTCATAATGCATTCTCTATACAAATCTTGTCAGTACAATTTAGATGTTGATAATTCATGCTAACAAGCTCAATTTCTTTCTTTTGTTTTAAGGAATACTGATACCCTAAGATTCTAGCAATTCAAGAAAATTATATCATATATATATAGTTTACTAATATCACAGGTTTCTACATGAATTAAATGTCTTAGAGGCAAATCATTTCAAACACCTGACTTATCATTGATGATGTTATTAATTAAGGAAACATTTATGTCTACAGCATGAAACTGTCAGGAATGAAATGTGTAATAAACAGAAAGAATTGGATAACTTTACCAGTAAAGGAAAACAGTTGCTATCTGAGCTGAAAAAAATTCACAGCAGTGATTTCATCTTGGTGAAAACAGACCTGGAGAGCACTGTGGACAGATGGCTGGATGTAAGTGAGCTCCCCACCGAGGGCTCTGTGATGGTAAATGGTAACACTTACGAATCCCATTTGTGGGCAAAGGATCATTCAGGGATGGGAATTCCATTTTCAACTCTTCATGCGAAATGCAAATGTGATTTTCTGAAGAAAAGTCGTGTTCACATGAAGTTTAGAAATAGTAAAAAAATTATGTGCTTTATTGTGTTAAAATGTATTGACAGACTTTCTAGAATTTTACTTGATAGCTTCAGTCATAACACATAAATTTATAACTCTTGCTCTTCTTCTCAAAACTGAGATTATGTATAAAAATAAAATAATTTATAAACATCCTACAGAATATTAAACCATAACATTCAATAATTTAAAGTAATAACACTGTTATTTTGCATTGAAAAACGTTGGATTTAGAGTTTACATCCTTGGGTTTTAGTTCTTACTCTGTCATTTACTAGCTGTGTGATCACAGAAGATGTCACTTGATATCTCTGGAACTCTGCATCTCAGTCCATACATATTTTACATTGTTTTCCAGCTCAAAATTCCAGTGATTCTGTTAACCCCCAATTTTCAATATCTAGGTTCAGAAGTTTAACCTATAGTGGGTTTCCTTCCTTAAGCTAAATTGCTTAAGTTAGACATTGATATTTGCATACTATAATCAAATAATTTGGGGATTATTAATATAAGAAAACCTTGTATTCCTCCACTTTTAAAAGGACATTTTTATTAAGGGAACAATATTAACCAATAATACTTTTAGCATGCCAAATCGGTTGCTCTCCTATGTATTTACTTATCCTACAAATATGTTCAAGTCTAATTATGCCCATTTTTATATCTAAGTATTACAAATAAAGGGGTATATTGTGTTACTTGGATATGGAGTACAGGGTGGGGAGTGGAGTCAATTTAATTGTAATAGATGTGTAGGCTATCGGGGGCGGGGGTTTGGGGAGGGGGTTGTCACTTTGTGAGGGGTGAAAAGTATAACTATTGCATTGTTTTGTACATCTAAAACTATTATTAAAAAATTCAAAAAAAATAAAAATAAACACAATTCTGCCCTAAATGGGCCCCTATCCTGTAGAATTCAAACTCAGAGTGAGTTATATTACAGTAGGCTCTAATAGACCTGTTGTTAGTTTCTGAATTTACAAACGAAAGTTAAACGTCTCAGCAATTCAGTCAGCTCTCCCGACGACAAAAACAATTCATGTAATAGTTACCATTACGACAAAAACAATTCATGTAATAGTTACCATTTACTTGAATCAGATGCACTCGTTCGCTTACAATCGTTTTTGTAAAACTTTGCTTTTCAGTCAGAATGTAATTTTCTGATTAAGGAAGGCATTGACATTTTTAGGACGTTGGTGGGCAGAGAGCATCTTAAAGCCTCAGACTATTAATGACATGGATTACATTTTTCTACCCCAGGTATCAGAGAGAATTGAGGAAAACATGGACAAGCTGAGGGTAAGCCTGTCTATTTGGGCTGATGTACTCTTGAGTAAAGAAGAGATTGAAGGATGGTCAAACAATTCTGTTCCACAGCTGAGTGAAAGCATCAGCAACCTGAATAACAGCCTGAGAGCAGGAGAATTTCTGAAAGAATTTGAGGTAAATTGACTACACTTTCATATGTGAGCTTGTGGTATGTCATTGACCAGCATACGAAAAAAACTGTATCCTTTTTTTAAAGTTCATTCTTCCTTTAGAGACCTATGTGTTGTAATGAAATTCTGAACTATCATTTGCTGTTTACTTGAAAGTGAATAGGCTGTGGATGAGAGGGTTTGTTTGTTTTTGTTTGTTTGTTTGTTTGTTTGTTTGTTTTTGCATTTTATCACTTCTTAATTTGGGCTCTTAAAGTATTAGTGGAAAAGTAAAAGTCCATGAAATCTATATTTTTTACCATTCATCTGAAAATATGGTATCTTCCTACTGGAAAACCAAATTGAAAGTGTTTGTAATTCACTGATATTTAGTATCTATCTTTTTCTTCTTTCAAACAAAATGTTTACTGAGTTGTTACCACATGCTAAACACTTATGCTAGGGGCTGAATTCTTCCACTTTGTTTTCAGAAATGGAATAAATAGATTTGGTGTGTCACAGGCTTCCACGGAAAGTGGCCCCTTTAAGTTCTAGTCACCAATTTATTGGGTTGTCGGAAAGGTCATGACGCATTTTTGCAACGAAAAACATAGAAAAAAATACGTCATGACTTTTCCGACAACCCAATATTTTAAACTCCTTTTATTCTCATTTCTTGCCTTCATTTATTCATTCACTCATCAGATTCTTCATGAGCACCTAAAGTATGTCAGGCACCATCTTAGACATGAAGAATGTAATAGGCGATAAAGTGCCTACCCTCATGGTATTTCCATCATTTACATCGCAATATGTTATGTATAAAATGTCAAGTAGTAATTGGGCTAGGATGAGAAATGAAGCAAGGCGAGGGGAAATAGAGCGACAAGAGATAACCTGTCTCACAGAGCATATAACTGACTGTCCTCTGGAGAAGTAGAAACTGCCCACCATCTTACACTTGGTGCCCAGCGCCATGCCCGGTACACATCCATGAATGGATGGATGACTATAGTCTGAAGTAGTAAGGTTGCGTCACGTGTATTGCCTAAGCTATCCAGCTGTCTTGGACCCAAAGAACACTCTAGAGAGTGTTTCTATTTCTAAGGGTAAACAGAAGTAGAGGAAGTTATTTAGACTAAAAGCACGGTTGTGGTGGGATATCACAATTTCTTTAGTTATTATCTTCGATGTCCAATTAGTATTACAAGTCAAACAGTGGCATGTGGTGGAATAGTGCTTGTGCCTCCTCACAGAAGTCAGTGATTACATTTTCAGGAATTTTGCGAGCCAGTGTTAAATACAACCATTATTAAAAATTAAACTGTACATCAATTTACAATTAAATAAATTTTATTAAAAATTAAGGTAATGACTGCTCAAAGCATATCACTTCCTAATTATTATCTTCATACTGCTGTTATGTAAGCTCTGGAGGTACTGACATTTATTATATCTGCATGATGGAAATACTGTAGAATGGTGTGCTATCGTGCAGCTCTTCCAACTCCATGTTGGTAAATGCTACAAATCAGGGCCTTTTTTTGGACAGCCAGTTGTTAAACCCGCAGACAGTACGCTCCTCCTACTGACCCCTGGAGCCACTGGAGCCGGAGGGTGTCAGCCCCATGTTCAGTATGTCTAGGCTCGGTCACTCACAGAGAGAGGGGGTTTTTTAAAAGATTTTTATTGGGGAATTGGGGGTATGGGAACAGCAGTGGGGAATTGGGGGAAGGGGAACAGACAAGTTGTTGTTGTTTTGTTCTTCAGTCTAGTTGTGCAGGACATTGCTTCACTGGCCCAATTTGGCACCATCATTGCGCTTTTCCCAGGCGAGGCAGATCAGTCACCGGCTTCTGGGCGGCCACTCACTGCGGCTGCTGGCCGCTCACGCTGGCTGCTGGCTACACACGGTAGCCCATGGCAACCCACTGCAGCAGGGGCTGCAGCCTACGCCGTCGCCGGCAACTCATGGCAGCCCAGCTGTTGTTCAGCATCTTAGCTGTAGAGGGCAGTGTCACTGGCCCTCATATGTGGGATACGAACCGGGGCCCTCTGGCGTCCCAAGCCATCTCTCAACCATCACGCCACTCGGCCAGCCCGAGATAGGTTTTTATGTCACTGATTGTCTGTGGGGCACACCAGCTAATAAAACCAGTGATGTGGATTCAGCCCAGTGCCTACCAGTATCATTGTCGCTGTGCAGGTAATGAAGTGTAGGTGCGTAGGTGTGATGCTTAATTGTCCAGCCTGCTTCTGGGAAAGGCCAGTGGGCCTGAAAGTTAGTTTATCACATCTTGCTGGGCAAGTAAATTATGTTCTGGGTTGGAGACATCAGGAGGTTTGTTAGTGTCCACAAAGCACCAAAATACGATGTTTAAGTTGAGAGGGATACTTTATTATATGTTCCATTGTGGCCCCAAGTAACTAAGGAAGTTTATATGTGTCTAATTTGCTTAGTGATGTTTCTTTGATTATTTTTCTTCTTTTTGTGTTAGTGTTAGTGCAAAAAAAAAAGGGTGAAATATTAGATGTCAATTTTGTAATTAACCTGATTTTTGTTTTAACATCCTTTGAATTTTTATTTGAAAGGTGTCTTACGTATTATATATAATCGGCAGTAATTAGGCATTCCTGATGTGTATTTGCTTTGAAATGCTTCCTCAAGTATTTAATGCTGCCATAGTAACCAGTGATATTAATGCTAATGAATAAATGACAGTTAGCTATTGAAAGTCCTCACTGACTCAAGCGTTTTGGTTGACGTTTAATTTTTTCCAAGAGGCTTCCCCCTCATCACCCCCCCCCACCCCACCCCTCTCCTGCCAATAAAAGAGGGTGGGAAGAACATTCCCATACTTCCTCATATCCCAAGTGAAAGTTACTGGTGACATTTTCCCACATTCATAAATAATCATAACAATCAGAAAACAAAATGAAATAGAGATTTTTTTTTTTACTTTGGCTTAAAGATGAGGCATTTTGACAGAGTTAACTCTTGAAATTACTAAATGCCAAATATAACCTGTCAATGTTTGAATTAGTTATGCTGTTTTCCTTTGTCTTTTATCCTGGCAGTCTGAAGTTAAAAACAAAGCATTGAAATTGGAAGAACTTCATTCCAAAGTTAATGATCTAAAAGAATTAACTAAAAATCCAGAAACACCACCAGACCTTCAGGTAAGCATTCAATCAGGTTTGTAATAATTGCTATACACTAGACTCTCTCTCTGTCTCAAAAAAAGCTTTTATATTCTTTAGGTATTTATATAGTAAAGTGCATATGTGTGTATATATGTATTCTCATTGTTGTAATCATCATAATTCCAAGGAAACACATGGACCATATCATAAATGGTGGCTAAAATATTAACCTCTTTAGAATTCCTTGTGCTAGCATTAATAACATATTTTCAACTCAAATATTATAATGAGGTTAATTCCCTTTTTCCTTACTAAATTTTGGAAGTAGTATCATTTAGCTTGCTTCATGGACCATTTTATGTCTAGATAGGACCAGAGGCCATAGTTACGAATATTGATATCCTCATTGATATTTTTCTAATTCATCCACTCAGTATTTGGGTTTGGAGGGCTCACCATTGCAAATCTCTTTTCAAGGCACAAATGCGCAGGAACCAGTGGACAGTCAGGGTAGACCAGGTCCTACCAGCAAACCTGGGCTATTCCAGTGCCAGAGCCATCAGAGCCTCCACCGTGGTGGGTCTGTTTTGGGGGCCAGCACTGTAGGCTCTGGGCTAAAAAAGCCACTGCATTACTTTAATCTCTCTATTTGTTGCTGCCCTCATGGGTTTTCTCTACCTTTTCTTTCTCTCTGTTGTGCCTTTGTCCTTTTTTTTTTTCTACTGCTTCTCATTAACCAGTCAGTCTTGCTTGGTCAGCTACACCGCTGCTCTGACCTGAGACTGTGTACCCATCGGTTAGCATCATTGGTGGGTGATATATATGTACCAGAATGTTAGAATTGCTCCTGAAACAACAAGAGGCAAAAAAGGTGCTAATCATACAAAACTGAGAGGGAGCGCTTATGCATGTCGCCTATGCTGAGGGTATAAATGGACAACAACTGGACTTTTGCAGAAGATAGAGGCAGGATGATGGTAGAGAGCTCCTGTTGTACTCTGGTTCCCACACACATACACACCGAGGCACACTCAAAGGTGTGGGAGTGCCTGTATCTTCCCTCGAAATAGGGAGAAGGGTGTTAGCAGTACCATCTGGAGAACATAACATATGCCCCCTGCAGTTGGCGGACATAGAAGTCTAATAGCTAACTCCCTCAGAGATACCTTAACAGTGAGAGACAGGCTTGCTAACTGCTCATGTGTTTACCAAAGGACAAATGATTGTTTGTGGAGCTGCCTGCATCTCAGAGTCATCTGGGGTGAAGGCCAGAGTGTGACCTCTGGCCCAGAAGTGAATTATGATAGGAAAGGAAAGAAGAAAGCATCTGTGTGTGATATCTCAGGTTATCTAGTAAGGTTTTCCAGGGGATGATAGGCCTCAGCAGCTAGAAGTTCAAGAGAGGCCTGCAGGCTGCAGGAGAAAGTGAAGACCAGACAAAAGTACATTGCTCTCATCAGGGAACCTCGCTGGGAGGTCGCAGCAGGGAGGGGAGTCTCAGAAAAACCCACAGAGGCCTGTGAGAGGAGACAGTGTGACCTGTCTCCTGGCCTAGAAAGCACAGGTGCCAGTCTTCTCAGCCACCCGCTGCCTGACCAAGCCTGCAGGGGTCAGAGTGGTGCAAGATGGCGGAATGTAGATGAAGTGAAGAAAGACAAAAGGAGGCACTTGGCCCCTTTCTCCACTGTGGGCTTCCTGTTTGCAGCAAATGTGAGCTGGGGTGGGGGGGGGTAAGAAAAAAGCCTTAACTTTCAGTTCAAATATTTTGATTATTTAATGGGACTGGATGTTTTCATTGTGGAACTGAACCTGTTTATACTTTATCATGATTAGAAGGCCTTTTATTATCTGTGGGTCCAGAGAAATCAAGGGCCTTCCAGAAATAAATCATCCAGGAAGAGAGGAGACCTAGCCTCCCTGAATGTTCAAAAGTGGAAGACAAAAAGAAAGTGCTTCACCATGAAATCCTATAGCGGCATTTCTCCAAAGTAGTGGCTACATTAGGGCGAAAAGGTGTGAGCGTTTCGCAGGCAGAATGAATAGCAGGTTTTCGGTCCCCTTCCTGGTAGTTCTGCGTAAGTCTAGCTCTGTTTTTGAAATGCGGTCTCGTGTATTCCCTGGAACCTCAAACTGCCACTTTAACGTCCCATGCTAACTGTAATCCTTACTCTTTCCATTTTCTCATCACTGAAAATGGTTGGCAGCTTGTACCCGCTGATTTTCCTTCTTAGAAAAATTGAATGTACATCCACAGTTAGGCGTATGTGTTTTTAGTTAAGCTACACATCAACCGAATTCCTAGGAAAGGAGTGTCTGGTGTTCATAGATTTTAATGAAACTTTACTTGATGTTTAGTTTATAGAAGCAGACTTAAGGCAGAAGCTGGAACATGCGAAAGAAATTACTGAAGAAGCAAAAGGAACCTTGAAAGATTTCACTGCTCAGAGTACACAAGTGGAGAAATTTATTAATGACATAACAACCTGGCTGACAAAACTAGAAGAATCCTTAATGAACGGTGCCCAAACTGAGACCTGTGAAGGGCTGAAAAAAGTAAAGGTAGGTAACACACTATCATTAAGTGTTTACACTTCAGTGGGAATATTAGCTCACCTGATTTGTGGTGACTATAATCAAAATATGTGTTTAACCTCTGCTCTCATTGACCCACGTTCACACCAGACACAGCAAAGTAAATAATGGGGAGAACTGAATGCAAAATTAATCATCTGAAAACAGAAAGCATGTATTGCTGTAGAGTCTGCTCATAGGGTATACTTTATTATTATTATTATTATTATTATTATTATTATTATTGTTATTATTTTTAGTAAGAGGATGGCATCTATAGAACTGTTGAATGACCATGAATTTTCAAATTTACCAAATAGTTGTTTACAATTGTTGTTATTGGTCAGCATGACTGTTTTCATCTAGAGAAGGACATATTTAAAACAAATCAAAACAAAAACTTGAGAAAACATCCCACTTTCATGTCATCTTGTCCATTTTCATGGATGACGTTTCTGATTACCCTCTGTAAAGCTTGTGAGTTGAGTTGGCTTTTCAACATATGTGATCTGTTCTCTTTTAGTGTATTTTCTTACTGTACTTGAGACTAAGGACATACATTTTTAAATTAATTCTGGTGCTTTTGGTGTGGCCTGTGACCCTGAAACAAAGCCAGAATAGCCCACTGAAGAATGTGAAATTAGGACGGTGATTCCATTAATAGTTTCTAATCAACTGACTAAACCTAAGCTCGTGGGCTGGAATCTATAAGGATCTAGTCAATTTGTTTGAAATCCTAGACTGTAACTCAAATTAAAGCTACCTCTCAATAGTTGTTTGCAGTTGTTACCTAGAAGGACTGGACAAAATTCTCAAAGAATCAATCCAGATTTATCACAAATACTTAAAAAAAAATCCCATAAAAGTGTACACATAGGGTGAAAAGGATAACTATTGCATTGTTCTGTATGCCTGAAACTAACAATAAGAAAATTAAAAAAAAAAAGTGTACACATTGCTGAGTGAATTTCAACAGCATCAATTTCCAAGAAAAGTTCCATAGTGCAGTAGATGGAATATTTCTCTTGAATGTGATGAATATCCTCATGGCATACTTTTATTCTATAGGAAATACAAAAAGAACTTCAAAGTCAGCAAAGCAACATCAGCTCCACCCAAGAAAATCTCAACAGTTTGTGCCGCAAATACCATTCAGCTGAGCTGGAGAGCCTGGGTAGCGCCATGACTGGGCTGATAAAGAAACATGAAGCTGTGAGCCAGTTGTGCTCCAAAACGCAGGCCAGCCTCCAGGATTCTCTGGAAAAACACTTCAATGGTGAGCTCTGGCAGGCCTTAGCATGAATAGTTTGTTTATAAGAGGGAACCCAAACCAAATGCTGCATAGAAACTGCCAACAAAAGTTTGCAAAACTTTCCAGAGGAATATCACTTTAAATGCATTCGTGCACTGAGATTTGAGCAGCAGAAGTGTTATGCTTGGGCTTTCTCCTAAGCCAAATTCTTCCTCTTTCTCCCCAAGAAAGTATGAGTCCACCATTTTGACGATTCTGAATTTCATCTAGATTTTCTACATATAGCTCATTTGTGTGTGAAATGACATCCAGTGCTATGATGAAGTGACAGTAAACTTGGAGAGGCCATGAAACACAGCAGCCGTATAATCTAGGAAGTTGCCAATTGTATGTCCCTAACCCAGCTGCCCCACAGATCTGAGCCAAGGCTCTGATGTGGATGCATAATGACTCTAAATCAGTTTGGTGGAAAAAGGAGGTGGCTCCTCCTTTTGCAATAAAAATGGCTTTAACACCCTAGAGCTTTTCCCCCTTTGTACTCTGACATATTCAGGCAAATAATTACCTTTCTTTACCAAAAGAAAGAAATGGAAGGGGAAAACAGACATTTTTCAGGCTTTTCTCTGAGATAATTTCTCTATTCTACCATGAACAGTCATGGGTGTCGATCATGCTGTGTCATAGTCTATATTATTATTACTATTTTCTTTCTGGACTGTTTGGTAAGGCAAGCTACAAAGGGCTGAAGGCCAGGACTAATTCACTGTGGTAGTCCTGGAAGCTCATTCAACGTTTTTGGATGTATTTCTCATTTTCCTTACTTTCAAAAGAGTCTATGCAGGAATTCCAAGAGTGGTTTTCTGGAATAAAAGCAGCTGCAAAACAATCATCAGATCGAACTGGTGACAGCAGAGTCCTAGAAGCAAAGCTCCATGATCTCCAGGTATGAAAGCCACGTTGCTTTTTCTTCTTATTCAAACTCCCCTGCAAGTCAGACCTCAATTATCTCTTTTTCCAAATCTTATTTTATTCAAACTTTTTTTCTTCCTTGTGAGAATGTGATTTGAGTCATAAGGAGACAGGGAATATGGAAAGTAAGTTGAAAAAGTAAGCTATAGCTACAGAATTTCTAGATCCCTTTTCTTTCTCTTTTAGCCTATTAGTCATCTTTGGAACTCAAAACTAAAGCTAATTATAATTTCTATGGTAGTAAAAGGCATAAATATTTATATCTATTTTACATTACAATCATGGAGGAGTTTTTCAAAGATATCACTTTTGTTTTTTAATAGCCTTTGGTCTAAATTTGGAGCTCAGACATAGTCACATTAAGGCAATAGATATTATAGATGTTATAGGTTTCCTGATTATGAGACATGTATGAGTTCGGGAAAGAGAAGGCCACTGTGAAGTTGAGTTGAGAAATGATTGACAGAAGACTAGGTTTACATTGAGTTTTGGCTAAATTTCTCAAGCAACTAATCTGAGAAAAACATTGTGTTAAGTATTATAAAAATAAATTTTAAAAAATTAATGGGAACATGAGGATTTTGTGGCCTCATGGGTGATGACAATTATGTAGGTAATACACTAGCAGTCAGGATAGAAAGATCATTATGATAAAGGAAGCTCGTTTTGCAGGAGCCAGGGTGAATTCCTATGTGGAATTTTCCCCTTGAAGACTTGAGATGCAGTGGAACTCCACAAACAAAAGTCCGAGTAACAGTTGCATGTGCCCCCTGGAACTCAGGGGAGAGTCGGGGCTAGCAAAACAGTGCTGGGGTTCTTCTGCTCTGTGGAAGCCATGACCCTGCTTACAATCTTCCAAGGAAGAGGTGCACACCCAGAAAAGAAGGGGTCTGAAGTCAGGATATTGTGCTCAAGGTGGGTCAGAGGCAGGGAGGGAAAGGGGCAGTTAGCTAGTTAGAAGATGTCACACTCACCAGGGGAAGTGGTAGGGCCTGGACTAGGTTGGGACAGTGAGACAGGGGACAGGCTGAGAATGAGACCTCGATGAGGACATCCTTCTTTCCAGCCTGACATTGTTCAGTTTGTCCCCAGGGGTTCCAGTGTCTGGCTGGCACTGTCCTGGATTGTGAGCCTTGAGTGTATCCAGTTGTATACAGCGTTCCTACTCCAGCCTTGTGAAAGGCCCTCTTCCTCTGGCCTCTGTTTTTCTTCTCTTGCTCTACTCTCTCAGAATTGTGACGAATGCTCCCGTGCACCAGCAATTAGTTCATATTACCTTTATTTCCTGAAACAGAACATTTTGGACTCAGTCAGCGACGGGCAGAGCAAGCTTGATGCTGTGACTCAAGAAGGACAAACTTTGTATGCACATCTGTCTAAACAGCTTGTCAGTAGCATTCAGGAACAAGTTACAAAAGCTAATGAAGAGTTTCAAGCATTTCTGAAACAATGCCTGAAAGACAAACAGGCTCTTCAAGACTGTGCTTTAGAACTTGGGAGGTAGGTTGTTTTGATATGGGTAGATTTCATCATGCACAGAATATGTTTTCAAAGACTGAGAGAAAAGAGCCATTGTGAATAAACGAATAATCTTTGAAAGTGTGAGTTTAAATTATAATAAGCTTTGACCTTAAGTACCAGTTCATACTGGGACAATGATTGATTTCTTGGGCTTTTGATATCATTTGACTTTATTTTCTACATAGAAAAAGCAAGGAATTGCATTCACTAGTAATTATAAATGACATAAATGCATGCGTTTTTTTCGTTTTGTTTGTTTGTTTTTTTGTGGGTTTTTTTTTGTTTATTTGGCTAAATCAAGATATTAGAGCTCTGACACCCAGGTTTTAAATTATCCAAGTCTTTTTCTTTTGTCTACTTCTGCTGGGTCATTTCATGGCAGTAAGCACTTAATGAATACATGTGAATCAAGAATCAGGAAACTATGTCAATATGGCTGACTATAAAATTAGAAAGAAAAAAACAAAGCTTATTACTAGGGGGAAAAAGATATCAATATAATCAAAATAACTCTCTGGTGGTGGAATCATTTCCCTGACTCTTATCCATGTTTCTCATGGAACTTACACGGTTTTCAGAACTTGGAGCCCCTGTACTCCTGTTCCGTGTTCAAATCCCATAAGATAAAAAGACACGGAGATGACTTTCCCTTTTTTCCCCGAGGGCTTCCACAGCCTCGCTTATCCATTGGCCCCAATTCGGGGTCTTTGTAGTAAGACCCAAAGTCAAGTGCATGCTGACATGGGAATGTAATCTTGCTGGTAATCACCACCCGTGATTGATTACCAGGTAATCAATTCTGCAAGAGAGAGTGATTCTTTTTGGCTTGGCTCTCAAGAGAAATTTCCATGATTTGTCATTTTGTTACTGAAATAAGTGAAAATGTAAAGGGGCTTCTTGTTGAGTTTTCTTCCATACTTGAAAATTCATGCACTTAAATGCCATAGACATTGTGACCTCAGGTATTAGAATTTATTTATTACAATGAGCCCATAAGCATTTCTCTGAGGGGTTTTCCTTTTCTCTAGCTTTGAGGATCAGCACAGAAAACTGAACTTATGGATCCGTGAAATGGAGGAAAGGTTAAGTACAGAAAACTTAGGAGAGAGTAAACAGCACATTCCTGAGAAGAAAAACGAAGTCCATAAAGTTGAAATGTTCCTGGGAGAACTACTGGCTGCCAGGTATGGTGCCGAAATGGAACGGCCCTTTCCCTACACACTAGTTTGTGTTTGTCTCGTTGGTTAGTTATTGGGTTTGGTTGTTAGTGGGTTGGCTGGTTAGTTGTTGGTAATTGTGTATGATTCTATCCTTGAGTGTCTAGAATACAAATGACTGTGAAGTATTTTCAATGGCAGTGTGGTATTCTGGAGAGAGCATAGGGATGGAAGTACGGAGCTGGCCTCCATCCTGCTTCCTCCTTCCTCAGCAGATCGGACAGGCCACTCTTTTCCTGTAGTTCTTGATATTAGCCTTTAAGTATGTGATGGTGATGGTGATGGTGATGGTGATGGTGATGGTGATGGTGATGATGATATACGTTCCTTCAGGGGTTATTATAAGGATATAAGGTGATTAAAAGATAATCTTCATTTGTAAAAATAATGCTGCAGATCCCAATTTCTGTATAATCTTGTTTTTTGTTTTGTTTTGTTTTGTTTTGTTTTAGCTGAGCCATCCTGCCACCTGTTGGCAGCTCAGTGGCAGCTCAGCTTGGGCCGGGACTCAAACCGCTGTTGCTCAGAGCTCACACTCTTGAGTGAGCTCTTAACCAACTGAGCCACTCGGCCGGCCCCTCTGTATAATCTTTATACAAGTACACTCCACCCTCCAGTCCCATTTATAATATTCTTTGTAAAACAGAAGGTATGGTCATTAAGTGTGACTGTCTTGGAGGTTCCTCTTCTCCACTGGAATATGTGTCTCCTCATTGCTTCCCCACTGAGCAAATGATTCTGGCTTCTTTCCCAGGCCAAGTCCTCTGGCCTGATCTCCAGGGCTTTGCTCCCTAACTTCATGCTCCACCCGGGGCATTTTCAGTTGCTTCATTGGAACTCTTCCATTGCAAGATGGAACACTTCCCATCAGGACCCACAATTCCTTAACTGTCCTCTTAAGGAGCAGATGGACTCGTATGTGAAGCAGCAAGGCTAGCACCCAGCTGGCTTAATCAGGCAAACCAGCGACATTGATCAACTGAGTAAAAATTGCTTAATTCAGATTACACTTATCCTGTTTCCACCAAGTCCTTCTTTTGGTGAGACATGCTGAGTATTCCTTATCTTTAAAAAAAAAAACACCTGTTGTATTTTTAAAGCGAATGCACAAACAGAGCCCACAATGAAAACTATTGGTGTGCTAGTTTGATGGCTATTATAAAATTGCCCTGGAATGCTTTGGTCCCATCTCTGTGAGCCCTTCCAATGTAAACGCTTTGTTGACCATATGAACCCCAGCCCCTATGGTGAGTTTCTCAGGGTCAGGGGCCATCAGGTCATTATCATCTTTATGTTACCATTATCTACTGTACTGCCACAAAAATAGAAAGTAGTTGCTGAATTAATACAATAGCATTATTCTAATTATATAACTTTCTGAAAATTGCACTACACTTTATTCACTTTTAAAATCTTGACTTTTGTCTAGCTACAACATAACATGGTCAGACTTACTTCTCTCCTCCTTCCAAACTTTTAAAATGACTTTACATGTTTTTTGTGAGCTGCTACTGTCTAATAATCCAGGACCAGATGCTAAGAGTCCTTAAGGGTGTTTGTTCCCAGGTTCCTTCCACCTGGCTGCTTCTGTCATTCATTTGCTCCTCCCAGTCCGCTATCATTTTTTGTTTGTTTGTTTGTTTGTTTATTTGTTTATTTGTTTTCATCATCATATTTCCAGTACTTCACATATCTTGGGGGGATACCCTATATATTTTTCAAAGTACCCAAGAGGTGAGAATCCTTGAATATTTATAATCTATTAAGCAATTCTTCTAGGAATAACAAGTGATATCTGTTGGCTTGAATTATTATTTGACTCACATTATTGCTTAAGCCACTTTCTTGTCTCACCAGATTATAAGAATGAAAAATGTGTTTTAGAGTATGTAATATTGGATCAGTGTTACGTAACTCACAGAGGCTCTTCCGGGTACTATTTACATAGTAGCTGCTCAGAAAAAAACATTGAGACGTTGTAGGAGACAGACTTCTATCCTTTTTCTAGTACTCACAGCAGTTTGTGTTCAGACATCTGCACCTTCCCTTCTGATAGATGTGCTGATCTGAATTCAGAACCTGTAAAACCAGATGAAGCCAACCCAGCCTCACATGATTACATGTCCCCTTGAGCTAATTAACATAACCCCAAACTGAGATGAGCAAGGACCCTGAGATATAAGAAGGACACCCTTAAGCTTTCATAAAACGGCCTTTTGAAAGATTTTTCTTTTTTTGCATTTTATTTCTGCCCAACATTGTGTTGGGTCCTGGGGATATGAGATGAATACAATAGCCCTGGCTTCTAGAAAGCGAAAGCCTTGTGGATTGAGACAGGCAGGGTGTGGGAGGTGGCAGAGCAATGCAGGGCAGGAGGTGCCGGAGGAGGAGGCCTGCGCTCACCACCCTCCCCGGGGATGTGGTGCCTGCACTGAGCTTTAGGGGCAGCTAGGAAAGGAGTGGGGGAGAGCAGAAGGGTTTGCACAAAGGAGGACCCTCTGTGTGTGTATGAAACAGCAGGGCGTCTGGGGAAATTGCAGCGAGCTGTTCATGATTAGAGCATTAACTAGGAATTGAGAGATGCTGGAGATGGCCTGGAGAGGCAGGCCTGGGCCATTCTCTGAATTGAATTTCTGCAATACACTGGGCTTGGATCCAGGCCCAGCAAGGAGTGAATCATATCCCCAGATGTAGGTTGACTACATTCAGAGGAACCTAAGAGAATCGGGTGGCCAGCGCAACCACCAGGACCTTCATTTTCAAGGCATGTCAGCTGTGAGCTCTTGTCTGGTTACCGATCCAATGTCAACAACCATGTGTCACTCCCCTGAGCTCCAGAATGTCTGAGTTCAATTTTTTTTTTTTTCTGTTTTCCTTAGAGAGTCTCTCGATAAGCTTTCCCAGAGAGGGCAGCTTCTCAGTGAAGAAGGCCGCGGAGCTGGGGAGGAAGGCCGCCTGTGCTCGCAGCTGCTCACTAACTACCAGAACCTACTCAGAATGACCAAAGAGAAACTCAGGAGCTGCCAGCTGGCCCTGCAGGAGCACGAAGCGCTGGAGGAAGCCCTGCAGGGCATGTGGTCCTGGGTGAAAGATGCTCAAGACAGGCTGTCCTGTGCAGAGAGCACCATCGGAAGCAAAGACACCTTGGAAAAGCGGCTGGTGCAAATACAGGTACACACGCGACCCTGGCTAGACACCAACAATTTCCGAAGACTCATTTCATGAGATTGCCAAATGTTTGAATTGGGTTCTCATAAATGAGGATTATGTGGGCAAAAAGGAGAAATTGGGCAAAAAGGATTTAGAGGGGTCAATTTTCCCCTTTGTACAGGAATATTTTTGTCTTAATAATTCTAAAATATTTTAAAAATTTTATTTAGTAAATATTCATCAAATGTTATGAAATACATACCTACTTTGCTCCAAGCACTATGTAAGCTGCTAGGCATGTAAGGGTAAAAAATCACCCTTGCTTTCTAGGAGTGCAAATCAGTGAGAGAGATTAACCTGTAAATTGTTACTTGCAGTAAGTATGACACACATGGAGGAGCCGTGATCGAAGCAAACGGGTATGTTGAAAGCACAGAGGAGACCACCTACCCAGACTATAGTCAGCGCAGGTGACCTTGAAAGACAAGAATTAGCCCGGCAATGAAAATTAGGGAACAATTAGGTTTTTGACAAGCGCATCTTTATTTGCAAAATAATTTCTTTCAACTCTGAAACTAAATGTTAGTAGTTACAATTTCCAGGCTTAGTGACCCAAAGTTTTACAAGAATTTAAAGTAGAGTTCACCTTGGATACCCAGACTCCCAGATAGCTAATATTTAAGTCAAGTATTATATTCCAGGAGGGTCTAGAGTTGGTTGTTGTTGCTGTTCTCATTTTAAGGTGAGAAAGGTATTCCCTACCTTGATTCTCATGGGAAACATCACTATTTTTAAAAATATCGTAAGGTGTTAATATGTTTCCTGACATGTGTTCCCTATTCCATCGTAGGATATTCTCCTGATGAAAGGCGAAGGAGAAGTTAAGTTGAACATGGCCATTGGCAAAGGGGAGCAGGCCTTGCGAAGCAGCAGTGCAGAAGGTCAGAAGGTGATTCAGGCCCAGCTGCAGACCCTGACAGACGTGTGGGCTAACATCATGAGCTCCTCCGTCCGCGCTCAGAGGTACAGAGCGTAGTTTTAGTTTCTTTGCCTAAATGAAACCCAGTAGCTAGTAAAATGATGGAGCAGTGCTGAGGATACCCTGCCGTAGAGTTACCAAGCATGTGATTTTAGCTGGTTGCACGCATGCCTGTCTTTGCCTAGGTTGTATTTTCTGTAATGGCAAAGATTGATTTTGTTTGTTTGTTTCCTTGGTGTGTGTGTGTGTATGTGTGTGTGTGTGAGAGAGAGAGAGAGAGAGAGAGAGAGAGAGAGAGAGAGAGCTATATCTCCCATAATATCTTTCATGGGATCTTGCATACAGCATGAGCTCCGTAAAATACCCCCTTTCAATTCATCAAAGCAAGGATACATGGTCTTTAATAACTGAAAAATGTGTTTTGCTTTTTAAAGGAACATAAGGGAAACTAAGTTGGTGGCAGCTGTTGAGCTTACGTATAAATCTTTTTCTCAACTCAAAGTAATATCACGAACAATGGGCTGTGGAAATGTGTGTGGGAGTTTTCGATTATCACAGGGATGGGGGCATCCCATGGAGGCCGAGAGAGCTAACCTTCAGTGCGTTGGGCATTCTCACACAAGTAACCATCAGCCCACCCGGGATGCCTGCAGAGCTCGTGTAGAGCCCCTGTAGAGAAACACGGCATCGATGAGAAAGTAGAGAATATACTGGCTGTTACACCAGTTGTTATTGTTGCTGTTACATTTCTGAGGGGAAGATTTTCACCTTCCTCTGTCTTCTCAGAGCATCCACAAATAATCTGGCTGGCTTGTTGGACTAACGGCCTTCAGTCAGAATTATATTAAAATACATTCCAGGAGCCATATTCTGCAGGTTAGATCACCAAAGAAGTCTGTGCTCCATATGAGCATAATAAATAGTAGATAAATAAAAGATTAGAGTTCATCGCGAAACAAAACAAAAAACACTGCAATTACTCACTGCAATGTAAACAGTGAACCATGGTTTCAACTAAAATTTGGGCGGTTGTTTTGTTTTATTTTCTTCTTTAATATGGAGTACAGGGAGTGACTCCCAAAGTCCGCAGGACTTTGAATCTTAGTAATAACTCATATCAGCAAAGAAAAAAAGTCAGATCCTATGGTTCTGTTTTCTGTATGACAGACCAAACTTCCCAATGCTGGGCAATAGGCCAGCTTCATAAGCAAACGGGAATATAGGTGAATATTTTTCAGATGTTAGGATAAAAAGTTAAATACAAAAAGTAGATTCAAATCCTTGATGCTCTTCAGTAAGACATTAAATTTGACAACTACATATTGAGCAGTAGCAGTGTTCAAATTGTTGGGCTAAAATAATGAAACAAAACAAAATCTGTTTTGCCCTCTAAGTGCTCAGAGGCTGGTAGGATACATTCCAGAAAAACTCTAACTGAGATTGTGTTACTAAGACACTGTGGGGTGTAGAAGAACCCGGGGCCTGGGTGGCTCATGGGGAGGTGAGCTTGATTTGGACTTTCTAGAAAATTCTTTGAGGAAAGGATAAGACTTTAGGCATGTATGGTGAGGTTTCTATTGATGCAAAAGAAAGAATTTAAGCAAATGCTGGAAGTACCTTTCCTGCAGCTGTAACTCCAGGATCATAGGATTGTGAGGGAGACTGGGAGGGGACCCTGAAGATGAGTTTAGAATTAGTTTGTAAAGCTGAATGCTTTAAAATGTTAAAACGCCAGCCTGGAGAGCCTTTTACTTGACTATCTGGAGAGCTATTTACTTGACTTTTATATTTGTGACTATATTTCTTATATTATAAATATAAGAAGGAGGGGACCCTGAAGATGAGTTTAGAATTAGTTTGTAAAGCTGAATGCTTTAAAATGTTAAAACGCCAGCCTGGAGAGCCTTTTACTTGACTATCTGGAGAGCTATTTACTTGACTTTTATATTTGTGACTATATTTCTTATATTATAAATACATTAAGCATTCATTCCTTCATACATTTAACACTAAACATTTTGTGTGGGTGTGTATATATGTGTGTGTATAAATGAAAATCAATCTAATGATATCATTTACCCAGGAAGAATACCCTAAATTTTAAATCCCTGTCAATAAATAATTGCATCTAATTTTAATAAGACAAGCTGAGCCCAAGAAAATTAAGAACTGCTATGTATTAAATAAAATTTAATTGATGCCCCAGTGCTGATTTTTAACAACACAACACATAAATTTGCCTTTAGGACAATTAGCATTTGAAAGACAAGCCTCCAGGTGCATGTATGCCTGCAACGTCTTCCTTAAATTTTGACATAGACTCACTTCCATTTGAAGAGACTATGTGTGGGTCAGACAAGTAATGTTTCTCCCTGTACTTAAAGACACCGTTTCACCACTTACCGTAGCATTGAATAAGATAGCTGACAAGGATGCCATGTCCTCAGAATTGGTTTTCAGCAGAAATGTCAAAGTAACTTACTTTTATAATATGTGACATTAATTCTAGCACTTTAGAGTCTGTGATTAGCCAATGGAATGACTACCTAGAGTGGAAAAACCAGTTGGAGCAGTGGATGGAATCGGCAGATAGAAAAGTAGAACATCCCTTGAAACTGCAGCCAGGTCTGAAAGAGAAGTTTTCCCTCCTGGACCACTTTCAGTCCATCGTATCGGAGGGGGAAGATCACGCCAGGGCCCTGCCCCGCCTCAGTGCTAAATCCAGGGAGCTCTACCAGAAGACCCAGGACGAGTCTTTCAAGGAAACAGCTCAAGAGGAACTGAAAACACAGTTTAATGATATAATGACAGTTGCCAAGGTTAGTGCTTTATGTTGAAGAAAGGTCTTCAAGGCGCGGGTAAAGAGTACTCTACAAGTTGATTATTGGGGAGCTGGCTGCTCTAACACTATTGGTACATTTCATGAACACGTTTTATATAAAGATCATTTCTAACCTTATGGATGCCCATGAATTTTTCTCTTTCTGCAATCTTAGTTTTTATTGTGGTGATGATTAAGCGCTATGACCTTGGAGTCAAAAGGGCCTAAATCTGAATTCTGGCTTGGAAACTGTTTTGGGTGTGTGACTTTGGGCAGATTACTTAACCTCCGTAATCTCTGTAAGTGTCCTTTCCTATAAAATGGTGATAATAATAGTGCCTACCTACATCACGGAACTGTTGTTAGGATGAAATGAGCAAATGCATTTAGCATGCTGAGCAGAGTGCTTTATAAAAAGCCGACACCAATAAATTCTTAAATAATAAGAATCATTATTATAGTAATTATTATTAAGTGGATGGTTAGTGACAGATGTTATTCAACATGTATTAAGCATAGAGTTTTATGCAAAACTAAACAAAAGTAAAATTACAGGAAAAATGGTTGTTTCCTCAGTCTTTCAGTCTAATTTTTTATTTTTTCATTTTAAGATATTAAACATAGAGAAAATTCAGAAGTAAAAATGAAATTTTTTTGAGATCATTAAGAGACCCGTGTTAGACTTGTTGTCTTACTGATTTCATATTCTCAATGGCGACTACTGTTAAACTGGCTTTTTCTTTATTCACTAGGAGAAGATGAGGAAAGTGGAGGAGCTTGTGAAGGACCATCTCATGTATTTAGATGCAGTCCAGGAATTCACAGACTGGCTTCATTCAGCGAAGGAGGAACTTCACCGGTGGTCAGATATGTCCGGAGATTCATCAGCCGCCCAGAAAAAACTGACTAAAATTAAGGTCAGAAAAAAAACAGACGTTATAAGCTCGCTATTTCATTGGTTCTTGAGTCTGTCATACCTGTGATAAAGAGTCTGTGGATAAGATTCTGTTACTGAAAATGTTTCCGTCCTGTTTTCTATTTGCTTGTGTTTATTACCTTGCACCTCATCAATTCTAAACATAAGCAAGAGGAGAAATAGGAATTCAGAACATTTTATTGGAACACTGTTCATGTATGCGTATGCATGCAAATGTGCTTACTGTTGTAACATGACTACAAAATATATGCCAGCCTGATGGGCTGGCAAAACTGATACTGTTCTCTAGCATCCTTTGAAAGAAAAACTTGTACAATAATTTAGTTAAAAGTTTTTGAAGGATAACTTGGAAATGTATTGCCAGATGTTTTATTCTGCTTTCCTAGCCAAAACTATAATAGCATAATGGAAGATAATACTTTAAAGGACATTAAAATGATCACCTATAAGGGCAACTTAAAGCATAGAAGTTGACACAACTGAGAAAGTTGGAGATCTTAGTGTATTTTAGTTATTTCTAACTGCTTGAATAGTACATTGCAATAATTCCCCCTCCCCTGTGGAAAATAATAGATTTTTATCTAAAAATTAAGCAATGATGAAATCCTTAATGGTTATTTTAGAGGAGGAAATGTTGGGTATCAAGAGTGTAATTGTGGTAAAAAAATTTAAGACTGAAATTGTGTTCTGATCCCTGGAGATCAGAACATAAAAATCATAAAAACAATAGTTGATGATAACCATAATAAGTACATTTTTAAATATTTACTCGTAAGTGCATATCATATTTAAATCTTAACCATGACTGTGAGGGTTTTAAATGAGATAATCACATAAAGGCACTTTTTAAGTTTTTGTCATCTCTGTGATTCTTCAAAATACTTCTTTGACCCATTTCTCAGTAATATTTCAATTTACTCATCCATTCATTCATTCATTCCACCAGCATTGTGCATCCGTCAGGGAACTCACCATGTGGCAGGAAGTGATGGTGCACAAAACGATGTTTATTTTATAAATACTACACGAAGTGTAATGACAGCTCACTAGACTTTTAGAGTACAGGCTCTAGAATCAAAACCCCAGCCCTGCCTCCTGCCTTTACTGATTGTGCAAGTCACTTGCTGTCCTCAAGCTTCAACTTCTTTATTGGTAAAATAAGAGTAACCATAGTACCTGCCTCATGAAGTAGTTTTGAAAACTAAATTAGATCACACACATTAAACATCTATTATCGTGCTTGACTCACAGAACGCATTCAATTAAAAGATCCAATGGATTTGGTAATTGGCTATGGAGTGACAATGTGCTAAAAGTCAAAGGTGATGGTCAAGATGTTACCTAGAATCAATAGACCTTTGTCCATCTATGTAAACAAGTACAGACAGAGGAGATGGGTTACAGAGGACCAAAGACGAGGAGTGCAGTTGTGAACAGATGGAGTTTGCACTGCCAGGTGGTGATATCTAGGAGGCTATTGACTATTCAAGTCTGAATTTCAGGTTAGGATGCTGGATTGAAGACACAGAGTAGGAATGATCATTATATAATTTGTAGTTGAAGCCACCAGAGCGAATGACACCAAGACCTATGTGTACAGTAGACAGAACAATGAGTTCAGGACCAACACTATCAATATTTAAGGAGCCATAAAAGAGGATTTGAAAGGGAGAGGGAGAAAAGAGAGGAGATGCAATAACAAGAGGAGGACCAGGAAGGTGGGGTGCCACCAAAGCCCCTGGTGGAGGAGGGGGTCACCATCAGAGAAGCAGCAAGAGGCAGCCATTAAGAAGAGGCTGGAAGAATGCCTGTTGGACTTGGCAGTTAGGCTGTCTGGCAACCACAGATTGCTATTTGCACAACCAGGTGAGGTGAGAGACCCAGTCACGTGGATTTGGGGTAGGTGGGACAGGAGACAGCAAGGAGAGGCTAATGTTTTAAAATGTTGATATTAAGAGATAAGATCATTTCTTTTCAAGGCTGATGCCTGGGTTGCCACATGCTCTTTTGTTGAAATACATTTATAAAATACTTTGAAAAAAATACAGGAAATGTAGAAGTTGCTGGCAGAAAGAAATTGGAATTTGAGAAGGAAAAAGCAAAGCCTCTCAGAAGTCCAGGTCGGGCCTGAACGTAGGCTGTGTGGGGTAAAGAGAAGCCATGGAGAAAATAAATAAGCAGTGTCCTTCAGTGTCACCCCTGCCGACCCCCAGGGGTAACCACTGACAATAGTCAACTTCAAAGCCAAGTATGTACATGTATGAGGGTGTGTGTGTACATGTGTGGGTATGTGCATGTCACATTTTTCAAGAGTTTACATACAAGAGAAGGAAACACATGTAAAAGTTATCTCAAAGCACTTTAAGATGATGCTGTCCTTATTTCAAACTGGGATGAGTGTAGTCAGTGATTGCGAATATTGAAACAGCCCATTTTCATGCCAAAGAAAACTAAAATGATGCATTAGAGAGTATGTGGGGAAACTGATGTTTGACAGTTAGTATTCTCTGAAGTCCAACTTGGAATTCACCCATACCTACAAATTACAAGTATTTAAATCTAATAGTTAGACATAGCTCTTTTAAAAAAGTTTTAATTTTTCTTCATCGTCACTGCTTACTCTGTGCCAGTGGTTCTCAACCTTCCTAATGCCGCGACCCCTTAATCCAGTTCCTCATGTGGTGGTGACCCCCAACCATAAAATTATTTTCGTTGCTACTCTATAACTGTAATTTTGCTACTGTTATGAATCGTAATGTAAATATCTGTTTGTTTTCCAATGGTCTTAGGCGACCCCTGTGAAAGGGTCGTTCAACCCCCAAAGGGGTCGCGACCCACAGGTTGAGAACCACCGCTGCTCTGTGCACTGATAAATAATGAAGGGTTTTAGAATCCTGCTGAATAAAGTGTGAATATGTATATAAAATGCTAACTATTTGGACTACTATTTAACTAAATGCTTTCAAATGGTCTATACTAAAATGTGGCTTAATGGTAGAAGATATATTTGTTTCAAACTACTCTGATACTATATTATATATATAGTATATATATATATATATATAACTATATTATATAGATTATATTATTTTATAATATAATACATAAACTATATTATAGAGATTAGTTAAGATAATTATGCCTAACATAATTTATTAAGCATGCTTCATACCCCAATTTTTCTATACTTATTAATTTGTAATTGATTTTCTTCTTGAAGTTTTTGCCCTAATAATCATTTTTTCCTACTACTTAATTCAGGAGTGAAGTCATAATTATGTATTATTAATAAAATCCTGGCTTGAGCAACAGATTATATAAATATATAAACACCAGATGATGAATTCAGTGAGAGAAGTTTCAGTAAAGGGATCTAATCTCAGAAAGAAATGCTGCTAGTTTATCTAATTAGCAACACATTTTACTTGTATCTTGTCATTTGGAGTATTTGTGTGCTTTAAGCCAAAAATAATTATAGCTAAATTGTTAAATTTCTAGTGAGTTTTTTCAAAAGTAAACATAACAGAAATGAATGAACCTGATCTAAAGGTTCGCAGGGACTTGGAACCTTTGATTAAGTGTGTCTGTGAATTATTCATTTTAGTTACTAGAAAGGTGTTTACTCAAGGAAGTGAAATATTTGAAATTGAGCAGGGCTTCTGCTTTTGTTGTGGTAATTTGGCGTGATTCCCGGTGGAATGGAGGTGTGATTGAAGCTACCATCTTGTGGAAGACAGCGAGAAGGGGGCAGAGACCATGTGATGAGAAAATTCTTGTCCAGTTGTCCATCAATTTAGGGAGAAAAACAGATTTGCATATTTATAGGAGCAATACACCACAGGCAAATATTTAAGTCACTGTCAAAACAATTTCACATATTCAAACAATGCCTGATTTCAGGGTCCCGTTTTGTCTTTTTCAGGATGCTGCGGATTCCTCAGCTTCTTTTGCCACAAGCCCCGGCTCTCAGGATGGCAGTTCTGTCATTATAACTTAGGGGTGGGCGGCCGAATGCACTCTGGTTCCCTGCAGCACGCTTGCTGAAACTTCATAACAGGACAGGGTCCCCCTCTGTACACATTTGGAAACTTTCTGTGACTCACCGCCTCCTCGGTTACCATGGCGATATTCCATTACAGGAGCTGATGGATTCCAGAGAGATTGGAGCGAGCCGCCTAAGCAGAGTGGAGTCGCTGGCCCCTGCAGTGAAACAGAACACAACTGCCAGTGGGAGTGAGCTCATGGACACGGAGATGCAGGCCCTGCGCGCCGACTGGAAGCAGTGGGAAGACAGTGTGTTCCAGACGCAGACCAGCTTGCAGACCCTCGTTAGCCAAATGGCCCTGTCGGAGCAGGAGTTCTCAGGCCAAGTGGCCCAACTCGAGCAGGCCCTGGAACAGTTCAGTGCCCTCCTGACAACGTGGGCTCAGCAGTTAAGTCTCCTGGAAGGCAAGAACACAGATAAGGAGATAGTGCAGTGCTGGCAGCAGGGACGAGTAAGTTGGCTTCCTGTTTTCTCTTGGTGGTTACGCTGAAATTTGTATTTGGTTCTCCTTGGTGCTAAAAAGAATCCTTGCTCATGGAAAACACGCAGCATTCCTTCTTGGAAGAAATAAGTATTTCTAATTAAATTTGCAAATCTGATCAGTTTCCTTGTCTCATGAATCAAGTTATCGTGGAAATAAAGGCAGAGGAGAGAAGACGTTATTGTTTACCACAGAAAACAGTTATTGTTAGTGGAAGCATTCTACTTTCATTCTTATGGTGTAAGAGTTGGTAATATTGTATTCAGCCATTCAGTCTGAAAAAAAAATGGCCTGTGGGTAGAGGCTTAAGGAGACAGACAGTCATAGCTGTTTTCTTGCCGGCGAATTATTTCCAACAGTTAAATGATTGAATACATAGCTTTGAAAGAAACATTTGGTAATCTAAAGCACAATTAATAGTTTTCATCCGGGTTAATTCTCCTGTGTGTAGTTTTGACAGCTGTGCTTGAATTAACCCGTTCACAGAACTCCAATGTCATGCTCATGGGGTTGCCTTCCGGACTTTTTTTTTTTTAAACTAGTGGCAGCTCTTTCAGAGTGAGAGAAAAGAAAGCATAAAGGGGTAGTGAAGAATAGGCAACAGCTTGAAATCCTCCTTTCTTTACTGTTAAATGGTATCTTGGAAAGACTCAGGTATTTGCAGTTTAATAATGCTCTGAATCGTGGATGTCCTTAAAAGGAAGTTTTAGTAAAGTAAACTTCTCTGTTTCTATTTATGTTACAAACATTTCAGAATAGCTTCAGCCAGTAAGAAAGTCATGTAGTATTTCCAACATTGTCTTGTTTTAAATCACGTATTTGAAACAAATATAGCACACCACAAAAGAATGTCTTTATAGTCATCTATTTATGCTATTTTATTTATAATGTTTCTAGGGTTTTTTTTTTTGGTTTTGTTTTGTTTTGTTTTTTCCCTGATGCCCTTCTTATCCTTTAGGCTTAAGCACTAGGATAAAGGGTAGAAAGCAGTTGTGTAAAACAGGGACAAGAAAGGTGGTAATTATTTCATGCGATCAGTATTATTAACTCTGATATAAAAAAAAATCAGTTAGAACGTTTTAGTTCTTTTTTGTTTCCCTTCCTTTCCCTACCATTAATATGAGTGAATTGTTTCAAAAGAAAGATGTGGTGCTATTTAAATTATATTACTATTCTGAGCTATTATCATTTTTTATATTGATACTATTAGTAAAAATAATAGATGTGGCCTATAAAAAGGCACATGATAATGCAAAAGTAAATCGAGGTGTTTAGCTGTACTAACAATTCGAGGATGACAGCCCCCTGCTTAGATCTCTTTCCGTATTTGGCTCCGGGGCTAATTCTTTTGATGGCAATATACTGTATTACCTCTAAATATTGAGATTTCTCTTATTCCTAATAATGTCATATTATCTAAACATGGCGATAATAAAAAAAAGAAATGATAATTATTTGACAGGATAAAGGTGTTAGGTAATGCTTTGGTCGTAATAATCACTTTACAATATAGAAATGTACCAAATCAACACAACATGTCATATACCTTAAACTCACCACAATGTGTCAATTCTATCTCAATAAATCTGGGGAATTAAAAAAAATTTTTTTTTAAATGGAGATAATAGTCCCATTACAATGAATGCATAGGAAAAGTTTTACAGAATAATGGATTTGCCAGGGTTCTTGTGGCTTTGTTTCTCTGTTAGGACGGGCTTGTCATTGATAACAATCATAATAATAATCATCAGCCTTCACAAGTGTTTACTTTCTCTTCTGCAATTAAATGATGATACTCAAGGACGTTTTTAAAAAACCTATAAAGAATTTTAAAAACCTATAAATCATCATCTATAAACTATGTAAAATCATGTTGCAAAAAATCTTGTTCACTGTGATTACAAAGCTCCTATCTCTTAATATCCATTGGGTTATTTATTACTGTTGGAAATTTAGCAATTTTCTTAACCTGCATAACCTTTAAGGAAAAAAAAATGTATTCTAGGACTTAACTGAAACAGAAGTATATAGCCTGATATTTATATAATGAAAGACTCTAATAATATGCTCTGATTTATGATAAGCTTATAGAATTTTTTTTTAGTGTGAGATTTTGATCAAAACTTTTCCTTTCGATAGCACCTAATTTATAAGTATTTAAATCTCTAAGCGTTTTTTTTTTCATTTACTTCTTTAGTACATGATAAATTTCTTTGGTTCTTAAAATGCTCTTTGTTAAATAAAAGATTCAATATGATGTAAAACAGTAGTTATTCGTTTAACATTTGGAGTTTCAGAGAGAAAGTCCCTAAGTGTTATGAATTTTGTAAAGAAAAAATGTTTTAGATGTCCCTACCCCCCAACACTAAGCTAAACAAAGAGCTTTAAAGCCAAGAGAATACCACCCCTCTTCTCAGAGTCACAGTCTAGGTGGAAAGGCCAAGTTCAAAATCGGTGGGAACACTAAGTGGCTACGATGAGTACCCACAAGGTGCTGTGTGTCCTCAAGGCTAAAAGCCACTGAGAGCTGGGAAGGAGGGCAGACAATCCTTAGGGGACCCATCACCTGAGCTGTGTCTAGAGGTATGATTACAAATTGACCAGATCTGTGAGATGGAGGAACAGCCCCAACATACAAAATTACTGAGGAATGAGAAAACACAGGAGAGAGAACTCGAGAACAGGATTCAAATTAAGAGGCAATGGCGCCATTCTAATACAAAGAAACGACAAAGATGGGGCTGTGAGCATCAAGATGCTGAGGTAGCTGATTAAAACAGCTAAGAATAGAGCAGACCTCCCTATCTGTTGCATAAAGTGAGAAAGGAAATGGGTGAGGCCCAGAGGATGCTTCGTTTTCTGACTCAGATCAGTGGGAGAACAGTGGTGCCATTTACTAACGCAAGGAATGCAACACAGACCTGGTTTGTTGGGAGGCGTGGTTTTCCTACAAATCTAGGCCATGTCTCGATAAATATCTCTGGGGATTAAAATAGTAACAGCAACGGCTGTCTGAGTGCTGACTCACCTTCTTGTCCCTCCTCTTTAATTATTTATAATAATTATGATTTCTTAACCTTGGTGATACCATTATCCACACAGTCCCATCTAAATATTTGGGAGTCATTTACCTGCTGATTTTACTTATTGGGCACTTAGTGTGCAAAGAATGGTGTAAGTATTTGACACCTGTGATCTCATTTGCTTTTTGTGACCATCCTTTGTGTAACTCAGCAGACCACGTCCTCGATTTCAGAAGTGTGCTTGTCAAGTCCCAAGACTTTCTTTTGGATTAGATATTCACAGAATTGTAATTTTTCACATGTCTCTCTCACCCATTAAATTGTGAGGTCTTCAAATACAAGAATTATATTTTAGTCATTTTGGTAATCCCCAAATCCAGCAAAATCATAGACACATGGCAGACATTTAGCAAGTATTTGATGACTGTAGGAATAAAACTATGAAAGGAATTAATTATAATACTATTTAAATTAGACCTGCAGATTACAAGAATTTCTAATGTGAAAGTTAATTGTATATACTACATAAAATCAATCTTGCTCTCTCTCTCTCTCTCTCTCTCTCTCTCTCTCTCTTTCTCTCTATCAAAATAAGCATTGCTTTGCTTTGAAATGATTGCTCATTATTTTTAAACAATATACATATTTTCTGGTGGCCTAGTCAGACTATTTTTAAAGAATTTAGATTATTTTCTTTTTTCCACTTTAAGTTATTGGACCACTTGATCATTTCTCTACTTGGCAATATTTCCAGGAGGAGTATGGATCCAAGGCTAGAAAAAGATGCAAATTAGTCAAGTGCGATCACTTGCCATGGGTGTCCTGAAACTAAGCCTCATTTCTTCACTGACCCTCTGTGTTAGCGCTTCCCTCACTAATAATTTATAACATGACTTATGCATGTATAGCATGAGGATGTGGAAATTACCCAATTTAAATGCTTGCTCCTCTGTCTCGTTATTTTCTAATAGGAGATATTGGACGCTCTACAGAAAGCAGAGCCTAAAACAGAGGATCTCAAGTGTCAGCTGAATGAACTGTGCCGATTTTCCCGAGACCTGAGTACATACAGTGGGAAAGTTTCTGGATTGATTAAAGAATATAATTGGTGAGCACGGACCTTATTGGTGTTCAGAATATTTTCATACAAATACAAAGCTAGAGGTTTGTTTATTTGAAGATGTGATTTCAATAGTAATATAAATTAATCATTCAATACATTACTAAGTGACAAGTGCATACTCTAAGAATTGTTGATTCTATCAAACATTATTTTAATCTTTATTGTCATTTTGTTCCCTTCCATTAAATGCTTCAAATCATGGTTTTAGTCTTTGTTTGCAAGCATCCAAAAGCTGTCAGAATAAAGAACAGATTTTACAGCAAAGATTTCGAAGAGCCTTCAAGGATTTCCAGCAGTGGTTGGTGAATGCAAAAATCACCACCGCCAAATGTTTTGATATACCTCAAAATATCAGTGAAGTTTCAACAAGTCTTCAGAAAATACAGGTGAGAGTGTTATTAATTAATTCTAATAATGGAGTTTGAGTGGATTAAAAAGGTGCCTCTAAATTGTTTTATAAGCATATTAAAGTTTTGCTAAATAGCTCAAAACTCAAATAGATCCTTGTTTGGGACGATTATGTATATGAAGAGAAACTAGTCCATTCATATAAGTGCTTGTATTTTATATATATTAATAGGGAGTTAGGAAATAATAAAAGCCCTTGACAAGTATTTTGCCTGAGCATTCAAAGCAGAGTTTGTCATTTGATTTTCACAGGAACCGTATCAGGTCCATAGGATCATTATTCCCAGTGTACAGATAGGGTAAAAGAGTCTTCAGTCACTTAATATTGGGCTGTCGGAAAAGTCATGTCGTATTTTTTCTGTTTTTTGTTGCAAAAATGCGTCATGACTTTTCCAACAACCCAATATATATATATATATATATATATATATATATATATATATATATATATATGTATATATATATATATATAAATATAATAAAATATAATATATATAATAAAAATTGTTTATTCTTTCTCTGTGATTTTATTGAGAAACAAGTAGAAAAATCAGTGAATTTTAAAGTATAGAGCATTTTATTATGCCTAATCTTATGTTTTTCCTTTTAGGAATTTTCATCAGAAAGTGAAAATGGACAGCACAAGCTAAACACGATGCTGTCTAAAGGAGAACTTTTGAGTTCTCTGTTGACCAAAGAGAAAGTGAATGCTATCCAGGCCAAAATTGCAACTGCAAAAGAAGATTGGAAAAATTTTCATTCAAATCTCCACCAGAAGGAATCTGCCCTAGAGGTATGATACAGGCGGCTACGGGGACCATTCTGTGTTGTTTGTTGTTGTTAGTTTAACCGCACTTTCAGTTCTCCAGGATCCCCGTCAGTGATGGTGGTCATCCCTCTCTGGATATAAACTGATAAGTAGATAACGCTAAGAAACAGCTTGATGCTAGAAGTGAGATCCTCACTGAGGAATTTAATAGCTTCTTGCATAGTAGGGGCTATCATCATAGACCATCAGGAACCACTGGTTTTACTTTTAAGCATATATCACTTAATCTTTCATTTGAAATCCCTTAATTTTGGAAGTTGCTTTAGGATAATAAACAGAAATATCCATGTAAGGCTGCAAAATGGTATGGATGAGAAGGAATATTATAACTAATGCAGAGATCAAATCCTCGGTTTATAAGAGTTAAGTATACAAAGAGATAATGGTTTTACAATTTCATTTTATTCAGTCATTCATTTCAACATAAGTTGAATTTGTTATAATAATAATGTAATTACTGCCACAATGCAATTGTTTTTTCTTTGTGAAATCATCTATTTTGTATACCAACTCTTCTCTAAAATTTAGATGTATGGAGGAATTTTTTTTTCTTTTAAAACAACACTTCTTGGCAAAATAGATAATTTGATTATGACCATAATTAATGTAGGATGGAAAAAAATAATGATAGAGAATTAATAGTAGAAAACAAATATGTGTGTTTCCTCAATTCTCTTCTAACTGGAGACCATTGTATTTCTCCTCTGATGGCTGTTCTTTCATGGCAGGCATCCTCCATTTAATAGAGAGTGATAACCACTGTGCAGTGCCTAGAAATTTACTCTTAACCCCGGAGGGATCATGAATGCAATGTGATCTGAGGTCTGAAGCATCTGCTATTAAATATAATACATTTAGCATTGACAGCGAGATGATCAAGTTGAAGAGATGTCCAGGAATAGATGGATAGCTCAGGAATTGTCTGCCTTTCTATCTTTCATGTTTCCTTCCTTCCTTCCTTCCTTCTTTCCTTCCTTCCTTCTTCCCTTCCTTCCTTCCTTCTTTCCCTCCTTATTTCCTTTCTTCCTTCTTTCCTATTAGTAAAACACATGTAATAATGCCTTTTGTGTGCTAGGTATGACGTTAGGAATATAAATGGCTTGGTTAGTTTTTTCCCTTTCCTCAGGGAACTTACTTTCTAGAGAAGGAAACTATATAAAGGGATTATTGCAATATCATCCAGGTATGATCAAGGTGTGGTGGTCTCTCAAAGAACACAGCTAACTCTATTTGAAGAAGTCAAAGGTTCCCAGAGAGCTAACATTTTCACTGAACCTGTGAGGCTAAACGTTGGGGGTTGCTTGACTTAGCATCACGCTGCTTCTCTTCCTGTTCTCCAGGCCCCTTGCTCAGACCTGTGACTTCACTCCTTAAACCAGGGACCTAACTTTTTTGTATTTTACTTCTGCCCGGACTCCCAACACTCTGTCCCTCAGTCCCATCTCTTTGTAGAATTAAATTGCGGACGATGGTCCCCAGTTTGCCCTTCAGTGTCCTCACGAGACGCCAGTAGCAAGGAGATGGAAACACCTTGAATTTATGTATTTATTTAGTTATGCAACAAATATTTTTTGAGCACCTCCCATTTTCCATGGACCATTCTAGGCTCTGGGGATACAGCAGAGAACAAAACAGAACAGAACCCCTGCCCTCATGAAGCTTAAAGTTGAGCTGAATATTCCAGGCACATGCTTCGTGTCTTATATTTGAGAATCACTTTTAAGTTTCCAAAGCTTCCCCATAGCTACCCATCTCCCTAAGAGGAGGCTATGGCAGGCCTGACTGTCCCCACGTTGCAGACACCCCGGATGAGACGCAGATGCCCTGGACGAAGCCGTTCTCCCTCAGCCTCCTTTTGCTCTTGCACTGAGATTTTCAAGCTAACCTTTGTGGGCTTGCTTTTTGACAATACTATGTAAAGCTCTGAGTCATTTAAAAGGCTTTAGCTGGTCCCATGGTAGCACAGATTTCAACTTCACTTTAATCTAGCACTTTTATAATAGACAGTGGATAGAGACACCTTTGCTAAAGTGAAATGGCACCCTCACAAACTTTACCAAATGCATTTACGTGGTTATTCGTACCTACAAGGTACCCATGAACATAGCTACGACATTCCTGTGTAATAAACATAGACCACATCTTGATAGTTTGTTACATATCAGAATATACAAATGATTTATTAAAAACATAGTAAACACATAAACCATATGCTATCCCTTATCTCCTCATTAATCAAAATTGACAAAATGTTTGCTGTTATAATATTTATTTATGTTCCTGCATGGTACCACGGTGTGGCCCAGGAAGGTCAGACACAGGCCCCTCCCCTCATGGAGCCAGTCTACCATAAAATGTGTCATGACTGGCATAAACAACAAACAAGATAGAAGTTGGGAAGTACTTGTGAACTCCGAGGTGGGCTGGATCATTAGGGAAAATTTCATTTTTTAAAAAGTAGGTTCCATACGAAGCTCTTGAAGAATGTCCAAAAATTATCCAAGTGCCAAGGTGAGAGGTAGAATGTTCCAGATATTGGAAACAGGGAAAGAAGGGGAGGTGGGCAATGGGGCCAGACTGAATGCCCGGTGAAGGACTTTGGACTTGCTATTAAAATGTTGTGTGTGTGTGCGTGCGTGTGTGTGTGTGTGTGTGTGTGTGTGTGTGTGTGTGTGTGTGTAAAACACTCTCTAAACCCCCATAGAACCTAAAGATCCAAATGAAGGACTTTGAAGTAAGTGCTGAGCCTGTACAGGACTGGCTGAGTAAAACGGAGAAAACGGTGCATGAAAGCAGCAACCGCCTGTATGACCTGCCAGCCAAGAGGAGAGAGCAGCAGAAGCTCCAGGTGATAAGCTCCGGGGCCCTCATGGCCACGTCTGCATCCCCACCCCGCGTAGAGCATGCCTTCAAGTGCCTGCCGAGCACCCGAGAGTTAGACGATGCCATCCTGAGATAGAGTGAACCCTCGCCCTGTTTCTGACAAATTCTGTTTCCGCTTTCCTTTGAGGTAGATTTGTTTCTGTCATAGAGTCTCTAGTGTGTGTGGCTTGGAAATAATAATGCCTCCCAGGCACACCTATGCTCGCCCGTGTTGAGTTCCATGTTCTTTGGGCCAAAGCTTCATCCGCGATGTGCTTTTCCCGGTCTCTTAACGGTAACGTGCTTGTGCTTTTTCAGTCTGTCCTTGAGGAAATAAACTGCTACGAGCCTCAGCTCCACAGGCTGAAAGAGAAAGCTCAGCAGCTGTGGGAAGGACAAGCTGCCAGCAGGAGCTTTATGCACAGAGTGTCGCAGCTGTCTGCTCAATATCTAGCGCTAAGCAATTTAACCAAGGTAACGCCTGCCATGTGCTGTGTGTGAGTGTGGTACCCATGTCACAAAGCTGGAGTCTCAGTAGGGCTGTGCGGGGTGTCCGGCCTCGCAAGCCCAGGTCAGGAATAAGGCGTGTAAGTTGGTTCCCAGCCTCGCGATCCGAGTCCATCATTTGTGCTGCGTCATTGTAGTATGGCTGCAGGAAGAGAGCAAAGCAGCTTTCAAACACTGAACGGACTTCCAATTTCTACTATTGCACAAAATCTCTCCTTTCGCACTGAATTGGCATGTTTCCAGGAGCTTTTATTTTGAAGGTTCAAAGCATAAACAAGGCAAAATTCAGTGTTGGGTCTAAGGAATCTCAGATTGAATTACTTTAGAAAAATGTGAATTCAATGCAGTTTAAATTTTAGTGGACTGGATATAGTGCATTTCAGGTCCTTTTTTAAATGTGTCTAAATTCTTTATACTCGTTACATAGTCATCAAGGAAGTGTTGATTGAGAGTTTCAGTTCTGTCAATGGGGCAGAGCTCAAAACTGTCAATGATCTGTTTAACTGTTTAAATCTCTTTTCTAACAGCTCACAAAAAAAAGTCAGTGGGACCTCCACTATGACCTCATTTAGAGCGTGCAGCTGGTGTGATGCAGACCAACCTTGAACTTTGTGGGGCAAACCTATTTTGACCTATACGTGGCTTGTCACATTTGTTCCCTGTGTTTGTAATCTGCATTTCGGATCTTAGAATGTAGGGAACCTGCTGTAATTTAGTCTGCCTTTCATTTGGCTTCACCTAGTTTAGTGTGGACTTACCCCTGTCTGCTAATAAAACATTGTTGAGACAGTCACACTACTATAGGTCTTGAAGCAAACAGTCCATTTTCCTATGAATAAGTTACTTTTGATTGTCTGTAGAAATTGGGCACGTATCAAAAATTGGAAGGTACTAAGGACAACTTTCTATTCCTTTGTATTCATTTAGACATCCAAAATCTATAGATATGTGAATGCTTTAAGAGCTGTAAAACACATCCATAACCTTCACCAGGTTGGATATGACTTGTAATTAATAAACAACATCACCCTTATGGCCCCCGTGTTTAAAATTTACAGATAGTACAAAATCTCAGATAATTATTTTTTAGAACTCTGGCTAACTGTGTAGGTCATGTGGTAGAGTTGAGCCAAATTTGTTATGTGAAAGCAAGAAATGACTTTGGTTTCTCAGACAAGGCGTGAGGAAGACATTTGACTGATTCTGAAAAAAAAAGTCATAGTTGTCATAAAGAAGAATAGCAACCACATTGAGGGGCAATAAGTTGTAATTGTGAATTGTAATTTTTTTCTGCTTTGTGACCCAACCGTTCTCCTGATTTTACTCTTTAGAAAGAGCTCACACATCTCACAGGCTAAGTGCAGGCTTTAACCATATGCGTGCAGCCTAGGAACCCATGACCAATCACAGTTACTTGAACCAAATGGCTAGCTTTACAACTTGGTAGCGTCAGGCCATGAAGTGTCTGTGGGAAACCGTGTCTGTCATTTCCAGGAGAAAGTGTCAAGACTGGATAGAATCGTGGCGGAGCACCATCAGTTCTCCCTGGGGATTAAGGAACTGCAAGACTGGATGACAGATGCTGTTCACATGCTGGATTCTTACTGTCATCCAACGTCCGACAAATGTGTGCTGGACAGCAGGATGCTGAAGCTCGAGGTGTGCATTTTTAGGGAAATATCTCTAATTCACTGAATTTTGTTTTTCTCAAAATTTCTCAAGTCTCCATCTGCCCAGTGTTGTTATGTCAACCTGTCCCCACAGGAAATCGCTGACCGCTCTGTTTGTGTAAGGGGGGCATACCTAAGCATTCCCGAATCATTCGGAACACCTACATGCTTTGCAAAACAACTAAAATAACCACCCAAAAGTGGTTCCTTGCTTGATAGCCGGTTAAGAGGCTGGTTCGAATCATATCACTGACACATTTATTCTGGGAAAATATGTCAATGAGACACTTTATGGGGAAGAACATTTTGCATCGTGTTCAATGCATTTGCCTGCCTGTTATCATGTAGTCAGTTCTTCATCCCATCCTGAGATGTTAGTTCTATTTTCCATTTATGGTCTAATAATGCTTCCGCATGTATTCATCTCTCATTCATATACTAGACATCTTCTAGAAGACTGTCACTCTATCTGGATACCAGGAATTCAAAAATGAATAAACTATGGTCGCTGTTTGTCCTCTGAGATTTCATTCTGAGGCTGGAGCCTGAAACACAAAGGAGCAGATATGGTTATACTTACGGGGTTTTAGGCTCACAGGGTGAAACCGTGCAGGGAGTTTGGGGCTTAGAGTTGGAAGGGGTTTCTCAGAAGTCCGAAACCTAAACCGAGATTTGACAATGGTGTCACATGAGCAAAAGCCAGAGTAAACAAATAGCAGGGTGTGTGACAAATTGCCAGTGGCTCCTTGCCACGGCCAAAACTGGTGGCAGTGAGCGGACAAAGCCAGATCTGCAGAGGTTGGCCATGTCCAGATTAGGGAGAGACAGGCAGCTCTGCCTTTTTGGGGATAACAGCAGTTTTATGACTTTGATTCAAATGTCCTCCCTATACAGAAAAAGATGACTGCTTATGAAGAACTGGAAATGTATAAATTATTCTATAAAATAAATGTTACTTCTTTCGGTTTGTTGGGCCCGAGGCCTTCACATTTATAAAGTTCTCCATTCTGTGACTTTTGAGGATTCGTGAATGCTACTGTAGTTTATTTTTCTCTTATTAAACACCAGTAAAAGAACACTTCGGTGGAAGGAAGGGATTATTCAGAGAAGGATGGAGATCTACAAAGCCAAGACCACTTAGATGCGCAGGGGTGACTGGTAATTGGTTACTGGCACTTAGGAGCAGGGGACTCCCCCACCCTCCACTGGATCAACTAAGAGATCCTTGGCTCAACACAATTGCTTATCCTTCTACAACCCTCAGGAGCTCAGCAGTATTTAAATGACAGAAATGTTAAACATGCAAATGACGAAGGACCTCCTTATCGGCTCTTACAGGCTCTACTGTCGGTGAAACAGGAAAAAGAGATCCAGATGAAAATGATAGTGACCAGAGGGGAATCTGTCCTTCAGAGCACCTCTCCGGAAGGCGTGGCTGCTATTCAGCAGCAGCTGCAGAATGTAAAGGACATGTGGGTTTCCCTTCTGTCTGCAGGGATCCGTTGTAAAAGGTAAGAGAAACCAAAGCCCACTACTGGGAAGCCATTACCAAAGGATCAATATAATCGCTCAGTAACAGACTGTCCCAGGAGCTGGCTTGAGCGTGCGCTCTCTCTCTCTCTCCCCAACCCTGTCTCCTTCCCTCCCTTTTCTTTTTCTTATCAGAACAAAAGAAACTGGCAGATACAGCATTGCATTTAGGTTCACTTGGTTTCCTATAATTACATGCTTAACTTACTGTTTGTTTTCACTGCTTAAAAAGCCAAGAGATAAATAAACGTTTCATCATGTAAAGATATATTGGTTAAAACCAAGTAGTTTCCTTGGGAGACAACCCCAGGAAACACCAGTAGGGGATGGGAAAGAGAAATGAGGAAGGGAGGGTAGCCAGTAAAGGACATGTAATCAAACCGGTCATGGCAGTGGGCAGCTGGGGCTGAACCCTGCTGGGCAGTGCCAGCAGCCAGTGCACAACATATGTTTTGGAGTTACCCCGCCCCAGAGGAGGGCAGCTGGAGAGTTTGTAAATAAGCTCCCAGTGAGTAGGGAAGACAGTTTCCCGGGCTGCCCCCCGGGGGGCCACAATCCCTGGCACTTCTTGTCTACACTGCACTGAAGCTGAGAGGGCACCAGGCTGGCAATCGCAAGTCCAGTTGGCAGTGGCAGAAGTGGCGTGGTCCAAGGGTGGAGCACAGAGTGTCCACTACAAAAGCACCCAAAGCATGGCAGTCAAAATAGGCACAAGTCATCAGTGGTGTTAAAAATGCAACCTCCGTATTGAGAGAAGGAAGCACTTAATTTACCTGCAAGAGAAATACTCAGGTTTTAATAATTAGATCAATTCAGGATATGTCACCCTATTTTTCCATCGTAATTCTCTGATTTTAAACCTCATGCAAGATAGTTACCGTGCTTGTTCTTGCTTGGTTCCTCCTTCCTTTTTGTATTGATGCCTTTTTTCGTCTCCTCGGAATGTCCTGCCCATGTTGATGGAGTTACATATTGATTCTCTCCCTGCCCAGAATCTTGCTCGGATTCATAAAAACCTCACTTAGGGAATCTCTTCCGGGTTTGCCTTCAAGCCCCTCCCAGAGACTCCTGTGACCTGGTTACTGACTCCAGGCTTCATATCCAGCCCCACTTTTCTGCCTGTTGGCCTGGGCTGAGCTGTGCCTGGCATCCTGAGGCCATGCTTGCGAGGAACCCGGATGGATAAGCCCTAGCGAAGCAGCGCACCCCCAGCCGACCCCGTCCTGCTCTCTGTGTGGACTCCTGCGGGTGGAGTGGACCGGGCAGACCCTTGGATAGCTTTGGCCTGATGAGGCTTCTCAGTATAGACTGCTGTCCTTTCATATGCCTTTCAGTCACCTCGAGGGAGCCCTTTCTAAGTGGACAAGTTATCAGGATGATGTCCGGCAGTTTTCCGGTTGGATGGACGGCGTGGAAGCCAGCCTCAGTGAGTCCGAAAGGCAGCCTGCGGAACTGCGGGAGAAAACAGCCGCTCTCGGCAAAGCCAAGGTAGGAGCTGGGTGGCACAGTCCGGCTGGTCTCTTCTTTTCTGACGGTCTCCTGCGGATGCCACAGGCATGCAAACAGTGTGATTACCTGTATAAGACAGGGTTCTACACAGAAGCAAACCATTTGGGGCTTGTATCATAATTTCGAGTGGCTTCTGAAACTGGACTTCAGTTTGTGCCCATTTTATTAGTGAGTGAAAATTGTCTCCTCTAGGAAAACCTCGGCGACCCATTTCTTATGATACAGACCATTTAAAATTTGGCACCTTGTAATATCTTTTAGTATCTTCAGCCTGCTCGTCATTAAAAAGCAAAAATGTTTCTTTTTATTATATCGCTTTATGTTTCTACTTTTGTGCATTTTTCATAATGCTCATATAGGTACAGTAATACATGTAAAGATTTTTAATTAGATGATAGATAGATGATAGATAGATAGATATTGGGGGGATGTGTTCCTAAATCTTTTTTATTGATAGTAGTATTCTAACATTAAAACAAACATACACACACACACACCAAAAAAAATTCCTAACTCCTATCTTGGCTCTTGTATCCATCTGCTGTTATCATTATATAAATGTGAATGTCATCTAAAGGTGACTGTCTCACTTCCTTGCTTATGAGCCCCATTGGCTTCCTATTGTCTGCAGTATCATACCAATCTCTCCCACTGGGTTTGTAAGAATTTTAATAATCTCTTTTGCTAGCCTTATCTCCTTCACTTTCCCACCCATGCTCCAGCCTTACTGAATTTCTCACTATTTCCTGAATGTGCCTTAATCTTTTAAAATCCCAGGAGTTTGCAGAGTCTCTTACCTTTTCACCGAAGGCCCTTGCATGGCCTCTGCACCTGGCAACCTACCACTCACCTTTCAAAATTAATTCAGAAGTCATTTTTGCTATAATACCACCATCACCCTAGGCTTCGTTAGTTCTTCTGTTCTCTGTTGTTCATATCTATCAATTATATAGAATATATGTTTGCATCTCTCTTTCTCTCAGTGGGTAAAGAGGCTCAATTTTCTTTATATCCTATGTACTTGACTCTCTGTCCGATGCAGAGCAAATGCTGAGTAAAATTTTTTTGAATGGCTACATGGCCTTATGTGACCTATGTCAAGTCACTTAACATTTCTGGCTCTCGTTTATACATCTGAAAATTAATACAACTGTAACTACCTCATGGGATTGTTACAATGATTAATTGCCTAATTAATTAAGTTATTGATCTATTCAATAAATACTTATTGAGCACTTGCTACATGTAGGCAGTGTGCCAGGTTCTAGGTGAATAAAACAGATAAGTGTTGTGTTCTGGTAGGAACACATGCGCTCATCAATAAATACATGAATAAATAAATAATTACAGCTGTCTAGAAATGCTATGAAGAAAAAAGTGGCGTGCTGTAATTTGGACAGGGCTCATATAAGTAAGTGCTTGGGGTCAGGAGGACAGGACAGGCCTCTTTGAAGCAGTAGACATGTGGACTGCGCCCTAAAGAATTTAGTGCAGAGGAATTAGTCTGAGTAGGAGGTGGGAAAAGATCACTGCAGATAGAATAGTCAGTCCCACAGGCCCTGAAGAGGGAAGGAACTAAGAGAAAGGCTGGGTGTTGCTGGAGCAAAGAATAAACAGGGGAGGGTTCTGCGAAGCGAGTTGGCAGCCGTGTCAGGGACCAGATCATGCGTTGCCATGTCTGCTAGCCTGAGGATTTTCCCTTTGATCCTGACAGTACTGGGAAGATCATATTTTAAGCTGGGGAGTGACACGATTCTATTTATAATCTGAGCCTTTTATCTCTCAGGCTGCCATGTGGACTATAGAAAAAAGGATGGGGCAAAATTAGTGATGGGGAATCTGCCTAACAGATATTGCAGAAGTCTAAAAAGAAGATGATAGCAGCATGGGGTAGTGAATTTACCGGAGACATTAGGACTAATGTCAGGATATAGAGAGGAGACAGAACTAACAGGATTTCATCATGGATGGAATGACAGAGAGTAGAGAGAAAGGGTGACTTCCAGTGTTCTGAATTGATGATTTGGGTGAGACCTGGTGGCATTTACTGTTTGAAAAAAAGACTGAAGTGGAAGGGCATTTGATGGGGGCTGGGGGAGAATGGGAATGGAGTCGAGATTTTGGGGCAAATTAAGTTTGAAATATCCAAGTCAATTAAAATTAGTATCTCAGAGAAAGTTCTGGGCCAGATATCAAACACACACACACACACACACACACACACACACACACACACACACACACACAAAGGGATATGGATGGATCTATCTATCTACAAATAGGTAATCTGAGATCACTTGTCAACTACACAGTTAAAATATCTTAATATCAGTATCATTGCTATGACAGTGTATGTGTTAACTCCTTTATTACTTTTAAAAAATGTTCTCTAGCTATTAAATGAAGAAGTGCTGAGTCACAGCAGCTTGCTGGAGACCATTGAAGTGAAGGGGGCTGGCATGACGGAACACTATGTCACCCAATTAGAATTCCAGGATCTACAGGAACGATACCGAGCAATCCAGGAGAGGGCCAAGGTATGGATGGCGAACCGAGTTCCATGCAGACTCACTGAAGTGAGAGTGTTTGGAGCTGTGCTTATTTAAAGACACATGTATTTTGGGATCTAAATTTTCACAAAAAATATTTTCACAGATTTGTGACAGCAGATAGAACGAAATGATGTAGCAGATAGCAAGTAGCAAAATGAATTAATTTTTTTTAATTGGGAGTTGGGGAAGGGGAACAGCCAAGTTGTTGTCCTTCAATCTCAGTTGTGGAGGGCGCAGCTAGCTCAGCTCCAAGTCCAGTTGCATCCTGCCGCCCGTCAGCAGCTCATGTCCGCTCAGCTCAAGGTGCCGTGTTCAATCTTAGTTGTGGGGGAGGGGGGGAGGGTGTAGCCCACCATCCCATGCAGTAGTCAAACCAGCAACCTTGTTGTCAGGAGCACATGCTGTCACCAACTGAGCCATCCTGCTACCTGTTGGCAGCTCAGCGGCAACTCAACTTGGGCGCAGCTCACTGGCCCATGTGGGAATCAAACCAGTGACCCTGTTGCTCAGAGCTCGCGCCCTTAACCAACTGAGCCACTCAGCCGGCCCCGCAAAATGAATTTTAATACTTTAAATTTACCACTGGCAACACTAAACAAAAACCTTCAAATAATGTCAGTACATTAAAATCACTAAAGGAAAATATTTCCCGATTAAAAATTCATAGAAATTCACCAATGTAAGAAAAATTTTGGACAGCTTCATAATGAAGACTCGTAAATGCCTTAATATTTTTAGTACTAAGAGTTTCCTAAGGCAAGAAATCATCAATAATTTCTTCAGTTAGGCCTCACAAAGAAAATAAAAATAACTTTTCAAAGCACATCCTACTTTATTTAGACAAACTACATAGAAAAATAAATCTACAGTGAGTTCAAATCCTTACTTAAGACACAATGTAAGGATTTAACTTTTCTTTATAAGCAAAAGTACATTTTTATGACAAAGTTAATTCATTTTTGTGGTGTGTCGATGTTACATTTAATAAGGGATTCAGAGATCAGGAAGTGAATTCCACAAAGTGATCTTTAAAACGTCTTTAAATCCTGACATTTTGTTTTTATAGCTTTACATATATCTTAAAGCTTCATTCTTCTAGGAAACTGTTCGTATTCCAATGATTTAATAATCATGCTTTTCTAAAATCCCAAAAGTGAATTCTTACAGTGTGTTGAAACTGCATGTAGTAATGTATTCCACTTTAATCATCTTAAATGCTCATAATAGGATGCAGTGACAAAGTCTGAAAAGCTAGTTCGCCTGCACCAAGAGTATCAGAGAGACTTAAAGGCGTTTGAAGGTTGGCTGGGGCAAGAACAAGAGAAGCTGGAGCGATATTCAGTTCTCGAAGGTGATATCCATACTCATGAAACAACATTGCGGAATCTTCAGGTAAGTTTCATTTTACATTAAAACAAAGGCATTTTCGTTCTAAATATGGAATTATTCTTTTAAGCAAAGGGAAGTTCACATGACCTTGAATCCTGTAATGAGTTGGCACATACTAAATGAAACCCTAGTAAGGTCTGGTCTAGAGTGTTCTGGGACCTCACTAGTATATGTTAGTCAAGATCTTTTGGTAGGTAATTTAGACCCAGCAGGACTTGTAGAATTTGTTCTGCTTCTACGGTGGCCTCTGACAGGAATGGCTAGTGGGCTAATGTATCATGTTGACTGGCCCAACTGCCTGTTGCTCTTAAAGGATTCATGTAGATACAGGATATAGCAGCAGGAGTCGATAGAATGTGACACTCTGTAAAATGACACCAGTGGCACCATTTTGGGCCATCCGGTTTCGACCAAAACCTCCACATTGCTGAGTACATAGGTCCAGGGTCAGAGTCCCAGAAGCAGGAATTAGAGGAGCTAGAAAAAGTGCTGGTGCTCAGACAAGCAGACTGTGTTGGAGGCGAGATGGCAGACCCAGTGGAGAAAGTGGTCCTCACTCAGTTACTTATTTACTCATTCAGCATTTATTGAATACCTAATACAGTGCAGACACTGGGCTAGCTACTGCAGGTAAAGAAGATTAAAGCATTATTCCTGTCTTCAAGGAACTTGCAGTCTAGTGAAAAAGGTAGACCCACTGGTAGCTCATTATAAACCATGTGATATGGACAATAATAGACTGGTGCTAAGGATCTTATGGGAGCATCAGAGAGGCCCTTAATCTCCCCTGGAGAAGCAGGCAGGGGTCAGGAAGTGCCCCCAGAAGGGGCGACCAAGTGCACAGAGTGGAGAATGGGCCAACGAGACCACTCCATGGCCCATCAGCGGCGTGCTGGAACTTACTGACATGCTGTCAGCCCTCATTAGAATTGGTTCAGAATTAGACAAGATACACCTATCGCTTGCACAAGGTAGAAGAAATAGGGATTAAAATGATTATCACTGGTTTATAAAATTTCTGTCTGTTGTCTCAGGGATTATTGTACAAAGGCAGGAGCACAAGTTGGGTTTAGGAAGTTTGGACTCTAATTCTTGGTCGGACCTGACATTGGGTGACTCTAGGCAAGATAGAACCTCTCTGATTCAGTTTCTCTATAGAGTTGTTTGTGAGAAAGGATTAAATGAGACGGGAGAAAAATGTTACTTAAGTGATGGTCCATTCATGAAATAAATATTTAATAGAAGTTAGAAGGGCCATAACTTCATTAGCTTATTTAAGGATCTCATCCATTCTTTTTTTAAAAAATAGTAGGATGCTCTGGTCCACCAGGTTTAACTGTAGTAATCTGTTTAGTAGTGTTGACTTTGTTTCTGCTAAGTCACCCCTCTCAGCACTTCCCTCCAGACACTCTTGGCAAGCAAATGCAGAGCTCTCTAGGCTTCTGTGTGGGAGCTGGGCCAACACGTTACTCGTCACCAGCAGATGTTTCTCTTGTTCCGGTCAGAAGAAAACGTTCCACTTCAGTCAGTAGTCATGTGGCCCAAACCTAACTCCAACCTCTCACTTTACCATGCATTAATTCTTACACTCTCTTATTCTGAGTCATCACAAATGTTAAAAGGAGGTAAGATGATGACAATGGAGGGAAAAGGTAGTGAAGAATCATGGTGTGTCGATTCTGGATCCTGGTGTCCAACAGCACGTTGATCGCGGTGGGGGTCGCCCAGCAGTGTGGCCACATTCACGAATGATTTGTGTGAACTGAAGGCCTAATTTGGGTCATGGGAGATGTAGATTTTTCAAATACTGAACCATTTTTCTCTTCAGAATGAAAACTTGAAATGTGGGACATAAAAGAATTTGTCTAATACAGTGATGATTTGTATAATAGAGATAACAGTTATAAAATATGGAAAGGGGGGAATATTAGGAAGATTAATAAATTAGGGCAAAGGTCAGTACACGACAGCCCAGAGCCTCATGCCTGTATTTTAAATAAAGATGATTGGAGCTCAGCCACACCCATTATGTACCATCTGTGGCTACTTCAAGCTACAAAGGCAAAGTTAAGTAGTTGCAGCAAAGACAGTATGGCCCACAAAGCCTAAAATATTTCCTGTCTAGCCCTTTACTGAAAAAGTTTGCTAACCCTTGAGTTAAAGAAGGAGATTGTACAAAATTAACTCAAAATTTTTTAAGAATTTTGGAATAAAATTTCTGTGTTGGTGGCCATTTTGATTAATATTTTACCATATATGTATATTATTCTTCTTTTCTATTTACAACATGATCTCATTACAACACTTCTGAAGTGGCCTCATAGCTGAGGAAAAAAATGTATCCATTATTTTGAATCATATGAGTTTGCTAGTTTTGTAGGTAAAAATACTCAGATATCCGCAATTTCAAATTGTGTTTTAACTAAAAATGGTACTTTTGACACTCTTGGTGGGTTTTGACTTGGCTCCTTTCGATATTAGTTGATCAGATCGAGTAACTGGATTTATTTAACATAAGAAATACAAGTACATAATATTGTTTTGCCAATATCTTTAAGGCTGTGAGTTTTTCTACGAATTATAGTTTATGCTCTTCAAGACTAGTTCGTACTGGATTTGTAGGGTATATCTTTGGGGCTTACGTTTTGGTGGAGGGAAATAAATTTTTACCTGGGAGGATCTGGTTGGCAGGCATGCTAGTTCAGCCTCCCAGGCTTGTAAGCCTTCTTACCCTCTGAGCCAACTCTTCTTGGCCATTACTTTTCTCAGAGCACAACCTTGGCAGGGTCCCTCCTGAGGGAAAAGAGGGCCCATTGTTCCTTTCTCAACTACAAGTGTAGCACTGATCCCATCAATGTCAAAGCAAGAAGCCTTAGGCTCTTTAAACAGATCATGAGCCATAAAAGGCCTAGGTTATTTAAAGAAAAAAAAAATAGCCCATTAAGCACAAGTGTTTTTGCCTATAAGCTGAAAAGTCAAATTTCAGGAACTGTTTCTAATAAGATTGGGATAAATATTACTATGCATCTGTTAATTTGTGTGTGTTATGCATATGTCTTGTTTTAATAGGAAATAGCTGTGAATCTTTGTCCTGGCTTGGGAAGCACTATTCAGTGTTAGTACATGTTGTTTTGTATGAGACAGAATAAAATCATACTTTTCTAATGTGAAGTTCAGGTTGACACCGTTGGCTTGGGTGAGACGTGATAACCTGTGCAGGTGTAAAATATGAATGAGGTATGACAGCCATACCTTTTCCCTGCAGGAGCTGCAAGTGCACTGCGCGGAGGGGCAGGCCCTGCTGAACTCGGTGCTGCATACCAGGGAGGGGGTGATACCGTCAGGCATCCCCCAGACGGAGGACCGCGCCTTGGAGTCACTCCGGCAGGACTGGCACGCTTACCAGCAGAGGCTGGCCGAGACCCGAACACAGTTCAACAATGTGGTCAACAAACTGAGGCTGATGGAACAAAAGTTTCAACAGGTGGATGAATGGCTAAAGACACTGGAGGAGAAAGTGAGCCTCAGGACTGAACGTCAGTCGAACCGGGCAGCCAAGGAGACACAGTTACATCAGCTGAAGGTACAACCAGTGCAAATTCCCGATCTTGGTCAAAGTGGCAGTTGCCTTGCATAGTTTATTTCGTTAAAATCTTTAAGGACTTTTTCTGTCGAAGGTTTAGATTTTGCAAGATCATTTTCTGCTTGAAAAGAAATGTAACAAATTACAATGGTGCATTCTAACAGAAATTATTAATAGAATGTTAAATGAGTTGTTTTTTGTTTTGTTATTTTTTTTAGATTTTTTTTTTAATTGGGGAATTGGGGGAGGGGAAAAGCGTTGGGGACTCGGGGAAGGGGACCAGACAAGTTGCTGTCCCTTTGTCCTTCAGTCTAGTTGTGGAGGATGTCACTTCACTGGCACATGTTGGTATTGTGATCATTGCGCTCTTCCCAGCTGAGGCAGTCAGTCGCCGGCCTTTGGATGGCCGCTCACCGCAGCTCACGCTGGCTGCCGGCTGCTCACTGGAGCTCAGGGCAGCTCACGCAGCCCATTGCAGCTCCAGGTCGAGCTGTTGTTCACAATCTTAGCTGTAGAGGGTGCAGCGTCACTGGCCCTCATGTGGGATCTGAGCTGGCGACCCTGCTGCTCAGAGCTCATGCTCCCAAGCCAACTCTTAACCAACGAGCCACTCAGCCGGCCTTTAAATTAGTTTTTAATAAAACATAATTTAATCAAATATTTTATATTTTCTTCCCATACCCTATTGCCTTGCTTTGTATAGATATGTGAATGCTAGTACTGTAATCATTTAAGTCTGTGATTCTGATTTGAAAATGTTCTAATATAGTGCATTGAAATAATACATATTTAATTTTATTCTAATTTTTATGCACATTCAGTGCACATGATCAAAATAATGCTTAAGCCTTTAGAATTTCATTTCATTATTCATCTGGTTTCAAATTTATCTAAGTAAAACAGAAGATATAAAAATTTATGCCACTCTTTTTAAAAATTTTTGAACTGAAGTACAATATATAAAAAACCTAAAACTCATAAAAAGTAGTTTTTATCATGTTATTATAATTTTTCATGAAGTTTCTATATGACACATTTGCAAAATTATATCTCAGAAAAAATATATTTTAAAGATATACTGAAATCATTTGCTGTTAAGACATTTATGTCTATATACAATATTTTAAATTTTTTGAATTGAAGTGTAATATATACAGGAAAGTGCCCAAATTAGAAGTGTACCATTTTTAATCACATTGTTGTAATACAATTTGTCATGAAGGTTAAATATATTTTTCCAAAGTTATATGTCAGAATAAATGTGTTCTAAACATACAGTGAAATCACTTCCTATTAAGAAGATATATATATATATGCAGAAGGTGCCAAAAAAAGATGTACACATTTTAAGGAAAAAGGTGTATTAAAATTGTAACACTCAATATATACCGATAACAAAAGATGAATACAAGTCACGTTTGACTTCTGCAATTACAAAAGGTGCTCAAAGTGGTTCCCATCAGTGTCCAGACACTTCTGATTACAGTGAACTACTGCTTGAGCAACGTTGACCAAAGTGCCCACTTGTATATATATATATATATATATATATATATATATACACACACACACACACACACACACACACACACACACACACACATCTATCTTATTCAAGAGTTTCTAAGATTAAACCTTTCCCTGAAATATTTACATCATTTCAGAAGTGGCACGAAGAAATCACCACGTACAGAGACGAAGTTGAGGAAGTGGGAGCGCGAGCTCAGGAGATCCTGGATGAGCGTCGCGTGAGCAGCCGGATGGGCTGCCAGGCCACACAGCTGACTTCCAGATACCAGGCCCTCCTTCTGCAAGTGCTGGTGAGAGGGCCACCAGCGCTCATCGTAGCCCTGCGAATGTCCCAAGCCAAAATGCTCTCCCTTTCACTCATTTCCAGCGAACATCCATAGTGATCAAGACAGGTGACAGCACAGGTCTTTAATTCACTGTTCAATATTGTGTTTTCTTTCAAAGGAACAAATAAAATTCCTGGAGGAAGAGATCCAGAGTTTGGAGGAATCTGAATCGTCCCTAAGTTCCTATTCTGACTGGTACAACTCTACTCATAAAAACTTCAAGAATGTGGCCGCCAAAATTGACAAAGTAGATAAAGTGATGATGGGGAAAAAAATGAGGACGTTGGAGGTAGGCATGCCGGCATCAGACGTGTCTCCCCACATTTCTTTCCATTCTCCTGCTAGAGACCAGAGCACATGTGCTCATCCCTGCCTGGTATGCTTAATGGTCTTTGGCTCATCGTTTCCCTTCAAACATTAAGCGCTCATCTCTTTAAGGCCCGATGCAGGCTTTCATTTATTGGTGATGTGATGTCATCTGAATGACTTAGACATGACTGCTCACGAAATTCTTAACTAAATTCCAGTTTAACACTTAAAAATTAAGACAAAAAATTTGATTTCAAATCCATGGCACCACTCGTTAACAGAGTTTTAACTCAGATCTTTAGGAGCAGAGCTGAGGATGAGAGAGACGTCAAGTTCTTTCTTAAATCTCTGATTTGGAAATGAAATATGGATCATTGAAGTAAAGGGGGGAAAATGAGGATCCCTGATTCCTGGCAGGTCGAACCTCATTATAAACTTCAAAAACATATTATAATAGGAAATAGGTGGACACAACATGGGAACTGAAAACCTTTTCTTTGAAAGGAAAGAAATAAGATTAACTCAGTATTTGCTTCTTACTCACTCTTTTTCTCAGGGTTTGCTAAAAGACATGGAGAGAGGCCACAGTTTGCTGAAATCAGCCCGGGAGAAAGCAGAGAGGGCTCTTACATACTTGGAAGATGGCGATGCAGAGGCTTTAAGGAAAGACATCCATGATCACATGGAGCAGCTGAAGGGACTGACCAGCACTGTTCGGAGAGAGCACATGACCCTGGAAAAAGGCCTTCATTTGGCGAAGGAATTCTCAGACAAATATAAAGCGCTAACTCAGTGGATAGCAGAATACCAAGAAATCTTACACGTTCCTGAGGAACCCAAAATGGAATTATATGAGAAAAAAGCTCAGTTATCTAAGTACAAGGTAGCTTGTTACTCACTGGCAAATGCCCTAGGAAGTCCTATGGGGACTAAATGGGAGGGGGTGATTCTTGGTGTGTGTCACCCTTGGTGGGCACTGGAAAAAATCTATAATGTGTCTATTCTACTGGGTGTGAACGATGTATAATAGATTTATTTGGCTAGATACACTACATTGACGTTATATGTCCATCCAGGAATCATATTTTCCCGTTATTCAGATTGTATCATAAAATGGAGATCTGTTCTCACAGTGTGATCCAGGTACACGCATCCTCCAGATAAATCTTCCTGGCACCAGAATCTCACACCGATAGATGTTCTCTGTTTCGTGGAACGTCTTCCCTTCATCTTTGGGTGCCCAAGGCCTATAAGCTGACCTATGATAAATTGAAACTGGCATACCTATTTGTAAGAAAATAAGTTCTGATTAGCCAACTATAGCTAAATATCTTACAAATTAATTTTTCAAAGAATAAATGGTGCTGTGAATATAGCTAGCTTTACATGATAGCTAGATATCTCACCTGCTCACCTATTTGAAACAGTTATTGAAGCTTATATGTAAGCTTCAAGCTTATATGTATAATTTGTATTCCAAATTTGACCTAAATGATGAAGCGATAATCTCCAAGAATGAGTGTGATGGCTTACCCAGAGTTTTCCCTGTTGCAAGCTTTTTCCTTCTCCATGTCTATTCCCATCCATGGCTTTTCTACCAAGTCTGACAGCATGTCTTTGAAGGTACCCTGTAAGAATCACAGATGCTTTTTTTTTGTTTTTATCACTGACTTCTTGATATATTTAAATAGTGCTGTGAGCCTGTACAGCTGGCTCACAGTCCTGGGGCAGCTGGAATGCATCTTCCTAACTTCACATGCACCAAACGCTGCAGTTAACTTCGTGAACTCAGAATTAAAAGATAGTACCCCGCTCCATTCATCTTGTGCTGTTTTTTTTTTTCTCTGCTGAAAGGAATGAGGTGGAAGCCAGAAATATAAATTATGTTAAATTTAGCCAAATGCAGTTCTTTTCCATACTTTCCTCTCCACACATGAAGGAACGTTGGCTGTGTTTCAGTATTTCAGAACCATATTCGCCATAAAACATCATTCTCTCTTTAATGTCTTACATTTGTTGATTTATAAAATATGTGTCCAATCTTTATTTGGAGGAGATTACCTCATACGTGCCACAGGCACATGTGCATATTCACGTTGATCACACACATGAGCTGGCTCTCTGTTTTTCTTTTAATTCAAGTCACTGCAACAAACAGTGCTGTCCCATGAGCCATCAGTAAAATCAGTGCGAGAGAAAGGCGAGGCTCTGCTGGACCTGGTGCAGGATGCTACTTTAAAGGACAAAATAGATAAGCTTCAGAGTGACTATCAGGACCTCTGCATTGCAGGAAAGGTAAGGACAGCAGAAATTCGACAAAAACGTATTTATTTGCCCCAGAGGGGGTTGTGACTCCTTTTTATCTGTCAGAAAAATTTAAGGGCTGGGATGGGTCTGTAATTTTCCTTCTTGTCAGATAGGCATTTTAAATGGCATGATGGCTTTTTTCTGGTTTTTGTTTTGTTTTTCTGCTCCTAGTAATTTTCTGATACATGTAATTCTACCTACCCTAGGAGTTGCCCTGGGTTTTTTTGTTTTTTTTTTTAAATATATGAAACAGTTTTGAGTCGATTTTTGGCTTGAAATCACCTCTAACGGACATCTGGCTTCCCAGGAACACGTGTGTAGCCTGGAGGGGAAGGTCAGGAGCCATGAAGATTACAACAGTGAGCTCCAAGAAGTAGAAAAGTGGCTTCTGCAGATGTCGGGCAGGCTGGTGACGCCCGACCTCATGGAGGCGAGCAGCCTAGAGACAATCACCCAGCAACTGGCCCACCACAAGGTATGCCTATCTCTAAAGAGCGGAAGAATACAGAGGGCTTTCACACGGGCCGGGCCGTGTGCGCGTGCGCCGCTCTGTATTCTAATACCTACGCAAGGGCTCAGCTCTCAGTCCTGACGACGTCTGACGACTGAGAACAGCTGAATTCGATATTTAAGTGAATCGACCATAGTTAAATCATGGCATTCAACTCTGAACACACTGTAGCATTTTTTTCCCAGCTAACAGGTTTTTTCTTTATTGCAGAATTTAGTCTTCAAGGAGTAAGTTAGCAAAGAAAGAGATTATCTTTAATATAGAAAAAGTGCAGCCAAAGACAGGGTACGCGAATAGTGATCAGCAAGTCTGGACTCCAGCCAGAGTCCCTCCTTCCTGTCTGGGGACACTTAGCCTCTCTGAGCTGCCACCTTTTTCTCCCTTTTGTGAGTCGCGGTAATGATACCATCCCCACTGCATAGCTGTGGTCATCACAGGAGACGTCTGTCAGTAGCTTGTAAACTACAGATTACAGTACTGATATGAGGTGTGCTTCTCTTTATTAATATGTATTTTTAGTAATTATACATGCCAGATGACAGGTGTCAGATATGGTCAGAATTTTATGGAGCACTTGGGGTGACCTTATAGAAAACTGAAGTTTAGTCATGATGAGGTCAATATCTAGTAGTGTGTTGGGAAAGCCAGTGAACCTCTCTGGACTTCAAGATTCCTATCTATAGGAAAATTTTATTTAGCAAATACGAATAGAAAAGTAACCACATGATATAATCTATTAGACACCTCAGGAAACTCCCTCAATAATCTCATGATGTAGTGATTTTTTTCCGATTTGAAGACTGAGTGGTTCCTTTGCATAATATGTATGTAATAACCTGTAACCCAGCACCATTAGAAAAAGTGTTGGACACGGGGCTACTGAAGGACCACCAGGTTTCCTTAGATATACTGATGTGTTAACCCAGGAGACCTTGGTTGGAATGTGTCGCTTATCGTTAGTATCACATAGCAGTAAGGAAATAAAACCTGATTTGAAAAAATTGGTTCCTCCTCTTACGAGATCGATGATAGTCCTTGCTGGAGAACACATGTGGGGATAGTGGTATGGATGAGCTGAAGTCAGGCAGAGTGGACCCCAAGGCCTGGGGGCGCTGCCATTTACTAGTTGTATGACCTTGATCGTCTTATATAACCTGTCTGTGCTTCAGTTTCCTCATCTGTAAAACAATGATAATAATACACACTTCTCAGGACTTATATATAGCTCCTGGACTACAGTAGTTACTAAATAAATGGTAAATGTCATATTTATTAATATAAATATTAAATGTAAATTAGATATTAAATCAGGTTATTATATTATTAGATAGATTAGATATTAGTAAATTAGATTAAGAAGTAATTAGATTATTTTAGATATAAATCATACCAGAATTATAATTATGGAGCTGAAAAATATATGAACATCCTTTTTCTGATCATAATACCATGGAGCAGATATCTCTCTAACTAAGATCAGCCATGAAGTCACTCTAATCTTAAAGGTTACTTCATCACCCCTGTGTAACTTAATTCATTAAACTCATTAACTATTCCCATTGGAGTATCCATGAAAACATACTTTTTTTTTCTCATTTGCTATACAGTAACCAAGACAAACTGCAAAACTCTTCCAAAAACATCATTAAATAGTTACAGTGTTAATCTTTCTATTTGGTAAACAGGTTTTTTAAAGATTAAAAATGGAATTATGAGAACTTTGTTTCATTTTTGTAGGCAATGATGGAAGAAATTGCTGGCTTTGAAGACCGTTTGAACAACCTTAAAATTAAAGGCGACAATTTGATCAGCCAATGTGCAGAACACCTCCAAACAAAACTTAAACAAAATGTTCACACGCACCTACAGGGCACCAAGGATAGTTACTCAGCCATCTGCAGTACAGCTCAGAGGGTGAGTGACACTGGGACATTCTAGAATGATGGTGAATTAAGGAGAAAAGCTGTGCAATCTAGTGGGGTTTAAAATAGTTTTGACGCTTCAGTCTTTGGGATAGTTTCGGTCTGTCCAGCCAGGAAATAGCATAGATCAGTCTCTATGTGAACACAGAACGATTATGTTGTACATTTGATTGATGTGACAAAATGGTAAATTTTCAGACATTAGGTTTTACCCAATCACTTTATTCCATGGTTGATTATAACATCTCTTTTTAAATTGTTTTGTTTGTTTTTATTTGCACACTATCTATGCTTCTTTCTAATTTGCCAATTATTCTATTACACCAAAATATGTTTATTCTGTAATTTTCACAATAATTATTTCTTTTTAACTCTATGCAGCCTGGGTTCTACTCTAATTTAATATTTTTATGTCTCCGTATAGAAATCGAGAAGAGGAATCAGTACTAATTTGAGTTATATTTTTAATGGGTGTACTTCTACTAAAATGGAATCCTTAATGTTATAAAAATAAGTCTAAAATGGATAAGAATCAATGCTTTAACAAAAATTAAGTACAATTAGTCAATTGCTTCTTATTATTCTAGAACTTTTAAATGACATTGCATAAAGTCCATGTATTTTTGTTGCTGGGCTGGCCAGTGAGAACTGGAGAATATATAAGTAACATGGGGAGCATGGTCTGTGTTCATCATTGCTGGGTGACATTAATTGACTCCCTAGATTTGGAAATTTACCTCCAAAAAGTGAGTTAAAAAGAGGAGCAAAGTAATCTAACAAATAATTGTAGATGATAATGAAGAAAGAAAGGGAGTAAGACAAGGAAAAAACATGCAGTGTGGAGCTTTCTGGTGAGGGCATTTGTTCACTCATTTCAGCAGAGATTTATTGAACACTGACTTTGTAGTGGGCATTTCTCTGCATTAAGGATACACTTAAACTTTTTAAGAAACTGGTAAATGTTTGAAAGACAAATACTTAAAATAAAATTTTAAGATGCAGCTCAAACCCTAAGAATAGAGTCAGACCGCAGAATTAAAATTTGCAAAAATGATAAAGAGAACAAAATACTTTTTTTAGTTTTGTTTAGAATAATAATAAATAAGAGATAGTCCCAATATCAGATAGCAATGATGAATTTAATAGATGACACAGAGAAGCAGAATTCAATTACTTTTCTTGTCTCGATAATGAAAGAAAAGCCAATCTGACTTGGTATCTTTCTTTAATCTTTTTAATGGAATAGTTTGCTCAGGAAACATTATAGGTATTTTTCAAAGAAATAGCTAATAGTTTCTCAACATATCTTGATGGGTATAATGGAAATTGGTTGGCTGATTAAGGATTGGTTAATTGAATAGACATATTAGAAAATGTTTGAATTATTATTGCCCTGGAACATAGCCTCTAAGATGAAATGAGGGCATCAAACTCTCCCCTCCGCCATGTTATAACTTACTTCTTTTTTTTTTTTTAGCTGAGCCATCCTGCCACCTGTTGGCAGCTCAGCGGCTGCTCAGCTCGGGCTGGACTTGAACCGCTGTTGCTCAGAGCTCAAACTCTTGAGCGAGCTCTTAACCAACTGAGCCACTCGGCCGGCCCCTATAATTTACTTCTAATTTGACCCTATCCCTAAAGCAGAAGCATTTAAATTCGAGAAATATTAGTTATCTTTTCGTGAGATGGAATTTTATTTTTACTTTTAGTTTCTAGCTTAAACAAAAAGCGCAATATTTATGTCATAATGGGTAAACTGAAAAAGCTCTGACTTGTATTTGATTTACTTCAATGATTGTATGTATTCTAACATTCTTCTGCAGTGATACTAACCCCGCCCACATCTCTTTCCCTAATCAGGTTATTACATTGTAATGTGAGGATTGAGAGGTTATAAACTGGGGATGGCAGCTGTGCTTTGCAACATTTTGTAACATACGTAAACTCCGTAATGTGTGTATGGTGTTGGGGAGTCCTGGGGGGCAGATCCATCTCAGTGGGCTTGTGGACATGTTTCTTTGATCCTAGTGATGTCGATAGAGAAATAAGGCAGCATGATTGTGTTGTTTCAGGTGTACCAGAGTTTGGAACATGAACTTCAGAGGCATGTTAGTCGACAAGACACTCTGCAGCAGTGCCAGGCCTGGCTTTCCGCAGTCCAGCCGGATTTAAAGCCAAGCCCACTTCCACCTCTTAGCAGGGCAGAAGCCGTTAAGCAGGTGGTACACTCTGGAAAGTTTATGTTATGTGATTCATTTAGACATTCAATGAAAACGTATTAAGTATCTATCATGTGCCAAACTGTGCTGCCTGCTGGGGACATAAAAGTACAGGCGTACCTCATTTTATTGCACTTTGCAGATATTGCATTTTTTTTACAAATTGGAAGTTTGTGGCAACCACCAGCAAAAAGATTACGATTCACTGAAGGCTAAGATGATGGTTAGCATATTTTAGCAATAAAGTATTTTTAATGAAGGTATATACATTGTTTTTTAGACATAATGCTATCATTGTATACTTAATAGACTACAGTATAGTATAAACATAACTTTATATGTACTGGGAAACCAAAAAAATTGTGAGACTTGCTTTATTGAGATATTCACTTTACCTGATCCACGCTACCACTGAGGTATGCCTGTATGAATAAAGTCTGAGCTTGACACTCGTTGTTGGCTTGTTTGGATGTGTGACTAGAGAATTCCACTACTGACAACCTGACAACGGCAGGTGGTGTATGACTGGGGTGTCAGGCTTTGGCAGCTTGCAGTTGCAATGTGGTCATGTTCCCAGGATGCATTGTGTGTCCCCAGTACCTCCCACTGGGTAAATACTCAATATGATATGTGATATATATGATATATGATAATATGTTATAATGTATAATATATGAGATATGATAATATGCTCCCCACTACCAGAAGAAAATGCCACCCTGATTTGATTGCATTAAGAATGCCATATGTTTTATAAGACACGACATGTGAATTTGGGAGAGTGGAAAACAGTCCTGTCAGATTTGCCCTTGAAATTGATTTTAGCAAAAATCTTTTGCAACTGTTTTGTCACCGATAATCTGTAAGTTGTTCCCAATGCTTTTGGAATCAGGTCAACTGTATAATAAATCTTAAATCGTTATTCTTTTTAAAGTAAATATATTTATAAGATAAAAATCTGATATCTTATTCTCTTATTTCCCAAAGCTGTTTGGGACAGATAACTTTCTCTGGGTCACAGGTACATAATGGGGTACTTTGGCACATTCAGATATTTATACAGGATTCTCTCCGAGATACCATAGATTCGGTAAAGTGAACATCGCAGTAAAGCAAGTGTCACAAATTTTTTTGGTTTCCCTGTTCATATGAAATTTTTATTTATACTGTACTGTAATCTATTAAGTGAGCCATAGCATTTTGTCTTAAAAGATGTACATACCTTAATTTAAAAATATATTATTTATTTTTATTTATTTATTTTTTAGCTGAGCCTTCGTGCCACCTGTTGGCAGCTCAGCTCAGGCCGGGACTCGAACCACTGTTGCTCAGAGCTTGTGCTCTTGAGCGAGCTCTTAAACAACTGGGCCACTCGGCCAGACCCTAATAAATATTTTATTGCTAAGATATGCTAAGCATCATCTCAGTCTGATTAATGACTAGGGGTAACTGATACTGACTGGAAGTGAAATACCAGTCAGTTTGTACCATGAATGAAAATTTAGGTGCTACTTTTGACTCATTGGAAAATTGGCCTGTATTTGTTACATCTACACAAGCATGGAGTATGTAGCAAACCATACAGTTCTGAGGAAAAATTACTAAGGCCGGAGTGAGAAAATTAGGCTTCCTTACTGACTATGATTTTGGAAAACCACCTAATGTATCTGTAGATCAACTTTGTCCTGTACAACTTATAGCCAATACTGCCTCCCGTATTTATCACAAAGATGTATTAATTGAGAACCACCTCTCACCACTCTACCACCCACCACCCTCCGTTAGGCCCTCAGCACTTCTCATCTGACTCCTATAGTAGCCTAACACCTGGTCACCTGTTTCCATTGCTGCCTGTCCCTCTCATAAGAATATACACTCCATGGGAACAAAGGTTTTGTTTTGTGTATTGCTTTATGCCCAGTACCTAAAACAGGGCCTACATGTCGCACTGTCTGCAAAGAAACATCCTTTGAGTTCCTGTGTATAGATTAAGGATGCACCTGAAGAAGCCTTTTTTGGACATGGAGAGGGACAAGCACTATGAACTTTCCACGTAGCAAAAGAGCCCTGCCAGCTGCAGTTTTGCCAAACTCCAAGGAAGCCTACAAATACACAATCACCTTTTCGTTTTTGTCTCCAGAGTATGCAAAAACACGCTCAGAAGCCAGCCAGAGTAGGTTAGAGATTCTTTCTATGAAATGGAGAACAAGCTAGAATGTGAGCATTCAATCAAGAACAACTGTAGAAGTTTCTTGGGTGTTCTTTTTCCCCCCAGAACACATAGCCTTCTTTAGTTACAGTGAGAAGCAAGTGGTGGATAAATGGAACCCTTGCTGGTATGTTTTGAATTCTTTCTGTGAGTCAGTAATATACGTCATTTACGAGGGTTGTAAATAGTGAGCATAGCAAGACTATTTTTGAAATGTCAACAAAATATTATAAATGGTACAAATATTTGCTGTCTAACTATAGCTTGCATCTGTTTCACTCTGGCTTTTTTTTTTTTAGGTCAAACACTTCCGAGCTTTGCAGGAACAGGCAAGGACCTACTTAGATCTCCTCTGTTCTATGTGTGACTTGTCAAACTCTTCAGTGAAAGCCACAGCAAAAGACATTCAACAAACAGAGCAAATGGTAATAATAATAATAATAATAATAATAATAATAATGAAAACATTGGATTTGTCTGTGTTCTTATATTCTCTTGCTTGAATTTTTGATGTGAAGAAAATATCTCCTTGGATTTTTCTGGCGATAATGCTCTAGATAGTTGAATGTCAACTAAGTCACAGAAAAATAAGCACACTCTGTAACTGATGCCACTGGGTTAGAACTGAAACACGTAATGCCATTGACCTGCTAATCATTAGGACGCCTTTCCTCTTCTCTTTTTAATTACCATTCTCTCTTTCTCTTTTCCTATTTTTTTACTTATTTTTGTTTTTTTTCTCATTTTCCATCTTTTTCTTTAAGTAATTCTTAATATGAAAGGGATTCCTGACCCTTGCTTTATATTAGGGGTGGGAAGAGCTTGCCATCCCTCCTGTGGCTGTGGCTGAGGGTGGTGGTCAGAAGGATTCTAAAGCTGTCTCTTTAGAGTGGAGTTGTGATGAGCCTGCAGTACCTACTCACTGCAGACAGATGGCAGCATAGGGTGACATGTTTGCCACAGCTGCCATACGCTCTAACGCAATGCATTTGGGTTCACAATTTCATCGTAAGACTTGGTTTTGGTATTTCATTAGTTAAATATCCACAGAATAGTAAAATAATCTGAAGAAAAAATAAATGATGAAGAATTAAAATAAATTAATAATAATATAGATATTAAATAATAAAAATAAAAAATAGTTTTTTTTCATTTTTATGTTATCAAAGCAAATGTCTTTGAATCCTTATGAAAAATTATGTAATTCATGTTTTTACAGATATGTTTGATTGAAATAAATTACATGGTTTCAAAAAACAGTGAAATAGATCTAAAAGTATATCCAAAACATTAAAAACTTGGTGTTTTCTTAGACCTATCAACAAATTTACAAGTCTTTTCTAGTTAACCCAAGACCAAATTCATGAGTCATTCAAACAGCCAATGTGAAAAACATTTAGGGCAGCTTTTGACCTAATAAATTGTTAAAACTTCTTAGAGCTTCTCAATTGAAATCATATGGCATGTCCTGGATATTTAAAGTCTTTAGAAAACCTGACTATAAAAAGAAAATCTGCTTTTCTTTGAAGCAAATAAGGAATTCTTTCTGTATTTATCACAGAGTGTGTGTGTGTATGTGTGTGTGTATGTGCACGCATGCTCACACACAACACGTGTGCCCAAGCTTGCATGTGTGTTGGCCTGTGGACATGGACAGGCTGAAGAACTGCGTCTCTCATCCATTTAACATAAATGTTTTGTATCTATTGCTGCTGACTTTGCCTCTGTGTTCTCTCGAGATTGAACAAAGGCTTGCCCACGCACAGAGCCTAACTCAGGGCTGGGAAGAGATCAAGCACATGAAGGCTGAGCTCTGGATTTACCTCCAGGATGCTGATCAGCAACTGCAGAATCTGAAGAGGAGGCATTCGGAACTGGAGCTCAACATTGCACAGAACATGGTTTCCCAAGTAAAGGTAGGAATGAATGGACTCCAGGGGAGACCAAGAAGACCAAGATGGCCGTGCATCAGTCAGTCCTGAAACATTAGTACAGCTATTTAAGGAGTAAGATAGAATCAGGACAGCCTTTCTTTGGGGCCAGGAAAGGACAGATCAGAAAGGAAATATTCAAATATTTTGGTGGGAGCTCCAATTGGCCATTTGTATGAAAGGACGTTCACTGTATTTTGTTCATGAACAAGGCAGCTGTGGTTTAGCTAACAGAACCAGAAGACTGCTACTAAACAAACACAAATATTTTTCATCACGATATTTCATCTAAAGCTGTAAGATTGTAAATGTATTAATTAAAGTATGAAATGGATAGTAATATGCAATTAATTTACAATGTAATATAAATAATTTAGACTATATATAATTTTACATATAATAGAAAATTATTATCAGTATGTTAACTTAATTGGAAGTTGTATCAGATTTTTACCAAACTTTAAGATTTTTTTCCCTGTGAAAGGGATCCATTTATAGTTTCTACTGGAATATTGTTTGCATATGCAGAGAAAAGAAGATAAAAAAAGAGATGACATAAATTTTATTTGTTCCTCAAAAGCACAAACTTTAAAAATTTTTAGGAAACTAAGGCTGCACTTTAGGATAAAATATTAACTTTTTTCCTTAGTGACTGTAATATTGCTTCACGTTTATCAGTTTTTCTTTATACTTTTCAAAGTGACACAATAAAAGAAAATACCAGTTACCCTATGGTTTTTATAAACTTGGAAATTTATATTCATAAAGAGGTATCATGATTTTCAGATTTTCTCTTTGTCCCTTATGAGCCATTCATTATACATTCTTCAGTTATTTAAAGTATTTAGACATATTATTGGGTTGTCAAAAAAGTTATGACGTATTTTTTCTATGTTTTTCTTTGCAAAAATGCGTCCTGACTTTTCTGACATACCAATACATCTATGCATACACTCTACATTTATTTGGGGAGTTTTATTACATGTTACTTATCTTGTCATTGTTGTTATCCTTTAGGATTTTGTTAAGAAACTACAGAGCAAACAGGCATCAGTCACCGCTATTACAGAAAAGGTGAATAAGTTAACCAAGAAGCAGGAGTCCCCTGAACACAAGGAAATAAGTCACTTAAATGACCAGTGGCTAGATCTGTGCCTTCAGGCTAACAATCTGTGTTTGCAAAGGGAAGAGGATCTTCAGAGAACAAGAGATTACCACGACTGTATGAATGCTGTTGAAGTGTTTTTGGAAAAATTTACTACAGAATGGGATAACTTAGCCAGGTAATGGCAATTCTCCAGTGAGCCACCAAATCCTGAGCCAGAAGTTCCTTAATTTCTATAAAACTGTAAAATGTCTTATTTATATTTTTAACATCTATTGCCTTTCATGATTAATGTTGATAAAACATTATTAAGAAAATGTTGGGTCATCCGGAAAGTCATGACGCATTTTTGCATTGAAAACATAGAAAAATAAGTCATGACTTTCCTGACGACCCAATATATGGACACAGAGTTATGGTTTTCCTTGGTCAATATTCATGTAACCAGTGGGTAAAAGGAAAATGTTTGAAAACAGCACCATTTTTCTCTGTGACCTCAAAGCATAGTCCAAAGACCATTATCCTGTGACTGCAAGAAGATCACAAAAATATGTCAAGTTTTGTTTAATTACCAGTTATGGGACTATCCTCTATGAATTCGTGAAATAAATCTTTCTTGAATCTATATGTTCCATAGGTTTCTTATCAACTCTGTAAAGTAATACATTCTGTGTAATTCAATCCAGTTTTTCCCTGCATTTGTTGGTGGTTTTCTAGAAATCAGTGAGCAAACCAAGCTCAATTAATATGTGTCCTTTGTAATTTTGTAGTCATTGAACTCCTCTTAGCTTTTTCTTTGAAAAATAAGAATTACCCCCCACCCCATACATCACTGGATCTTGATATGGAAATCTATCTATACTTCTAATCAGTACAATTATTAAAAATCTGTACTTCCTCTGCCCATATTTATTAATTTGCAGCAACGAAAACTGAAAATTGAAACAATTCTAGATATAGGTAAATCAAGTGGCTTTTTTTGGAGAGGGTACACTATTTTATGGTTTATTTACAGACCTTTTCCTTAATGCTGAACATTTTACTCGTCTTTGGAGAAAATCCAGTCAAAAACCCATATCGGCAAAAGCCCATATTTTAGGCCTTCAATAGGCACCTCCATCTGTCGGCCCTCGGGCACCTCAGAACTAACACATCCCAAACAGGCTCACCATACTGCCTCCCCGCCCTGTTTCTCATGCTTTCAACTGGCCGTTTTGTAAATGGAAGAGACTGTAAGATTCCATTTTCTCATGTGTTTTGTAGTCAAAGGGATGAGAATTCTTTGCATTTTACACTTCTTTTTAAAGATTTCTAATCACAAATAAAAAAATGTCTACACAAATGAGTAGCCGATAGAGCCGTTAGCCATATCTTGTGGACTGTAGTACCTAGACACTTCTATTGTTTACCAGAGCTCCTTCGCACAGGAAAGCACATGTATCGTGGGTCCCTTATTAATTTCTTTAAGTGCCATTTTCAAGACTGCAGTCGATCAGTGCTTCTCAATGTTGATGTTTACATAATCATCCAGCGGTCTTGCTCATATGCAGATCCTGCTCAGTTTAGAGGGGCAGAGGAAGAAGCTAAAAGTATGTGTTAGATGTGTAGTGAGGGCAGCAGAAGAAGCATAGAGAGGAAGTATCTAGGCAATTTGTTTTGGTTCAACTTCTGATGTAGAAACATATGGGCCCTGGATTCCATAATAATTACAGCACCTGTGTCAATAAACCATGAACTGAGCTACTCTAAGCTGAGAACATCCACTTAACGGAAACGGTGAAATGTAATATAACATGGTGTGAACAAATATAGCTACTGAGTTGGCTAATTCTTTTATGTCTTTCCTGGATTTATAGGTCCGATGCAGAGAGCACAGCTGTCCACCTGGAGGCTTTGCAAAAGTTAGCATTGGCATTGCAGGAGAGGAAGCAGGCCATTGAAGATCTGAAAGATAAGAAGCAGAACATGATAGAGCATCTGAACTTAGATGACAGAGAATTAGTCAAAGAACAGACGAGTCACCTTGAACAGCGTTGGTTTCAGCTGGAGGACCTCGTTCAAAGGAAAATCCAAGTGTCAGTCACCAACTTGGAGGAGTTGAACGTGGTGCGGGCCAGGTTTCGGGAGCTGATGGAGTGGGCGGAAGAGCAACAGCCCAACATTGCTGAGGCCCTCAAGCAGAGCCCCCCGCCCGATATGACCCAGAACCTGCTCATGGATCACCTCGCCATGTGCAGCGAGCTGGAGGCCAAACAGATGCTCCTGAAATCACTCATCAAGGACGCGGACCGGGTGATGGCTGACCTGGGCCTGAATGAGCGGCAGGTGATCCAGAAGGCGCTGTCCGATGCCCAACGACACGTGAATTGTCTCAGCGACTTAGTGGGCCAGAGACGAAAGTACTTGAACAAGACCTTATCCGAGAAAACCCAGTTTCTCATGGCGGTGTTCCAGGCAACCAGCCAAATTCAGCAACATGAGCGGAAGATCATGTTCCGAGAGCACATCTGCCTATTGCCGGATGATGTGAGCAAACAAGTGAAGACGTGTAAGAGCACGCAAGCCAGCCTCAAGACGTATCAAAATGAGGTCACTGGACTTTGGGCCCAGGGTCGGGAGCTAATGAAAGGAGCCACCGAGCAGGAAAAGAGTGAGGTCCTGGGGAAGCTTCAGGAATTGCAGAGTGTCTACGACACGGTTTTGCAGAAGTGTAGCCATCGGCTCCAAGAACTGGAGAAAAATTTAGTTTCTCGGAAGCATTTTAAGGAAGATTTTGATAAAGCTTGTCACTGGCTAAAACAAGCAGATATTGTTACATTTCCTGAAATCAACCTGATGAACGACAGCCCTGAGCTCCATACACAACTGGCCAAATACCAACACATTCTCGAGCAATCTCCAGAATATGAAAACCTCCTACTGATGCTGCAGAGAACTGGGCAGGCCATATTGCTTTCACTGAATGAAGTCGATCATTCCTACCTCAGTGAAAAGCTGAACGCTCTGCCCCTACAATTTAATGTCATCGTCGCCTTGGCGAAAGACAAGTTCTACAAAGTCCAAGAGACAATTCTCGCTCGGAAAGAATATGCTTCCTTGATCGAGTTAACAACCCAGTCTCTGAGTGAACTCCAAGACCAGTTCTTAAAGATGAGCCACGTCCCCACCGACCTGGTCGTTGAAGAGGCTGTGTCCCTTCAGGATGGCTGCCGAGCTCTTCTGGGAGAGGTGGCAGGCCTCGGGGAAGCCGTGGACGAACTGAACCAGAAGAAAGAAAGTTTTCGCAGCACCGGTCAGCCATGGCAACCAGAGAAGATGCGGCACCTTGTCACCTCATACCACAGGCTGAAGCGACAAACAGAACAGAGGGTCAGCTTATTAGAAGACACGACCAGTGCTTATCAAGAGCATGAGAAGATGTGCCACCAGCTACAGACACAACTGGAGGCTGTGCAGAGAGAGCAGTCCGAAGTCAACGAGGAGATGCTGCCTGCAGAGGAGAAGCTCAAATTGTATCACTCCCTGGCAGGGAGTCTTCAGGACTCAGCAATTCTGCTCAAGCGAGTGACTGTGCACCTTGAAGGTCTTGTTCCACACCTCGATCCCTCCGCTTATGAGAAAGCCAAGCATCGCATCCAGGCCTGGCAGGAGGAGTTAAAGCTGCTGACTTCGGCCATTGGTGTGACGGTGACCGAGTGTGAGAACCGCATGGTGCAGAGGATAGACTTCCAGAGCGAGCTGAGCCGTTCCCTGGACTGGCTGAGGAGCGTGAAGGCAGAGCTGAGTGCGCCGCTGTGCCTGGACCCGAACCTACGGGACATCCAGGAGGAGATCAGAAAGGTCCAAATTCATCAGGAGGAGATACAGTCCAGCCTGAGGATCGTGAACGCCCTGAGCAACAGGGAGAAGGAGAAATTCGAGAAAGCCAAGGAGCTGATTCCTGCCGATTTACAGCACACCCTCTCTGAGCTCTCGGAGCTGGATGGGGACGTTCAGGAAGCTTTACGCACCAGGCAGGTGGGTGTAATACTCGTAGAGTTTCTCTTTTCTTCTCTCCACTTGCTTATTTGTAAACACGTGTGAGAAATCTCTTCGTTTTTGTTTTCTTTTGGCTAGAATTGCTTCCTTAAATATTTCTTTTTTTTGATACTTTGTAGCTTCATCTTCAACAGCGACTGGACAGGATGTTTTTATGGTTTATGCACATGCTATTCATTTCATGCAATTTCCATGGTGACACTTTAGTGATAACACAATAACCTCAGCTGTCTCTCACCTTTAGGAGAGAGAGTAAAGAATAGAATTAATGCCATAGTGAGTACATTAATAATAAAATTATTTAATTAGCAATGGATAATTAGTGATGCCTTTTTTAAACAATGTGAACCCTGGCATTTCTAAGATTAGCACTGGATGAAGACTCCAAATGGAGAGAGGCAGGGGATGGGTGCAGCCCCCACCTTTATGCCAACCCTTGTTTTTTTTCTGGAGTCTCCTCCAGTTGCCCCATCTCTTCACCCTCCTCAGGGAGGAGTGTTTCATGTTCTGTCGCTTCTCTGAGGCACCACAGAAG